CTACAAATAATAAAATAAGCGCCCCGGATAGTTCTGTTGGTAAGAACGCAACTGCTGATGTAGAAAAGAAGAAAAGGAGGCCAGGGAAGAAGCGAAGAATAATTCTGAGAACGCGGGAGAAGGCAAAGAAGGAACAGGAGGAAGCTGCAAAACTACAAACAGTCGAGAAGGAAGAGCACCTGAAGGACAAGAAAAAGAGACTGAATAGGCAGAAAAAGCTAAAGCGGAGAGCTAAGGAAAGAGAAAAGAAACAAGGTGTGAAGGATGACATGACTTCTGAGCATAGTAATAGGGACAGTCCAGATTAGGAGGAATAGTTAAGCCAATACCTAATGTTATTTGTGATATTAAATACAGTTGCATGTTAAGGAGTTCATACCTAGGTTAAAGATGTTATAAGAATTGGAACTTACGTATTATCCTGTCTAGGTACCTATGTATCGCGAGCTTGCGCCACAATCTTTCTGTGCGTCGCGTGCGTAATCAAGCCACACGTTAGAAAAATCCCACCTAAGCCCGTCATTTAAGCTTTATCAATTACCTACATTTAAGGAGGTACGTACCCGTCAACCTACCCACTTCATCTATTCACGCCGTGTCTTCTAAGTAGGTCTACTTCTAAGCAAGCAAGTATTCTACGTTTCGACTCTCTATCGTCTTAATAATTACTTCTTTCTGTATATATTTGGCAACTTCTCACGACTTCTTCTCTTAGCTATGTGCATGGTCACTTGCGATTCTACGGTTATGTACCCTTGAAGGACAGCCGCGATCTGAGCCCCGCAACGCGTCTTCGGATATAATGAATTCGTTGTGGTCGTCAAGAGCTGCCGATGATGGTGCTAATGCACCAAAGGCATCGGTGGACGTAGCAGATACAGGGGTTGCTGATGTCGGACCTGGAATAACGAGCGTAGCGCCTAGCCAACAACAACCTATGCGACCTCAGCTACAGCGAAACCAAATCCAGTCAACTCCGCCTGTACAGGCCGCAAGCAACCAGCCGCCTGACTCTCTCTCGCTAGCACAGCTACGACGCATAGTGTCCGAATTCCCTCGTTCTGAAGCTGCCGCGTATGACTTTGAATATTCCGATACAGGACCTCACGAGGAGGAGATTGACGAGTGGTTTGTCTATCAACCTTGGCAATGGATTCGGCTGAATGCTGCCCAACGGGCTTTCGAGTGGCAGTGGGAGCACGATATAGCAGCTAGAAAGGATGAAATTACTTGGGATGAGGCAGACGATGAGGCTAGAACCAATTTCATCCTACAGGCATTGGACGGAGTTAGAGCTAGTGATGCTGCCACGCGTGGCGCTGCGATAGGAAGGCTTACGTATCTCGTCCTGGGTCGGTGGACAGACACTGCTGGTTCGCCCCAAGGCGACAAGACGAATCCCCGAAGCGTTGCAACACCCGCCCAGCTTGCCGCAATGAAATCTGGTGTCGAGTTGATCGCAGAGTGGAACGGTATTCTCGTTATATGGGCAGCTTTGCGCAGCGCGTTTGAGATATTATGGTATTTTGCGTCTACTAACTTTGGTGGCCGTTATCATACTGATGTTTGTGCAGGCTAGATGAACCCCAGAGACCGCAAGGCAGTAGCTTAGCGGAGGCACAGGACGAACTTATGAATTTAATGACCATTATGTATATGTGTATACAGGAAACGCTTAACGACCCGGATGGAATGGCAATGGTTTGCGAAAAGCTCCGTGAGTGTGATATTGCTGAAATTCTTTTGGGGTGTTAAGCTAAGAGTCGCAGTGGAATTAGAGCCTCATTTGACGACATTCATGCTCACGGCTTCAGCTAAGCTGCGATGGCAAGAAGTAAATGTTGTGCCGGCTCCTCAGGTACGATACGTTCTAAGATGACTCGAGTACCCTGCTAACCAACTAGACGCTTTTGTTGTTATGGAAGTGTATTCTTCTAGAGTTCGGTGGAACTCCAGAGATTGAAGAAACGAAAAGGGCCCTTAGGGAAACGGCCACGGACGATAAGGAGAAAGATCTGATTACGGCGACACCTCTCGACTATCATATTTTTCGACAAGAGATCACATCAAAATACCCTGCCTATGTACCTCCTCAGCCAGTAATACCCCTTGAAGCAGATAACACCTCTCTCCTACCTCCGCTGCCCAATCACCCTACTAGGAATAATGGATCGAATGGTATACTTCCTGCTCCTCCTGGGACGCAGAGCGGAGGCGCGTCTATCCTCCATCAGCCTGTTCACATTGCGACGCCTGCGCCGTCTCCTCCCCCATCTCCGGCTGCCGGTGGTAAAGGAGGTAAGAAACAAAATTACCAAACCAACCAGAATTTCCCTTTCATGTACCCTCCATTGGATGCCACCAGTAATAGCGCAGGAGGCAAGGGTGCTGCTGGCCTTCAAGACTTCCTTGTTGGCCGGAAATGGGAAGGCAGTGATGTACCCGCATCCATTCTCGAGGCTGGCGAGTTGTTTTCGAAACGGGTGCGCATGACTCGAGCTACAAGGCAATTATGGGAAGAGCGCGAGAAGTTTCAAAGGTTTGAGAGGGGTTGGGATCCCTCAGACGATGACATAGAAGACTTAGACCTGGATGGTCTTAATCTTGACGACGATGTTGATGATGACAAGCTTCTCGAAACTATCGAGAAGCGAGAGAAGAAAGCACGAGGCGCCGAGATCGACTATGGTCCACACCCAAATGTTGATCCAAAGGTCAAACGACGACTAGAAGCCATCGAAGCGTTCTACGTAAGTGATGGTACGTTTCTGCTAGTGAATTTCGACTGACCATTGATAGGCTGCTGCTTTACCTCAACTACAGTCATTGATTATAGTTCTGATGAAAAGCATATTATTCAACGTTACTGCTTGTATTGCTCTCCCTGCTAATAGCCAGCAACAATCGCAAATGCCAGGAGGTAACCAGCCCCGCGTTAATGGCGGTCCTGGTACAAATCGATCGCAGGATAGTTCTATGGGAGCTAACAGCTCGACCAACCCAGACGGTTCCGACAGTTCCTTGGAGGATTTGGATGCTACTAGATGTAGAGAGATCGAATCGAAAGCCGCTACGGGTATCATTCTCCTGCTTATGAAATGGCTCAAGATCTCGCGTAAGTAATACGCATATCAGTTCCGGGTTTAGTATACTAATTGCTCGCCTAGATGTTTTGAAGTTTGAATACTTGGCCCAACTACTACTGGATTCTAATTATCTTCCTTTGGTTCTCAAGTTGTTCGCACATCAAGATATTCAACAGGTGGTCGATAGTAAAACCGACCGCCTTGAACACAGGTAAAAGCCCTAGAACTACTACACATTTCGACATGTCTCACAAATCTTAGTTTCTTTCAGTTCTGCAACGATCGTGCTCATCCTTCAGAAAAGGTACCGCAAGAGCCGACAGAGATCGACGGGCCAGAGGAGGAAAGCGAGGACGATGCGGCGCCTCCACCCATAAAACGGCGACGATCGCCGCACGAACAAGTGGCCGAAAGCAGCGAGCTCGCGAACAAGACAGAAGGGCAGCTCTCCACTCGCCCTGAAGTAGACGAATTAGGCTATCCCGTAAACCCCCTGCCTAAGGAGCCTATCACCGATTTTTCGCGCCGAAATTTCTTCGCCCTCATCAATTACCTACGAATCATGCAGAAGATCTGCAAGAACAAAGCGCACCGTAATTTACTACTCGTACAGTACAAATCGTCAAATATCATAAGGAAATCACTCAAGGTACCGCAGACCGAGTTGCGACTGTACACGCTCAAGCTCTTCAAAAACCAGGTGCCGTACTGTGGTCGTAAATGGCGGCAAGGCAATATGCGTGTTATCACTGCGATATATTTGCATTGCCGTCCAGAGCTTCGCGACGAGTGGCTGGCTGGTAGCGATGTAGACGCGGAAGTTGAAGAAGCCCTGCCGCTCGAGCAAGCCCTCCGGAGCTTGACGCACTGGTTCAACGTCCGGAGATACCCGGATCAGATGGCGGCGGATATTAGAGAGGCGTTGCGAAACGAGCAAGACTTCTTCAAGCGCGAACTCGAGAAGCTGGACGTGTGGGCCGATGTCGGGCAATTAGACAATATGAACGCCGAGTGGGATCACGCTGGACACGGCTCTGCATATGGTTGAGCTTGCCGGAGTATTCGGCACGTCTCTTAGGACCGAAGGATTATCCCTATTCGTGAAGCTTTCGCTGCTTGCCTACTTACCGTATTTGACTACAGTACATCCTGTTTAGATGCGACTAGGGTTCTATCATGGATATATGTATGTTGGGTCCCCGGCTGGATATCATAGTTGCCTAGATAGGTAGTTTAGGTACTTTTTTAAGGACGTAGGTATAAACTATTATACTGTACGGAATAGATTCAGGGCTAATGGGCTACGTTGGACCCGGCAGTACATAAATCTGCATTCCGCACTCAAGCGGACTTGCAGGCCTAGCATGTACATGTACCGAAACGGCATGTCAAATAGCCCCGTTGGATCGACCTTATATATATGTACCTACTATTCATGATCGTATAATACCTATGCAGAATGTGCGTAGGTGGCTTAGCCAACTTCTGGTGCTGGTTAATAGTTGGATGCGATATAGAAGCTTAAGCGAGTATGGGTAAGGGTTAGTCTACCTGTCGTGTTCCTTGGGGCTAGGTAATACTTGATTCTGTCTTATACATGTCCAATGAATATCGCGATGCGGAGTGCTCGTTGGCGCCAGCATATTGTATCATAACTCCGACGAAGTCCCCGATTCTTTCCATAGATACAAATACCAAGGTACATAGGTATGTAAGATAGGCGCCGCAAGCTTGACCCCCACGATGCATGTGTAGGGCCCCGGGCCGACATCTAACCTGGTATTCCGTACAAGAGCTCAATGGATTGGAAATGCATGCATACATGTAGGTAGGGATGAATGTACTCGGGTACATAACATAACAAAGAGAATTGGAGAGTTATTAGGTAGTGATTAGTAGCCGTTAGCCCGTGATGCATTATCATCATCATGCAATTAGGAACTCCATAGTAAAAACAAGAAACAAAACAAAAAACCCCCGTCTCGATCCATCCTCGGCTTCTCGCTAAGGGGCGACTATTGACCGGGGAAGATGTATGTAAGTCGCCGATGCCTGTCTACATACACTACCTATACCTACCTAATATATGCAGACTACATGCTATAGACCCGCCGCTACCTAGCTGCGGGTTTCCAATACGTCAGTTGTCTTGTCTGCTATCACATCATCATCATCATCATCACATCGCTTGCGCGCAAATCACAGACAGACACTTACTTATATACTCGCGCGAACGCAAATCGATGTTAAGCGCTGGAAGAGCGGGAAAAATAAAATAACAGAAAAAGAAGAGAGACTAGATACCGATCTGGATAGGCTGGCAGGCTGGTCAAAGATGGTAGCGGATGCGGACGGCAAGACCTCCCCGGTCTTGTCCCTAGTCGCCGGCGGCATCGCGGGGGGTGTCGAGTCGGCCTGCACGTGGGTTTTCCCCTCCCTTCTTCTTTTTAACTATCGATTCCTGTGTAGGTAGGTTAGGTACTTACATATGTAGGTACCTAACTTACTTACCTATACCCATATATTGTATCACCTCATACTACTATGTATACCTACTATACATATCCGAGTTAGGCAATCCAGCATGTGAACTAGATAGATAGACAATCTAACAACATCATCAATCATCATCACAGATACCCCTTCGAGTTCGCAAAGACCCGCGTGCAGCTATACGGCCATGAGGGCATCAGAAACCCGTTCATGGTCGTTGCTAAGGTGGCTCGGGACGAGGGCCTGCGCGCGCTGTATAAAGGCTGCTCGACTATGATAGTGGTATGTACCTGATATTTGTTTCTTGTCTACCTATCTATCCGCTCGCGTTTATCTACCTGTTTAGGAGGGTTGCCCGCCCCCCCTTTTTTCTTTCTTTTATTGCTCCAGGACTAGCTGCCAACCTCTTACTGGAGATGGCTATGCTGGCACTGAAACTTCCCGGTAGTTCAGGGGTTGTTTGCGTAGCTATGAAGGGTAGGTGTTGATAGAAGTGCCGAACGAGGCTTGTTTCAACGGCTTCGTATTTCCTGCACAATCATACGGTTGTAATAGGAGGCTTAAAGTCTACGAAACATTGTCTGCTCTAACCCCTTTCTACTTGTAGCAGTAGACATGAGACTTACACGATATCTTATGATAGAGAGGGAATATTAATGCACTTGAGGAGGGGGTCTATGTTTTTTCATCTTAGTTTGAGATAGACATTCACATGCTTTAAGGTACATTCGCTAGGCGGAGCAATACCTCCGACTTACATGTATCAATACTTTCTCAACCACCTCCTATTACACACATACACATACACATACGTACCGGTAGACCCATCCGTTGATCTATAGGCAACTTACTCGTCCAACATGTAGGGCTCCATCGGCAAAGACGCAGTGCGCTTCGTCGCCTTCGACAGCATCCGGTCTCTCTTCGAAGACCCGGAGACGCACCGGTCCACCACAGCGCAATCCATCGCGGCCGGCATGCTAACCGGCATCGTAGCCTCGACCGCCATCGTCACGCCCTCGGAGCGCATAAAAACCGCTCTGATAGACGACGCTCGGACGACACAGCGCTTCCGGTCGCCAGCGCATTGCATCGCGTCCCTATGGCGAGAGCAAGGCCCCGTGCGTGCCCTATACAGCGGGTACACCACCACGACGCTCAAGCAAGTCGGCACAACCGGGTTCCGGCTAGGCTCGTACGCCGCGCTGAAGGACTGGGAGCGCGGCCACGGGATCCAGGTCGATAGCGCGGTCGCTAGTTTTGCGAACGGCGCGTTTGCTGGCACGCTGACTACGCTTGCCACGCAGCCTTTCGATACCGTGAAGACGAAAGCGCAGCAGGCACGTGCGGTGCGCACAATGGATTGCGTGCGTGCTATTTATGCCGAAGATGGCGTTAGGGGGTTTTGGCGTGGGACTGTGATGAGGCTTGGGCGCACTGTTATGGCGGGTGGGATATTGTTTACGGCGAATGAGCAAGCGCTTAAGTTGTTGAAGAATGTGTTTGGGTAACTTCAAACTCCTAGATGTGTCTAGATTAGTGTCGTGTTCCATGTATACCTACCTCTCTATAGCGTAGATTGCTTGGTGTTATATAACCTCCAGTCATAGATATCAAGGATAGATATAGACTTAGATAGGCGAATAAAGATAGCCAAAGAGAGGTCCTGGTCATATCTTAGGTTACAGTAACTGGATGTGCTAGTTACGCAATATTTACTAGACAAGTTAACTGTTTAGTAGCTTTCTGAATTTGAAGACTAACAGGTATTGCTCGACTAGTCTTTATCCACCTTGTTTTCTCGACGAGGAGACGAAGACAGCCATTATTAATAGAAAGGTTCACGTATTATTATAACGACTTAGGTAAGCGACTTCATAGTTTTCGGAAATTCGATTTGATGGTATCCATCACTATCCTGCATTGCAATAGAAAATCTAGCCATAGCAAGAAGGGGTATCAAGGCAAGACCCTTTTTCCAGAAGAACGAGACGGCAGACACTCGTCGTGCGAGGTCGAAAGTTCATTTATTAAACAAGAGTTATCGCAGTGCATTTGTAGCAAAGCAAGATAGACCTCAGAGTAACACTCGTTTCTCCTCTCCTCTCCTCTCCTAATGCCTTTTTTGCAAGGCTTCTGAGACTAAACTTCTAGCCACCCACCCACTCGGAAGAGGCTCATATGGGGAGTTAGCCTCCGATTATAGAGTGAAAGTTCTCTGCTTAACTTCTCTCCTTTTGTTTTCCCTTCCTTCTCTCTTCATTCAACCGGGTTAGGAGGGAGAAGCTGCCAACCCGGAACCGTCTTGAAGGGCTGATTACGGATATAGGTGCTAATGTCAGCCTGGCGCGCACATTCATTGACGTAGTCGTGCACCTGGGGTAGGACAAAGCCTTGTTCAGTTGCATTACCCTTGAACTCGGGTATTTGGATGATATTGTATGGTTCAGTACGCGCTTTCTCGGCTGAGTCGTCCACTAGTACCGTATCAGCCTGGCTCCAGCGCTTTCCTTCTGCAAACTCTGGATGGCTGGCTGCAACTTCGGGGTCAGCCCATAGTGCACTTAGACGCTTATAACAGAGAACTCGCAGGTAGTAGTCTTCTTGTGTCAAACCAAAGTGGTCACGTCCCCAGACAGCAACAACACGTGAGCGCTGCTCAGGCGTGAGGAGTTGCTCACACATTCTGGTCACATTGTTTGGCTTTGCTGAAGACCAGATAACTACTTTGAAGGTATCAATGCAGTATCGCAGGAAGGTGCGGGCATGGGGGCGCTCTATGAAGGCCGTAGGGTTGTGTCGGCTGGGTCGGTACAGCAGCGTTCCGTTGAGGTCGATAACCACGAGGATCTTGCGCGCGTATGGCAACTGGAAGGGCGGATACGCCGCCAGTCTCAGATACTCTGGAGATGGATCTGGGACACCACCTGACGCCGCAGATGGTTGGACTTTATCGTCCCTACCCTTCTTTGATTTCTTGGATTTGGGATGTTTGCCCGGCCTTGCGCCATTGCCGTTAATGATTGCTGGGCTTTGTGAGCGAGATGCCTGAGATCCTATGAAGGAAGGTGGTGAGTAGGGAGGAGAGTCAGTTTCGGGTGGTGGTGTAGGAGTGTTCATAGGTATATTGGCGATGGGCGTGAATGGTGTGAAGGGCGTGGAAGCCTGCGGTTGAAATTGAGGTTGAAGTTGAAGTTGAGGTTGAGGTTGAGGTTGAGGTTGAGGTTGGGGATGAGGTTGCGGTTGTGGTTGTGGTTGTAGTGGTATTTGTCCTTGATAGTATACAGGGACATACTGGGAGGCTTCCGGGTTAAAATTTCCATAGGGGAGAGGGGGTGGATATCCCCATTGGTATCCCCAGTCTCCTGCACTCATGATGCGAGTTCCTTTGTTCTGGTGTAGTGAATTGTGTCCAGGTTGGGAGAATGCCGAATGTGTTGCGACGGTTGATGATCGGCAAGCTGAGACGCCTAGGTATTTAAAGGACGGCTTCAAGAGCCCAGTAGACACTTTTGCTACACTATGCAGCACATTACCGTGAGAAACGTGCCACATGAAGGAAACGTCGTAGCAAATGTTTCTTCACAAAGCGACAAAGTGAAGATGTTTGTGAATTAAAAACGACGCGCAGGCAAGCACCAAGTCGAATGCGACCCAAGGCTTGGTGGGGCCTAAAATATTTATCGATAACAAGTTAGATAACGAATTAGATAACGAATTAGTATCGTCTTATCATGTTATCGTCTTATTGCCGCCACTTTTTTTGTACGTTGCGCTACCTTAATGCACCTATCATTCACAAGTACATACATACATACAACATCAAAAGCTCAACAGATCAAACAACCCTCCCTATCAAGATGGAACGAATAGCGGCCTCCAAGCGCAAGGCGCCACTTGCAAACCTACAACGTCGTGTAAGGGCGAGAAGAGATGAACCGGAAGAGATCCCCAGTGACCAATCCCAAGGAGAGGAGAGCAATGAGGATGAGAGTTCCGAAGGACAGAGCGATGAGGAAGAAGATGACGATGAGGTATAGAAACCAAATTTGCAAATGGAAACCGATGAGCAAAACTCTAATAAACCTCATAGTCAGGTTCCTCATCTGAGGAAGACGAAGACGAAGCAGAAGACCCATCAACAGCCGCCTCACAGATCTCATTCGGCGCCTTAGCCAAAGCTCAAGCATCTCTCCCCGGTACACGGCGAGGGAAAGGGCGCAAAGGCCAAGACGAGGAAGAGGAAGATGACACAGACAACGACAAGCGACACAAAGACCCACGATCCGAATCCAAAGCAAAACCGCCCATGCCGCACCGTACCAACAAACACGCCCCCACCGAGCAAACCAGCAAACGCCAAGTCACCCGCCGACGAGAAGTCATCGCAACACACAAGCCCATAGCGCGAGACCCACGCTTCTCCGCCGCAGTCCAGGGGCGGCCCATAGACGAGGAGCGGCTCCACCGCGCCTACGGCTTCCTCGACGAGTACCGAGACTCGGAGATAGCCCAGCTACGGGCCGCGGCCAAGAAGACCAAAGACGCGGCCGCCAAGGAAGAACTCAAGCGCGCGCTAGCCTCGATGGAGGGCAAGAAGAAGGCGCAGCAGGCGCGCGAGGCCGAGCGCAAGCTGCTCGAGGAGCACCGCCGGCGGGAGAAGGAGCTCGTCAAGCAGGGCAAGAAGCCCTTCTACCTCAAGCGCAGCGAGCAGAAGAAGCAGTTGCTCGTCGACCGGTTTGCGGGCCTGAAGGGCAAGCAGGTCGATCGGGTGATTGAGCGGCGCAGGAAGAAGCTGGCTTCGAAGGAGAGGAGGGATATGCCGATGGAGAGGCGGGAGAGGTCATGATGGATGGATGGATATACCAGGCGATGGTGGTGATGATGACGAAAGGGGGTTTGATGTTACGAGCAGGATGGTCTGGTCTGGCATATACATATACATAGGTAGGTACCTAAGGTTAGGTACATGGCCCGCGACTTGCGGTCTATAGCAATTATTATGACAACAAACAAAATGATACCATTTTCCCGCAATTCTATCCACCCCCTTAATGCTCCGTTGTCCCTATTCCATATGACATATAACCTTAGGTACCTAAGGTAGATTGTTAATACAAAGGTGAGTGGTGGGTATAATCCGATCGATACATTTATATCCCCTATCATACAACAACATCCACATCCATCTTCTTTACCGCTCTCTCGAACAGCTCGCGGCACCGCACGCGGGCGCCCAGCTTAGCGCAGAGCAGGAAGGCACCGCTTAGTTTGCGGTGTAGACTATATGTTTCCTCGGGTGGGGGACTCAGACGCTCGCGGATCATGGTGGGGATGAGCGCCTTGACGCGCTCGGTAATGGTCTGGTCGCTGAAGTCGTACACTTGAGGCGCGGAGTGTAGGAACGGCTCGGCTAGTGTCAGGATCGAGGTCACATGTGCGTCAAGCATGGTTTTGCTCTCGTGGCCTGTAAGATATCCTAGGCTGCGCGATAGTTCGAGGACGGTGTGGCGGTCGGAGCGTGCGGCAGCAGCGAGCAGACCGACGTACTGGGTGACGAAGTGCTCTGGGAATTCGCGCGAAGCACCGAAGTCGAGGAGCTCGAATTTCTGGGAATCAGCGTTGTATAGGAAGTTGGTCCAGTTAGGATCCGTCTGCATGAAGCGGAACTCGGTGATCTCCCGCAAGCAAAGCCGCAGGATCTGTGTGCCGATCCAGTCCTTCTGCTCCTGCGTGAAGGATTTATTCCGTGTCACACCTACTCCCTCCATAAACTCCATCGTTAGAACGTGTTTCCCCGAGGCCTCTGCGTAGATCTTAGGCACAAGGAAGACGTCCGGCTCGTCAGCTAGAAGCTTCCGATACCGCTGCCCGCACTGGGCCTCTCGCTCGTAGTCGCACTCCCAACCCAGTTCTGTCCGTGCGTTGTCGATCGTCTTGTTAAGATATAGTCCCTTAGGTAGCATCTTAGAGGCGGTTAGAAGCATAGATATGTTGTCTAAGTCCGAGTTGATTGAGTCGGCAACGCCTGGGAATTGAATCTTAACAGCCACCTTTTCGCCTGTAGATTTAAGCGTCGCGCGGTGCACTTGGCCGATCGACGCCGCTGCGATCGGCTTGTCTTCGAACTCGTCAAATAACTCCCGCCATTTGGGTCCGAGGTTGGCCGTGAGCACGCGGTCACGCTGCCACGCGGGCATGTAATCGGCTCGATCCTGGACTCTCTGGAGGACCTCCTGAATGGGCGCGGGAAGCATCTTGGAGTCCTGGAAACTCATCAACTGGCCCATCTTCAGCGCAGCGCCTCGCATCCGGGAGAGCTTGGCAACGAGCCGCTCCATATTCCCAGAGCTGAGCAACACCGAGCCCTTGCCGCCGCCGCCGAGGCTTCTGCTAAGCCCCTCGGTGATAGCACCGCCTAGCATTCCGGCGGCTAACCCCCCGTAGTTCCATAATCGGCCCAAGCGGGTGGACGGTACTTTAGATTCCCGGAGAACATAGGCCGGTCTTGTCGACCCGTCATTGAACATGGCTTCTGTTTCGGCTGTTGCGTCCGGTGGTGTCTCTATTTCTGTTCTGGACAAGATTTCATCAACCATCTGAGTGTGTTCCTTCTCGGCCTCCTGGCTTATAGGTTCTCCTCTAGCAAATGGGACATCAGTATTGACTTCCGTATGTGTCATCTTCTCATTCGCCGCCGAGTCCCCCGGTGTTGCCGAACTTTCAGCAATAGGAGGCGATGTCTGGGTCTCCTCTTTGTGGGGTTTCACCTGTCCATGGCCGTAATCCTTAAACCACCCAGGAGACGGAGCCGCAATATTAGGCCGATTTGCACGTAGCATATCTTTTTGTCCCTTTAATATCTGCGAGCCTCGATTCGTGTGAAATACGTTTACATCCACATCTGAAGGAACATCCTCCCCAACTGCGGAGCTCGAAGCGGCGCCCGATGTTGCTAAATGGGGTTGAGAAGTACGATTTAATTCGACCTTGGTGCTTTTTTCAGCTTCCTCGGCTTTTTTCCTTAGTTGAGCTAGAATTGCACTTTGATCCGACTGGACCACTGAGGAGTGCTGTGAGGATGCCACGTCATTTGGTGAGCCGTGTCGAAAAGGGTTCCTATAGACATCTTGCTGGTCTAAGGGTGAGGCTCTAATATCATCGGCATCCTTTTGTATATTCCTTAATGGAGGATCCCTCGCATCAGGTTCTATACTTTCGGCTTGAGTTGCAGTTAAGTCGGACTGAGCAATTGCATCAAGAGTTGGCTCTTTACCACCACTAACTGAAGCATCGGTAACGCTGGATGTTTCCGGATGGATAGGATAAGTGCCCGGCTTCTTCTCTCTCAAGGACCGCACAATACTTGAGGTTCGGCCATAGCGGTCGATCTGTCGAGCTCGGAGCTCTATATGTCTCGATGCAACAGACCGAGATGCTTGGACGACAGCGGCCAAGTCGATAATAATATCCGCGAACCTCATAGGGGCGACTTTTTTGCCAAGCAGATATCTACCTCATGCTCTCATCCTAGCCCTATCCTTTGATTACCACTTCTATAAATTTTGGATAGTGCTAAGTGAGAGTGAAGTTGAGACGTCACTGGTTCTAAAGAGCACAAAAAATTGAGGGTACGAAGTACGTAGATCCAAGCTCCCGCCACATTGTGGCTGACGTAGTTTCCCTCTGAATTCTATCTTATTTTAGGTATCTTAGGTACCTATGGGCGTACCTAGAAGTCTAACACCAATAAGATCAAATTGGTGTTGAAGATGAGGCTAAAATAATGAAATAAAATAATGGAAATAGGATATAAAATTATATTTATCTTCCTAGGTACCTAACGTACGTACGTATTCATATTAGATTTTGAATAATGAGTCGTAGTGTAATTAACCAGGTTAAAAGTTCAGGAGGCAGAGGCCTACTTATGAAAATGTTCTTCGCTCAGGATATTTTCAGTACTTTTAGTTATGAATTATATTGTTTAAATATACTAGTCCCAGGCGATAGCGATCTAGTATAACCTACAGGTTTCCATCAAGTTAAATACATATTGTTACCAGGCTTATATCCGCTACCGAAGCCTCATATTACACCCCTAAAGTGCCATTTAGTTAATGCTATCATCTTACAAGCTTTGAAGTGCAGCCATAAGTACCATGTAAATAACCTGCTGTCGTGACCAAGAGCGTATCCGCCCCTTGTTTAAGGAGATGTGGGCCTCGTATGACTGACTTCGGGAGTATCACCTTTCTGACACTGTCCGATCGGCAAATACCAGCTACGGCGTAAAAGCTTACATTCATTTGATTGTATGGGGTGTTAAACGGCCAATATCCGTACGGGTATTGTGCTCCCGTTTCTCTCGGAAGTTCTAAGTTAGAACCAATAGAATCTATGCTGAACAATTTCCAGGCATTATGAGTACTCTAAGTAAAATAAGAGATGATATCCGTCTAATCCATAGGTCGATAGAAGGATCTTGATGTTTCTCATCTAACGACCGTTGAAGGCAAGGATATTATACGAGGTAATAAAAAAAAACCCAGTCCCTCTACAGTATCTTCCGCATTATGACCTTATTATCTTATATATAGCTATTTTGGATGGACTCTTACTTGGAATTATGACAACATAGCACTGCAAAGCACTGACATAATCCCTAGCCCCTTGTCTAACGGAGACCCGTCATGAAAAAGAGGAATGTCCCCTTTAGCGGATCCTCCGGGTTAGGAAAAATTACTATTATCTTGTCAATAGTAACGCATATAATGTTTATAATACCCCTATTTTGTTAGTATCTCTCCACAAGTGGCGTAGTTCTTGAATTTATGGAACAAATATATGTCATCCCTCAATCGGTATTAGCAGCTGAACGGAAATTTCACTTGATTCCATATCCGATTATATATTTTCACGGTATCTATCACAGTCCTGCACTAATGGCGTACTGGAACTTGTTTTGTAAAATGGTCGGAATGGATGGCGGCTTGATTGCATATCAATGTTTCTGATGTGAATAAAACTGACGATTCGGTTTGAAGTCCCCTGTCTCGGCTACGTTTCTAGGTCAGCCCGGAAAGATGTTCGATAACGTCACAGAACAAATCACGAGAATGTATTATACCAAATCAAGTTATAGAGGTGTAGAAAAATTTAGTATATTCGCGTCTTTCTAGCTAAATCATCTACGGCAGCCATCACCGTCTATACCGCAGGACCTTTCTAAGGCCCTTATTCCGTGGTATTCCGCCGCCGTCATGATCTTGGTTTGTCATCCAGTCATCGGAAAATGCAACACCCTCTCCCAACATTGTACAATATTCCCTACTAGTTCACACAGGATAGTGACTACAGGCGCTGGTCGTGCCATCGCAAAACCACCCGAGAATGAATAAAAAGACGGGAGGCGACTCCCGTCTTTCTGATGGACGCCTGTATATGCATGATATTTGACCCACCAATCCTTATCCTGCTGTAGAATTAGAACTAGTATATTGGCCTAGTGTCTGTTTTGGTATCGTACCAACCACACAACGCCTTTCAGTAGAAGAATCGAATCAGAGGAAAGAAAAGAGGCACAAGAGAACGATGGAGTTCATCGTGCTTCTGTAAAGAAGAAAGGATACTGTTGAAGGAAAGTTAACGAGGGGGTGGGAGTCTCTTGGGTAAGAAACACGGGTTCTAATAGTACATGTCGATTCATCTTTGTCTATAACCTCAAAAGCGGGCGATATAGTGTCCGCTTGTCCGATAGACCTTAGATCCAATTAGGCCTGCTATTTGCAGCGCTGCTTGAATTGCCACGACTTCGAGGTGGTAACTGTGTTGACGTGCCCTGTACGGGCGTGGTATTTGTCCTACGGGGGATATTGAACCCAACCCCCCTTGGACTCGGCGTCTTCGATTTCGTAGGGCTGTTCGGATCGTAGACTGTCGGATTTAAGGTACAGTCACTTCTCTCGTCTTCGGACCTGGCAGGCGTTGCTGGGAGATGTTTCATCCTCGAATCCCTCGAATAAGAACTCTGTGGCGGTGTAACATTTGATACGTTGAATGCAAGAGGGCTCGGCTGATAAATATTCAACTCTTCGTCCCGGACACAGTCTAGAGAATATACTCTTTCAGCCTCCGTAGAAACATTGCTATTTATCGGTCCGATATCTGCGATATTTGAGATACGTATACCTATTTGAACCGTTGTGGATGAGCTCATGGATGAGTTTCGAGTATGGCCACCCCAGGAAGTTCGGATTGACGGGGGTGGTCGAAGTAGGTCATCCAAATCGTCAGGAAGCCCATTCACGGCCAAACTTGGCTGGGGGTTAGGATTGTAGGCAGTTGGTGGTAATAATGCAACTGAGGTGATGTCTTGGTTTTTGTTGGGAAAGAGTGTGTAAGATGCTGATGGTTTTCGGTTGTGTGAATTGGCTGAAGGAGTGGTAGGTACTTGAACGGGCTCTGGGACTCGCGGAAAAGAAAAGTTCGGGGTCTCGAATACCGCATTGGACCTTAGGGGATTTGGTTTCATCGGACTGTACATCGGGGAATCTATAGAATACGTGCTCTCACCACGTTCCATAGCATCGCTCTTCTCATCCACAAGGTGCTCCTGACTTTCTGCCTTCGAGAAAGATCCAGGGCCCGACACTGGCTTGAGTATGTGACCGTTAAAGTCCATACTGGTTGCCGCTCCGGTTTCATATTGATTTTTCAACTTCTGGCGCTCGTATTCGGCCAGTTTGCTGCTAGAACCGATCGTAGCAATGGCGTTAGATCGAAGAAACAGATGAAGGCATCCGGTTGTGAGCCCCGAAACGTTAGCCACGACAGTTGCAATCATGGATAATGTTAACCCGGAACCACCACTATCCTCCATAGGATTCGCAAAAGTGAGGGACACGAAGAACGGGACGATTAAAGCCTGTGTATAGTTAGTACGTGTATACCTTGATGGTAAAGCGACAAGTGCTTACATTAGTTACGAATGCTAAAGCAAGGAAGTACACCATCCTAGAAGCGCTGATCCGCTCGGAATCCTCGATTGTCGAGTACCGTGTTAATTTCAAGGAGATGATGATGGCGCAGATCGCTAAAGTGACCGCGATAATGAGCAGTACCACAAAGCCGCCTTCGGCCCATCTTGCTACAAACCAGAAAAGTGAAGCAAAACAGAAAGTGGGAGGCCGAATGAAGTAGCCGACCAAACCGGTGGTTAATAAGAGGACCCCGACCACGGCGAGACAGATCGGAACATTCCACTTGCGTCTCGGGAGAAACGGTCTGCTTCCGAGAGCTCGAATGGTGACTTCTAATCCGAAGACTAGCTGCATATAAGGTACGATGAAAATCGCTGAAGAATTGTTTAGTATGGTGTCTTATCGATGTTCCGATCATATCGAGTACTACATACCAGGCCACATAAATTGCGATATCAAAGAGCACCCGCGTAGGAATATATCGTTCAAGCCATATGATTGAGAGACGGCAAATATAATGCCTTGGATTGTGATTCCTAAAGATAACATAAAGGGGTACGTCACGGGCCCTTGAACACAGCGGAAAATATTGACTCTTATAATCGTCGTAAGCACTACATTTATAGTTTGTTTTTGGGGCTATGATAACTCACCTCTGCTTGCTTTCTAGATTTGATCGTTTCGCTGTTGTGTAGCAGTCATAGTAGATGCCGGCTGCCGTCGCAAAAGCCGATACGGTATTGAAAGCGGCGAGGATGATTGTTGATTGCCGTATCGAACTTGCGGCCATGACCTTGAACTGATTAATGACACTAAATGTCGAGTTGCTGTTAAAAGCAGCTTGTGAGAATCCATTTGGATAGCCTAATGAGCTCATATTTCCCTGCCAGTTGTTGCCCATATTACTGAACCCGTGAAAGTTATCCATGTTGTCTAACACGGCTTATGCCCAAGTTTGGTCGATATCAGGCGAGGGCTTTGGGCCAAAGAGTCGCCTGTCGTTGTAGCCAAGTCATCTAACTAGAAAATGTGCCCGGATCGTGCTCGATATTACAGTGTGACGTTCGTTAACGAACAGGAGGATGAAAAGACAACGGGATGCAAAGCAAACATAGAAATATGCTATACAAAGAGCCAGCTCGTGAAATTAGGAAAAAAATCCTGAACCAGCAGTTATCAGGTCAAGCCTGAACGAAGGGAAACGAAAAGATGGTGACGGCCACAGACGAGCGTAGGCCGGTGAAGTGAAGAGCGTGCACCTAGCCACAAGTCTCCTCCAGAGGAGATGGCAAAAAGAGAAGAATACATAGAAGAAATCGATAATAAGAGACAGGCACCTCGAGGACTACTCCGAGGGTAGCAGTTCCGCGCGGGCCAGCCCAGGTCCGTGTTCGACTAACGGCTCGTTCTGCAAGATCGTTCAAGGGTACCGTCACCATCTTAGTGCTTGCACAGTCTAAGCTGGGAAATAGAAACACTCGCAATTGGCTACAACTGACCGATGGCGGCGAGAGCCCACACTGGTGAGGCTGCCTACTGGCCATATCGATTCATCCAAAATGAACAATCCAAGTAAGTACCTTTCGGACGAGATCCTATGAACTTCTAGGGTCCGAGTACACGGGCAATACCAATTCGAGCTAGGTTGGCCCGTTCTCGAAGAATCCGCAACCATGCTGCCATGATAATGGTGTACATAGTAATCCGTATGTACCCAGGTAGAGAGGGAGGACCCGCCATGGCTGGGACCAAGGCGCTGCTGTCAGATGTCAGAAAGCATTGAGTAGTAAGAGTAGATGAGGCAGAGATGGAACGCGTAGTGGTTTCGGCGTCCCTTGTTGTCTCGCTAAATTATCGCAATGAGGTTGGGGCTCGGGCCACTTGAGGGTCGCTTAAGCCTCATTAGGGAAGACTGAAGCCCAATCAAGATTAGTCTGGGAGTTGCCGCGGTCAGGGGTCAACCCTTCAGAACATAAGCCAGACGTACCCCTGTAACATGTTTTCTGACTTCAACTTCAACTTCTGGACCATATCGGTGGACTATCGAAGGATTTGATACCACGTAGATGCCTTTAGGTTCTAAACTCCTCGTATCGCCCATTAATCTTACTTGGAGCTTTCATATATCCAAAAGACTCCTGAAGTACGCGCTGCTGGATGTTTCTGCGCCCGTTTCTGGCCGTGATAGATAAGCTTACCATGGCGGGTCTGCGGATTTCTGAATAGATTCTACTGGTGAGGGTGAAATCGAAAGATCGTGTTACAATCTGACAAAGCAGACCCATGGTCCATACATACGTAAATCTAGGGCCTATCAGTAGCATGAGAGGGAAATGGTATCTCACCCTCGCAGCTTCTTCTTGGCTAACTTCATCATGTCGTAAGTAGGTGCTAGTTTGCTTTGGTAGCTTGTAGTGTACCTACGTTTATACATACTGATCTATACCCCGACGGAAATAGAGGTGATAATGATCGTGTCCGACTTAATGGTCGATCATAACGGTAACATCAAGATCCAACTTAAAGTATAATCTAACCCTATACCCCCCCCCCCCCCCCCCCCCTTTTCCTCAGAGGCTGGCTGGAGTTTGAAGCGCTGTTCGTAAGAGATAGTCAGCTTGGACTATGGGGGCGATGGGAACCCCTTGTGCGAATCGCTGCGGGTGTGATACAAGAAACGGCTGACGCGTGAGGTTCTGCTGATAATTGTTCAGACGAACTAACATGAGTTGAAAATTCTGCGAGAGGAAACTTCCAGATCTATATTAAGACCAGAGACCCAACTTCGACGAGAACTTATGAAGTTGATTAGTCGGCGTGTCGCCCATCTCTAGAAGAATATAGCTGACTCGGTGAAATCCAATCCCTACCAACGATATAGTTAGTAATGAAACATGGAACTATTTTTACCAGATTCATTAATGATATGAGTATAGACTCGGCTTAAGAAAACTCGATTTTATGCAATAATATATCCAAAGTCTAGGTAGGTTTATGGCATGAAAACTATCAAGGCATAGTATACTGCCGTGTTTAGTGATAGTACTAGTGATTGCATGGGTACCGGGAGAATAGGATGCCATCCGGACTCCTATCACGCCTGGGTAAGTCGCGGGGTAGCTTCCATGTGTCCAAGCAGATTTAAGCAGGTGAACCTTGGGCTGGGCTCTTGAGACTGGACTTGGTTGGTAGGAGTAATGTCGATCCGAGATGATGAGGATCACGACTAGATGTGAATTACCAAGCTTATTAATGTTGTACGGAAAACACGGGAATGGTGGCATCTCCTCGATAGCGCATTGTCCAGCTAGAGGGACCAATCGTATCTAGACCGATGAGCATGGTATAGTTTCGGAGGTTGAATAGGAGAGAGGCTGGAGAAAGGATGCCCTAGGTTTGCTCTTTACACAGACGTCTAGTGTAATTGTTTCCTACTATGTCATTATCACAATATGCTATTGGGACGATGTTAGGTGCATGTGAATTATGATGTAAAGAATTAACATCGTACATGTACCTTACGAAGTACACAATTAGACTTCGCTGTGTGGATTACATAATGTGCTCATACAGTATGATAAGCTCTACAGGCTAGAAACTAACACGGTGCATTTGGCTTTCTTTACCGAATCCCGCTTTCTCCAAACCCAGTGTTCCAAGTTGACAACACACCACACCTTTTCAAATGACGATGTTCTACCTAGAAATCAATCATCACTGCGCCTATAGCATTTATTTGTTGAATCTTGTCGAATCTTGTCTCACTGTATCTTCTTAGCCATGGATGAAACATCCCGCCATCGTTTGCTGATTATCAGCAACGTTTTGACCTCATGAATGTCCGTACGCGACCGTGGGTCCGACCGAATCGCCAACCACGGACCTACCATTACGCCCCTTCTCTCGACACTTGCCTCTCTCGCAACATGTCCTGAGATAGAAACCGTTGCCGGAAATTCGGAATACTGAATTTCCTTTCTAGCATCTTTCTACCATACCTATCGAAATTCGCTTGAGAGTTTTCGTCTCCCACAGTTGTTCCCATTCAACTACGCAGCTAGTTCAATTCACGATCTTTATCAGCGTCGGACCCATGTCTGTCTAGATGAAGGGGAAAATATCTACCTCCTATTCAGCATGGTGGACATTTCCATGGGGCTCTGCGCAATGCAGGTTGCCACAAGCCTTTTATGTCTTGACCATCGATACCCGGCAGAGGGAATAATACCCACCAGTCCGCCAGATTATAACACCCCTAAACCCTCTAAGAAATTGAAGGCTCTCTACTACTTTAACCGGATGTAGTCAAATTATTTGCAGGCGTAATGATGCCATGCTTTGTCGCCAACATCTGGCTCTACCGACCTTTGTCGTGGCAGCTCTATATTTCAATGAAGTCATCTAACTAATAGTCTTCATTTAGAGATGAGAGACCAAGATATCAAGATATACATTATCCCGTAACCTAATTTGGGTTTGCTACTACTTTCCAGAAGTATCAGATAGTTCTATATTTCTTCGCGTCTGGATTCTTGTGTCGAGGTCTATATCAGACTTGCATATTACATGGAAAGAACTGGGCTCTCTGGTAATTCCCCTTTGTGTGGTATTTGCATATTGACAAAGCAAATAATGGCCCAGAGAAGAAAGTCATCCTGCGGTATGATTCGGGGCCTTTCGATTTGATTCCAACTACGTCTTGCTCAAGCAGATGTCGACGAAACCCGTGGTCAGCCATCTGTTTAAGCAGCCCAATAAACGACTTCCCAATAATTCATCACTGTTAATTTCACTGGAAAGGGATCTAGCTTTAGTTCCGTTCTAAGATGACGTCAAGTTACGACGGAACCTTGGAGGCAACAGAATCGGCGAACGACAAAGACGCAAAGGCTGTCCTCAGGATATCGCTGGGATCTGGTATATACAGACAGCTAGGTTATATGGGTTGTGTTGCGTCTGACAATATATTAGTTGTTTATGCTAGGTGGAGAATTGGAATAGCGACAAAAAAAAGGATAACTATGGGTTTGAAGGGCGGGATGATATTTAGAGTGCACACATCATCGTAGATAGCATGTCCTGGTTTATCTTGCTGCTTGACTCGCCTGGTCACTCTTACTAGGCTCGTCGCTAAAGCCTGGAAGTGCTGAGACATTTCCAGGTGTTTGATCAGTCTCGATCAAAACACTCGAGACCTTTTTTTACTCGAGTGTGCTGCTCTTGCGGCGACCTGCACGCTGATATCCTTTGTCCACTGTCTCGGTGGTGCGAGCAGTGCTTAAAATTGGGGCTGGACTAAAATTGGATCTTTGATTCAAAAGTTGACAAAGTTCTACCCCTCGAACATCAGCGGTCTGAGTGGCGGTGGTAATAGTGGTGATAGAAGGTACGCTCAACAGTACTAACAAGTACCCTATCTGCACCTGTGCCCCCGGGGGTTAGGCTGGATGACAATTTGTGCCGCAAGGCTCCCGGGGCGGAAATGTCAAAGCTTCGCGACCCAGAAATCTTGGACGGGGAAAACCTTCAAAGCACCGCGGCTCATTTACAACATTACACTCTTCCCGACATTGAAACTAGCGAAGACTAGGCCACTTGCAATCATTTTTTTATTATCGAATCTGTCATACCACCCAAACCCCGACATTCCTCAATACCTCCGTTTTTACCCTCATCTCTATCATCTAGGTATTCCCCAAAGATCGCATCCAATATTGGCTTTGCGGGGCAGACAAGGGTAAGAAGAAGAAGAAGAAGAAAAAAAAGGTACCAGCGCATGTTTATCGACCACTTATCAGTCATCTTTCTCAGTGACTGAGGCTGCTGAGGTGGCCTGACCCATGTCTTTCGGCGACATAATTTTACCGTCCTCTCTCTTCTGACTTCAGCGGGCTGGCATTGGTTTAGCGGTACTCTGTCACTGGCATTGGCACTAATCAATGCAGTCAGTTAGTGCTAAAATGAGAGATGCCGACATGGATCCAGTAATGCATCGACACCCTAGCAGGCCTGGTCCTCAATCACCACCGCCAGCTTCAGCTCCAAACAACAAATTTGGATCTAAGGTCCATTCTCGAGATGTTGCGATGAAACACGATCAGAGCAACAAAGGTTACGACAACAACGACCACGACCGCGTCCGCGATCGCAGGGATCGAGATAGATTTGATTCGGACCGTCGAGTCTCAGTTATCAATTCCCACTCTAGGCCACCTGCATCGCGATCTCAGTCGCCTGCTTCCCGACGCCGAGAAGGCTACAGTGTCAGGACCGGGAATACTCGCGACGAGCCATTTTCGCGGCAGAACGACAGGTCTTACAAGTCCGATGTAAATCAACGTGGTCGATCGCAAGATCGAAGTAGGAACCTAGAGGACGACGGCTCTCGTGAGGTCAAGGATCGCCCTTTGCGGGACCACAGCAGGCACCGCAATATACCTACGTCTCCTAGACACGGTCCGAGAAGCAACGATTACGCGAGTCACGGTGCTAGAGGCCGATCCTTTTCGCCAACGTCCAGAAAAAGACGGAGGAGCCGGAGCCCGCTCCCTTTCCCACCTTCGCGGCCCAAGAAATCTCGGCGCGAGCGTGAACGTGACCGCCGACGTCGCGCTGAACGGGCGGAGAGGGTAGAGAAGGATCAGCCGAAAAGTTCAATCCCTGCATCCTCTCGTAGACGTTCTCTTTCGCCCCCTTACGACAACGAGTCTCATTCTAGGCGTGCCGACCGTAGCGAACTACTCGAGCCGCGTCGAAATCACCATCGCAGTCGTTCGCCGGCTCGTGAAGATAATTCTGAGCAGGACCCTTCTCTTCCTCTACGTCATCCACGGGGAGACTCCCAAAGTCGAGGTCGCAGTCGTTCTCAGCATTCCAGTTCCCGGCAGTCATCTTTCTCTCACACACGTTCACCACCCCGTCCACTTGATCGACAGCACCACGGTTCATCGGAAGCCGGCTCACGATCACGTCGGTCATCTCCTGCTTTTGAACCCCCTAGGCCTGATTTTCCGCCTAGGTCGCCTAGAGAGCGCGGGTCTCGTCGTTCTCGCAAGAAGGGCAAGCATCGTGAAGATCCTAAATTCCCTCTTGGTGGTCAGTTAGCGTCCGGTGCGAACAGTATCGAAGTCAATATGTCTAGGCGGTTAGAGCACCGAGGTCCTTCTAATACACAAGCGCCTCCTACTCGCCCCGGAAATTCTCAATATAACGATCGCCGACCTGCTCACTCAGCCCGTTCGCCGCTACGCCCCAATTCGGGTTCATCATTCCATGATTCCCCGACATCGCAATCACCGTATGGCAGTGGTAGAGCGGCTTGGAGTAACCAACGCCAAGGCTCACCCCATAGGTATGCTCAACTGAATTCCTATAGGTTCAAATCATTTACTCACCATCACAAATCTAGTCAGTATTCTGCGCAGCGTCCTCGAAGTAGTCATGGACCTCCTACCGGCCCCTCAGGTCACCACGCCTCAGGCCAATCACCTCAGCCGCCTACCGGGCCTATGTCCCAATCTTACCCTCACAACCGTAATTTTTCTAGAGGGGGCTTTCGGGGTAGCTCACACCCCGCTCGAGGTAATTATCGGAATATGGGGGGTGCTCAAAATGCTCAGCGACCAGGCGTTGGTAGAGGCATCCCTAGCTATTCCAGAGAGAATACTCCTCAACATCATCATAGTCCACAGCATTCTATATCAAACCATCCAGACCTAGCTGGAGCAAAGGAAGAGAGAGATGATGACAATGATGCATCCAGAGCATCGAAAACCCACAATGAAGATTTGTTATCGGAGAAGAATACTAATGAGCAGATGCCTCCGCCTCGACCCCCTCCCTCAGCTCCGACGGGTCCTGCAAGTTCGAAATTCAGCTTTGCCTTTAAGGCAACGAATAAAACACCGGTCGCGACCCCAAAGCCAGAAATCTCTCAAAAGTTCAACACGGCCCCTAAAAAGGAGCCACCCCCACTCGCTGATGATCGAGATCGAGATCGAGACCGTGACCGCGAGCGAGAGCGAGAGCGCGATAGAGAGCGCGAACGTGAACGTGAACGGGAACGTGAACGGGAGAGGGAGCGTGAGAGGCAGCGTGAGCGCGATCGTGACCGGGACCGGGACTTACCTCGAGATACTCCAAGGGAGCCTGCTTCTGCAAGAGCAAGGTCGGATTATCATGCTAATAGAGCTCCTCCCGAGTTACCAAGGACACGGAAGGTAAAGAGAATACAACGAAGATTGAAACTGAAGCCTGAATTACCAACCGACCTCGCTGCGTCAGATTCGGTATTCTTTAGAAAACCTGGCAACGAGTCAGTTGTGGGATCGGGTACATATGGCAAAGTCTTCAAGGGCCTCCACGTATATACTAAGAGGCTTGTTGCTCTGAAAAAGATACGCATGGAAGGAGAAAGAGATGGGTTCCCGGTTACCGCGGTGCGGGAAATCAAGCTTCTCCAATCCTTGAAACATCGAAATATTGTCACCTTGCAGGAAGTTATGGTTGAGAAGAACGATTGTTTCATGGTTTTTGAATACATGTCTCACGACCTTACGGGCTTGTTAAACCATCCGTCGTATAAACTTGATGCGGCACAGAAGAAGCACCTTGCTCTACAGATATTTGAAGGCCTAGACTATCTACACAAACGAGGAGTATTACACCGCGACATAAAGGCAGCTAATATCCTTGTTAGTAGTGACGGTGTCTTAAAGCTAGCAGACTTTGGCCTAGCACGTTTCTATGCAAAACGTCACCAACTCGACTACACGAACCGAGTTATCACTATTTGGTACAGATCTCCCGAGCTATTACTTGGCGAGACACAGTATGGTGCTGCCGTGGATATCTGGAGCGCAGCCTGTGTCATGATGGAAATTTTCACACGTCATGCCATCTTCCCTGGAGATGGTGGTGAGATCAACCAGCTGGAGAAGATATATGCCGTGCTCGGTACGCCGAATAAGAACGATTGGCCTGCGCTTATCGACATGCCCTGGTTTGAGTTACTGAGGCCTGGGTTTCGACGGCCTAATGTATTCGCTGAAAAATACAAGGAACGAGTGCCAGCAGCTGCCTTCGAACTTCTCGCTGCCATGTTTCAGTATGATCCAGTGAAACGTCCGTCTGCGGCAGAAGTTTTGGAACATCCCTACTTCACGACGGAGCAGCCGCCCGCAAGGCAAGCTATTGAGTACGTATTCATTCGCCTCGCTCATTTATCGCAAGTATGCTAACTTTTCATAGACTGCGTGATCTGGAGGGTGAATGGCACGAGTTTGAGTCGAAGGCACTGCGTCGGGAGAAGGAGAAGCAGGAGCGAGACGCACGGCGTGCTGCTAAAGAAGGTAGCAGCCGTGATAAAGATAAGAAACGGCCGCCGTCAACCCACGAGTCACAACGAGACAGCAAACGTCCGCATATTGACGGGCAACCACCTACGCTAGGTCGAGCTTCAAGCTCTAACGTTGTACAGTCTGGCGAGCCTGTAGCGGGCGAAACGGTACCAGAGTAGGACCAGGCCATCATTTTCTACAGAAGAAAAGTCGAACAATTACAGCATAGACGGTGAGGAAGCCATAGCAGAGGTGTGTAGACTAGAGTTCCGCGACGGGGGATGATGGATTATATATTTCGAAAGATATAACTCCAGAATACCTATCGAAGAGGTGGGCGTGTACAAAAATTAGGCAGAAGGAACCTCTGGTATGGGATTGACTTTGGGGCATCATTCGTGGTATGGAGGCTCCCATCACGTGTAGGAGCAGCCTCATTCACTGGCTCGAGGCTCGGTGTTGTTGCTCGCGCGTTTATAGCATTGGTAGCGTGGATCCTAAGGATACACTCAGATAGCTTCATGGAATGCTGTATAAAGGAGTGGTATGTTACGCTCTAGAGAGGCGAAATATAATGATATCAATCCCATATTTTGTCTTCTTCGCTTTGTCTGACAGCGGAGAGCTCTCTTGGCTAGTATAATAGTTTATGTTTAGGAGATTGATAAGTTTGGGGAGGCTCTGTTAATACCGAATCAATATTTAAGTGTTCCATGCTATTGTTTAGGCTCCGTACGATATCAAACTAGTAGTATTCGGCAACATCATGCTTTAGGTAGGCAGGCACGGGAATTAGCATCTGCATAATCGGGGAATACCCGGCACTCTGTCGGGTCCGTGTGGAGACAAGTTTTGCCGTTTCTGGAAGCTAAGCTTTTGCTGCCACATCCCGGCAGGTCGGGTAGAGTGATACTGTAGGTGCCTGCACTATGTAATACCAAAACCACGGTCCGGGGTTTATTCTGCATCTAGACTGCGGGGGCGATAATGATGTGTCATTCGGCATATGCACAAGGGATACACGGCAGGATATTCTAGATTCAGGTTGAAGGTGAGTATAAGAATTGCTAATTGAATCCGAGTCTTGGCAACTCTTTATGTTTGTAGACTACCCAAAGTAGGGTTGGTTAGTAGACTAGGTAGGTAGGTAGTTATAGGATCACAACGTCATTTTCATTTCTTGACATCGTCGTGATCCGTGCTAACAATTATATCTTCCCACTCCTTAATCAGCGCCTCGGTGCTCTGAATCTTATCCTTGATAGCTTCGAATGCATCGCGGCCGAGCACGAGTCTCACAGGGATCTTCTTGCCCTCCGCGACCCCCGTCTGCGTCAACACATCAACAATGACCTTGGCGCCCTTAACAACGTCGCCGGGCTGGTAGTTGTCGACACTATTGAGTCGGTCCCGCGTCACATTCACAGGCGTGTTCTTGTACTCCTCCATCAAGGGCTTCGCAGCCCGGATGCGGTTGCTACCGCCCTCGTTAAGAAATCCCGTCCGGAAGTATCCAGGCTCGATGACGACGGCGGATATCCCGAACGCGCTGACCTCCTGATGCACCGTCTCTGTGAACCCGGTCACGGCATATTTGGTCGAGGAGTAGTAGCTTGCTCCGGGGAGTCCTTGCCAGCTGACCAGGCTGCCGAAGTTGGCGATTACTCCCTGCCGGCGAGGGCGCATGTGTTGGAGCGCGTGGCGCGTCATGTTCATGATGCCGAGGACGTTGGTGTTGAACTGGTTGAATACTTCCTGAGTCCTATATCCGAATATCAGCAGATCAGTATCTTACCTCTCATAAATCGCCACATAGAGAGGAACCTCAACTTACGAACTTTCTTCAGCAGAACCTTCTAAGATATATCCTGCCGCATTGATGCAGTGTGTGATCTTGCCGTAGGCATCGATAGCCTTCTGGAACACGGCTTGGATGGACGCATCATTGGAAGTCACATCCAGAGCCAGGACTAGGGCACCGGCTTCCTTGAGGTCTGCCATCTTGGCCGGGTTGCGCGACGTGGCAACTACATTGTCACCCCGCCTTAGAGCTTCGAAGCCGATAGCACGGCCAAAGCCATTGCTTGCTCCTACGATAAACCATACGTTGCTAGCCATGATACTATGTCGGAAAGAACGCAACGTGGTCTTGGTTAAGATTGCGTAGAATGGTCTATGAATGAGAGATATGTACGAAGATTCCGGAACTTGGACGGTTGAGAGATATAGAATACTCGTAAAGACGTGATGAAGGCTGTCATATCATAGACGGCTGCCCGCTTTTTAATACTCGCATGAGGGACTGTAGATACCGAAGGCCGAGAAGAGTGAGACTCCATACCTACCTAGGTAGGTAGTAGGTAGGTTAGCCTAAGTAAGGGCTAATGTGAAACCCTGCTGGCGTTAAGTGAACAGAAGACGAAAAACCGACGTGTGTGAATCCTGAATCACGTCTTGAAGGCTTTCGATCGAGATTCTCTAATAGGCCGCCACGTTCTATTATATATTGCCAAGACGGCATACACTAGGTGAAGTTACGCAACTAGAAGCCACTCGGATACAGGCGACTTTCCTCTGCCGTTAGTTTATTTAGATTTGGAACTGATTGTTACCAGAATACCAGTGTAGAAACAGAACTTGCCAACTATTCTGCAATGGTATAGGAGTGCTGTATTGAGGTTGATGGATATCTTCTCCTTTGCTTCTTGCCCTGTTTGCTAGTATATATAATCATCTGACGGCTTGCTACGGCCGGCTATGGTGAAGATTTGAGCATGAATCCCAGTTTCAGAACATTTCAGCCTCTATCTCCTCATAGTCTAAGTACACTTCCACCCGGCAACGTTATACCCGTCATGGGCTGGCCTATTACCTACACTCTCACTATCTATATTATAGTTATTGTGGCGTCTACGCCAGTGTCGTACCAATCCTTGGGCACATTGGAGATGCTCCCTACCCTCTCCATATACCCAGGAAACCTTGGTGACCTGCCCAATATCAAACCCATGTGATCACTCTTCATCCAATGGCACTTTGCAACACAGAAAAACGCTGCCCCTGTCTCCAACGCAATTCCAGATGTTGTGACTCGCGACCGGCGAGCAGAGGAGTCAGTATGTCCAGGCACAGTCCATGACTCCAAAGCGCCATCAGTTCGGAAGTGCTGCTTTCGGCTGTAAGAGCCATCGCCTTTTCGGTAGTAAACCCAGTGCTCGTTCTTATGGTAGTCGGCCGAAAGCCGACAATACTTGATTCGGCCTCGGAGAGTGATGGTGCCCCCTGATACTTGCCCGTAAGAGTTGGCCCCTACTACATCTGTCCGGGCATCGACCACAGAGGCAAGAAGCTGTGGATCCTGCATCGGGTTCCAAGTCACACCCCAGTTCATCGACGCCCATGACCACGTTGGCGCATTCTCTTCGTGTTCCTTCGTCATTAACGGTAGATGTGCGCGGCCCGGCATTATTTGATAATAGGTTAGTAATTGTCCCTTTTAATAAGTAGCTTAGGGGCATCGGATATTTCACCGAAGCGACATTTCCCTGCTTTGTTGGGAAGTTTTTGGAAGTACGTACAAGAAGATCTAAAAGCAGAGACTCGCTCCATAGGCCGGCAAGATATTTACTAGTCCTCACCTGCGGCATGATAGTAGCAGCGCCGGCTATGGCCGGGAGCTTGTCACTAGTGAACGTTAATTGGCGCGAAGTGTATGATTTGACAATCATGTGCCACTGTTCCAAGGGGGTTACTTCGCCCAACGAGCCAGGGACTGTGGACGGATAAGGAGGCAGTTGATCCTCGCTCTTCCGATGCGTCCGGCATTCGTATATGATAGCACCTGGGGCGAAGTTGAGGATCCGTGGCGCGAGGAACGATTCTTGAAAGCACCATCCACGCGCATAAAGGGGACCAACTTTCTTCAACACGGCCCATGAACCCGTGAAAGGCGGCTCGAGTAGCCCTTGGTCAAGCGGCGCTGCTAGGAGATGTCGCTGTCGGACCATAATCGATATATTAGCACCGGGTGCGATAGGAAAATTAAAACGCTTCGGAAGCCATTCTTCTTCTCGAGGTCGTAAGTACGGCGTACTAGGATTGGGCGAAGAGGCACCACTGATAACAATAAACGCGCGGCTATACACCTCACCCATGAGAGCTGCCTCCTTCTCCCAGTCTGTCTTGTCGTCTTGGACGATACAAAGGGAATCTATCCAAACATATACTAATCCAAGCTCTTGAGCAACAGTGATTGCATCTTGAAATGTGAGCGGTAACTCTGAGAAATCAATACGCTCTTTCAGGGTACCCAGAGTCGACTTTGTCAATGATAGCGGCTTGCCACCACCCCAACAATGACTTAACGCTGCCCACGTAATATTACCCCCTGAAGAAATATTATCGCAGAGTCTGAGCGCGTTCTTCCCTCCACCGACGTATATTAACCTTGTCGGAACGAAGCCATTAGGGTGTGCAGCACATCCGGGATGTGCTCTACAGCATTCATTAATGCTTTCCTTCATAAACCTCATGCATTCCTCAGACCGGACATCTGCTGCACGAGGACCTACGGGCCCCATTGTAGGGGCTCCTGGTATAGGGGATGGAGGCATAGGGTCCATGTACAACTCTAGATCTACCCTCGGATTCTGAAACCATTTATCGTACGTGAAGTTCCAGCAGTTAACTATCAAAGGTGCCCCTTCTCTGATCATCAGACCAACCTGTATCGGCATGGCATTTTTGGTCTCCGTAATCCAGCTCATCCATTCGTCGATGAAATACGCGTCAAATATTTCGCAAAGGAGCCGACAGTACTTGCAATCGTTCTTAGGACGACCGGTCTGAGGATCGACTTCACGACTCTCTAAAATCTTCTTCGTTGATACCTTTTCTAGGACAAGAGTAGGAACGGAGGCAAGCTCCTTTTTGCGAGTAGCCCGCTGAGGGTCTCTAAGCTGATTCCATGCGGCGCTGGGTCGACCGAATGTATCTTCGTGCCCATAAGGCTGTAGGTTGTTGCAGACGAGACAAATACCCGTCTTGCCTCCTTTTATATGCCGCGAGACGGCGTTCCCAGCCCAAACCGCGGTGTCGGCTGCTAATCGCACTCCCTTAGTAATATCCTTGGCGGAACTGAATAGACTCAGCATTTTGGAGTTGTAGATAGCAACACTAAAGTAGTAATCTAGTCCGACGTAGTCATATCATCATGCGTTAGAAACGCAACGACGTTGACGGGCCAATGTAGAAAGGCTATAACTATATTTCAAAGCGCAGTCTTAGTTTAAATATTAGCTCTTTAATTAGTAGAAAGCTACAATATCGCAAGTGGTCTTACATATTTAGACGTGTAACGACTATATGATGTTGCCAAGTCTCAGCCGCATTACACTACCCAGGATAGTGTAGGCGCCGACCTGGTACATACGCGCAATTAGCGTAGCATCGCCCCGTTGGGGACATGTTCGTTTTCAGCTCCGAATCGTATACTACCTTCTATATCATGATCGTGGCTGTGCTTTGGTGTGATTGTGACATGCAGTTCGAGCCACCTGATATCATAAATTGACTTGGAAAAAGTTAGGTACGGAACTCTAGTAGTATTAATAATGCTCCTTAAGTTTATAGACCATGATGGTTTGATCTTGATATAAAATTGAGCGTTGAATATAGTGTGAAGAAACTCAAGACGTTTAACAACCCGATTAGTAAGGGTAGAAAAAGTCTGGTTTCCGACATGTGAGGCAAGATATTGGCTATTAAGTCGTAAGTTTAGTTAATGGCTATCTTACTAAGGGATGTATGCGAGATGGCACTGTTCTCATCCAGAGAAACCTAGCCCCTATACTAAGGGCAAGGTGGCTTACCTACAACCAAGCCACGGATAATATGACATGGCCCTTACCTACACAACTGCTGAGCCTGCGGAGTATATGAGCATGCCGAATCTCACCTTTAAATGAAAACTCATTATCCAATAAGAAGACCGTAGGCAACGATTTTGAGGAATATAACCCTTCCCCTAGCTTATCAAGCAGATTACCCGGTAATTCTTCATCCACGGCAGTTCCTCAAGACTACTAGGTTCCCACGCTGCTGCCGCGACTTGACCGAGATCATTATGGAGGTAGGGGGCGTAATCGTCTTTGAGGTGCACCCCCTAGTCGCCACGGGTTTGATATATCGACGTATTGAACTGTGATCTGTGTACGACTATATCTTAGCTGGTGAGGTTTAAGGACCGTCGAAAACTTCCTCCTGTGTCCTGCACTATCTAGTTTCCTCTCTACTTAAATTTAATAGTAAAAAGAAAGAGAAAGAAAAGATGCAGTGGCGTTCTCTTGCTGCCCTGGCAGCACTCCAGTTAGCGCATGACGTCGCATATGCGCAACAGATGATGCGCTTCTCGTGCCCGAAGCTAACCATCGAGCGTTTAGACCCGCTGGTCTCGCCAGGTATGGAACAGTCACCGCATATGCATCAGGTCGGCGGCGGAAACTCGTTTCGAGCGTCTATGCCACCCGTTGATTTCGATCCTGTGAAGGAGTCGACCTGTACTTCGTGTACCTTTGCCGAGGACTTCTCGAACTACTGGACTGCCAACTTGTTCTTCAGGGCTCGTAATGGGACCTTGAAACGCGTACCACAACTGGTGAATATGGGCCTGAAAGCCGACGGGGGTTTAACCGTGTATTATATCCCACCGTATGATGGCAAGACTAATGTTACCGCATTCAAACCGGTGAGTATCCAAGCCATGATATCTGAGAACACTCATGTACCCCTCTGTCTTGGATTAAAACTTGCTGACAGGAGTGTTTTACATAGGGGTTCCGTATGCTGGTTGGGGACCCGATGCTACGACAAGCTGAAGGCCAGCAGCGACAGATTTGCCACCGGTGCTTCAGCACGATTAACCAGGTGCCGTTCGGCGGCGCACCTTGCACGGGCGACGATACAGCATCCCTTCCTCCTGGGATGTGCAACGGCGGTATTCGCACCACGATTACCTTCCCTACATGATGGTACGGGGTCAATGTCGACTCGCCTGATCACAAGAGTCACGTCGCATACCCTGAGACCGGATCTTCCGAGAGCGGCGGCCCTTGTCCGGCCAGTCATCCCGTCAAGCTCCCACAGTTGATGTAGCTTTCTCCCTTTTTTCTCTAGGGTTAAGATTGGCTGCTAACGTAAAAAACATGAGCTAGGTATGAAGTTATATGGGACGTAAGTACTATGGTTTCTATCTGGATGCTTTCGGGGGCTGCAAGTTTCAGACGGGATCGATATTTAGAGCCACGGTGACCTTGCTCGTTTGCTAATCCGGATGATTCATAGACGCGACCCTTCAATGACCCGGATTTGTGACCCGAGGACGGGTCTCAGCCCCTGGTTTATAATATGGGAGATGGGTGAGTTTCTGAACTCTTCCGAGAGAATGTGACGAAGAGTAGTTGGAATGATGGCTGATAGCCTCTAGTTCCGGTTACGGCCAACGTGGTGACTACCTCTTCGGCTGGAAGGACGATGCCCTCCAGAGAGCATTGGATGCTCGTTGTAGCAACGATCGTTGCGCACAGCTTAAATCGCAGACTTCCGATGATGCGATGCGGTGCACACTTAACCAGGCCGTTCCAGAGAAGTACGATGGATGTAAGTCGATTATTATAATTCTCGATATACTTGATGTGGGTGTATTGACCGTGTATGAATAGGGCTCAACCAGCTCCCTGGTAATTGGACTATCACTTACAGCTAGACTGAAAATGAGATAATGTAATGTGGATTGGATATAGATAATTCTTGAGATTGGTGTAGATGCTTCTATGAAGGTTCTTGCAAGGTAAAGTTCGCCCGTTTGGGTGACATCATAGCGTTGGTGGATGGAATGCGAAAAGAATCTTTTGAATTGCTAGAATGATAAGCAGGGGCAGCCTCTTATCGTAAACCCCACTTTATCATTATCTGTGGCTAGTAACGAGGCGCGTAGAGGACTCTTGGCAGCTACAGCTACCTCCTGGAGGTGAATTTGGAAGCTTCAACTTAACGTTTTCAGCTGTGCAAGCTCAAGTTTAATACCATCTACAACACTCATCCACAACACTCACCTTCTTATTTTAGGGAAGGTTGGTACTTATAGCCTTGGGAATAACAAGCCAGAAAGTACACTAGATTATAGTCCTTACTTATATCATAACTGTGCCCTTCATACAAATGCGCCGCACTCGGATTTCCCATCCCACGTCATAGCACAAACATTCAACGCGACCGCGATTCCACGGAACTATGCCGACGTCATGGACACTACGAACGCGTCAAATCCGCTTCAGCAGCTCGGCGCAGCGAACAGGATTGCTATCGCAGACTTAACCCCCGAAATTCAAGACTCGGCATCTCGTGCTGTGCGTGGTGTGGTTACTATCACATGGCCCTATAATTCTGTTAAAGGCACGTTTGCTTTTATCCTCGCTGAACCTGACTACCGTCTTCGTAGAAGCAAGGGGCAGGTTCGTATAAATCTGAACGGTGCATCTGCTAAGGCCGCTGGAGAGAGCGGGCTAAGTAGCGGCGATGAAGTTCTCGTCAGCTTGGATGGAGCTGAGTGGGAACCTGAACAAACCAAGAAGCGGCAGAGTTTACCAGGCGCGGGGATTGATTGGCAGTTGAAATTCTCAGATAAGCTCATACTTCAGGTGATTATATATATGTGTGTACATCTCATGGTTTAGCAATTGCTCACATCTTTTCTAGGTTATCCTGACCGAGACTGGAGAGACCAAGCTCGTCAATGTCGACCGTCCTCCTCCCGCAGAGCCCCAACCTCGGGCTGAAACGCCGCCGACCGAAATATCTCACGAAGAAGACCTTCCCGCTCAAATACTCGAAACTCTCACGCCACCTAGTAAAACGTATATTGCGAAGCTCAAAGATGGCGAATTCGAATCCCCGGCTTTCGTTAAGAGAGCTCGGATGTCATACGGATCCCTATTCGAAGATGGATACGACATATTCGAGGACGATGGTGGAGTCAAAGGGAGAGGCCGGAAAAGGTCAAGATTTGGTCGCGAAAGCGGTGCGTGGAAATATACTAGCCAGTCTCCTAGCCCTGAACCTACCTCACCTCAGGCCATCGTGAGCTCTCCGCCAAGACCTGATATGACTGATGAAGGATGTCAAACCATGGAAATCGATCTACCAATGCCTTTGCCTACGCAAGAAAACAGTAAAAACGAAGCACAGCTGATCTTGGAGTCGACATCAAGAGTAGAAGATGCTACTCATCCCCAACAAGGAATGGTGGATCACGGTGTTCAAGGGGATCTTCACAGCGAATGGCCAGTCGCGACACCTACACCACTCCCACCACCCGGGCCTAGCAGTGAACTTCCCAGTAGTGGACCTGAATTGTCTGCGTTCCAGGCCGCCGATGGATTTAACATAGTCACTGACGACCTTCAGCGATGGAACGCTCCACCTCTAAACCTTCCGCCTGAAGGCTACTTACATACTACTGAACCTCCATCAGCTAACGGGTTCTCAAATACTTTCGAGATCGAAACATCCGTGGGCCATGATATAATGAGACCTGGAAGCCGTACACACTCGCCAAACGAACCTAATCACCTTGCTGTTGAACATGATGAGCATCATCTTAATGAGGGCCCGGCCACTGATGAGCAAGGCTACCCAATTCACGCTACATTACATAGCACGGACTACCCGCCGCTGGGTCTTGAAGATGAAGAGGAAAGTACCACGGTACCTCAAGTGGCACATATGGACTATCCTCCTTCCTATCTAGATAGCAATCACCCCTTCTCCCAAGAGGAGACTATGGATATTGAACGAGACTCATTCGATTCTAGCGTCCCTGCAGCTGAAATTGTAGGATCATCGTCTTGGGCTACGGTCAATAACCCATCTCAAGCGACTTCGATGCCTCATACTGGCCGGTTGGGTAGTGCAGAGGGGGAATCTCCCGATACTGCAGTTGTCATAGACGAAAGTGATTCGGACGACGAACCACCACCGCCGACTGCTACAGAGGACACAGTCATGACCGGTCAAGCTGATGCTCTCGAAATGTATGAAGAAGCAGAAGTTGAAGATGACGTGGATGCTGAGTATTCGGATGATGATGAACCTGAATATGATGCCGACGAAATGGGCGGTGACTACGATACAAGGAATTATACCGCACCAGATGATGATGAAGATGATAGTCACGATGAAGACTTGGGACCACGCGAACTAGAACCCGAGTTTGACGACGGCGAAAGCTGGGACGAAGAGGACGAGGACGCCGAAAATCTTGAGTATGAAAGCGAGTACGAAACTGATGACAACAATGAGGAGAATCGAAAACCTGTGCGGCCAGTTTCACAGTCTATCCCTCAGGTCATTGATCTCATTTCATCCTCGGAGGATGAAGGGGAGGATGACGAAGCTACCCAGCCGCGACAAGCGGCTCGACCAGTCGCTGGTAGTATATCACAAAGTCAACCAGCAACATCGCCAGGAATTATATCAAAACAAGCACTTGTACAGCCTGCCGAAAGTGGAAGTGAAAGTGAAGAAGATAGCGAGGATAGCCTGGATAACGAGGAGAAGAACGATGAAGAAGACGAGGAGGGTGGCAAAGATATTGAAAGGGAGGACGTCATCAGCTCAGTCGATTCAATTGACAAACCAGATTCCGAGTCCTCGGGAGGCGAGAATGAAGATGTTGAGAGAATGCTTGAGGAAGAACTTGAAGAAGCAGCGCTTAGTCCTGGAGACGATGATGTGGCGGAGTCTATTGATATGGGTTCTCAGCAACTGCCCGCTGTATCCGGAACCTCGCGTCCTAACGAGTTTACCGTACATAAAAAAACATCGCCTGAGCCTAGCCATACAGGGTTAATGGGCACGAAAACCAAGGAGGAATATAAAGATGGCAATGATCGACAATCCGCGGCCGACGGACTCGACCTTCTAGGTCGAGTAGTCGAAAGCGAATGGAACGACAATCATGTCACTTCTCCTAGGGAGATACAAGATGAAGACGCTATTGACACCATGCCAGCTAAAGGTGACGAACCCCTAGCGGAACGTATAGAAGTGCCAGAGGAACAAGTAGAAGGACATGAATCCCTAAATTCTCAGGAGGATGAGGAAATGGTCGATATGGTACCTATTTTACCAGCTACTTCTTCAACCCCGCAGCCTGTAGCAGTAGACGAAGAGAGGCAAGTCGAAACCACAGCACCCTCGTCCCCTCCGTTAACACATTCGTTCATATCGCTATCTGCGGATGACAAAAAGATGGATGTTGTGTTGCGAGAAAATATTGCTGTTACGGGACCCCGGCTTCCGGCCGACCAGCTGCCGACACCTCGAGATACACAATTAACGGGTGATATCACGGTATTAGACTCTGTTGCAGTTGTTTCTATGGATGTTGATGAGCCAGACGTGATAGACGATACGACAGGGCTTTCACCCGTGGCTGAGCAATTGGCCAGTAGAAAACCACCTTCGGTAGCTGCTGAAGATATCATTACAAATGTCGAGGAACAGCCTACTGAACGTAGCACAGTTCAATCAGAAAAGACTCACCTTGAAGAAATCTCCCAGGATACCACACAACGGAACAACTTGCTTGCTTCGCCAAGTTTATCCTTCCAGACTCAGGTTGCTGCTGAGGAAATGGTCCCAGCAAGTTTCGTTGAGCCTATTCCTGAGATTACGATCGAACTTGAGACAGGAACTGATACCCGACCTGACATTGAGACTAGTATTTCTCGTGCTAGCCTGTCATTTATATCTCAGATGGAGGTCGATGAAGAACTGCAAGCCAGTATCATGGAAAATTCGGAGTTCGATGATGATACGGATACTGAGGTGGTAGAGGAACGTGGAATTCGGTACCAGGTCGAAGAATATGAATATGAGGGTAGTCCCGCTCAAAGTGAGGACGATGTTCGCACAGAGCTTGAAAGCCAAAGTCCCGTATCGAGAGATCCGTCTCCAGATCTTGGAACGCAGATACAAGAGCAACGGGACACTGGGCGGACCAATTCAGCCGACATAGAAGCTGACTCTCCTGAGCAAGCGTCACAAACGGACCCGAGCGTGCAGCTTGCACGTATTGCATATGCTTTTAAGCGAAGGGTGAAGAACCATGATGCAAACAAGATTACTCCCGCAGACGAGATAAATATGTCTGCTGTTGAACGTTCGTCGCCTGGTGTGGAAGATTCAAGCGTGCAACTAGCTCGAGCTTCTTTAACTAGATCCTCACAGGGTGAGGAAGAAAGCTATTCGATGACGGCGGCGAAACTAAAACTTGTGCGTCATCTTCGGGATGAATTGCCTGACTGTACGCCTCTCAAGGTTTTGCGACAGCATCTTCAGAAGAAGCTAGACGTAATTGCCGTCGCCATGATGCACCCGCCGGACCCACAAAGAGCTAAGGGAGGCCCGCGCGAGTTCATGATGTCGTTTACTATAACCGATCACTCGATCGGCCCCTATTTGGTTGTGGAAGCACAACTATATCGACCGCACAAAGAAACGCTGCCAATCGTCAAGGCCGGCGATGTTGTGCTCCTTCGCAACTTCACGGTCATCTCACTTCAAGGCAAGGGCTTCGGCTTACGCACAAATGACGAGTCGAGCTGGGCCATTTTTGACCAAGATAGTGAGCCGCCTCAGATCAAGGGACCTCCCGTCGAATACGGCGAGAGAGAGACCACTTATGTAGCGCACATGCGGGCGTGGTATAACCTACTGGATGAGAAAGCGAGGTTGAAACTTGAAAGGGCCAATAAGAAGATAATCGATGCGGGCAAATCCAAGTAGGGATGGAACTGGTTCAAGTCTCTACGCTGGAGAGTATTATAGTATTTTGCTACGACGATTCTCGAATTTCAGGTACCTAATGTATACTTATTCATCTTTGCCTTGCATTACAGTTAGGAGTTAGGGGGGAAAAGACAATTACTCCCTATTTTATGATATGGGAATGGTAGATAGCATACTAAGGCACCGGGCTTAATGATATATACCAGGTAATTATGGTATTTTTAGCATTGACGGGTATGCTTTCAAATGAGTGAGGCGTGAATTTGACTCTTAGCTACGGTATCCGACCCCTTACCTAGACCTACTAGGTAGCTCAACAATTTTAGGTAGCCAATCGGTTCTTGTATTGGCAGCACGGGTAGCCTTAGCTGTAGGTATCGCGAGCTTATGATTTCGGTGAGGTTTCAACTCTTATTATCGTTCGAGCGCGCCTTTCCAGGTCCAAGCAACTTCGTACTCTCCTAACCACTAATGTTCTGCGCTTGGTCGTTACGTAGATGCTAGCACCCTAAACTAATACCGAACTAATACCGTCAAATCCATATCCAGTGCTTCCTATTGGAGCTATCGTCCGTTAGAGTTTCTTCCGCCATCGAGCGCAAGATATTGGATAGTTAACTTTCAGTAATTACTACTAACATGAAACTGATATTAGTCATAAACTAACTCTACATAATTATCTGATCTACTGGCCGTGCTTCTCTTCGTCTATAAATGAGGATTGGTGCCACTGTTATTTCCAAGGCGCTCCGTCTATTTTCTCGACATTTAACAAAAAGCGAATCGCAACGTATCTTCTCGTCGCATACCTCTTTCTGACCACGCAGAACTTCCTCAAGCACTCCAAGGAAGCGGAAACCAATTCAAAAAGTACCTCCCCAATATAGTCAGTCTACTTGAGGTAACCCATCACCCGATACACGATCGAGAAAAGGGCTGACATCTCTCAGACGCAGACATAACGACAATGATAGATTTTGACTTTGAGTGCTGCTCCTCTCGGGAACATTCGCCAGACACGGACATGATAGCGGACATGATGGCGCAGGAGATCCCAGAAGACGTCGCTAAGAGGCGTATGGCGTTGGCTCTCTCGTCCATGTTAATTCCACTTAGCGTAGCCGCCATGGTAGCGCAGCTGGGGCGGCCTCCACTTTGGAATGAGATCATGTTAGAGGCGCTGAAGCTTTCAGGGGCATTTGGGATCATTTTTTGGCTTCTTTGATACCTTTATTATGGCTGGGGGTTGGAAGGGCTAGGGGATGGAAGACTGCTACCTAGTTGGTGCAAGCGTGGGAATTAGGTGGGTGGCTATATGCTGGCGGCAATGTATGTGGCTACGGTTGGCTTTGATCCGCTGTGCATATTTGCAAGCTTGACTCACAGGTAGGGTGGATGTTAGGTAAAAGGATTTTGCACTGTTTTTATGGTATAGCAAGCCGATGATATCCATCAAATTCTTTGGTATTAAATCTTCACGAGGTTGATTGCTCAAAAACCTCACTAATCAGATCGGGTATTCAAACATCCGTGACTATCCGCCCTGCTCCATAATCAGGAGAAGCATGCGTGGGTTTCTTCATTGACATACGTGCTGATATACTTATCTTGGATAGCCGTACACGCTATGGGCGTTAACAAATATCATCATCATCATCTTAGAAAGTAGCCTCCATCTAATACTACTAGATAAGTGTAGCGAAATGTAAAAATGTGTGAACTTAAAGACAATTATAATGGTTGCATGGAGGTAAGTTCTCGAGCTCGGTCGCCGAAGGTCACTTTCGGGAACTTGCTATTAAACTTTGCCAAATGCATATCGCTTCGAAAACCGAGATGTCTATGTTTAGGTTACATGATAGTTTACCGTGTTGGGCTGTTGAGTTGAGTTTAGGTGCGATTCCTATAAACGCTATTGGCATTTCTTCTCAAAGTATTAGTGCTGGCTTTTGCCTCCTTGCACCTAGGAGGAGGCAAAGGCCAGCACTGATACTAAGCCTCCTAGTGACGTATGCTCATCACTTTCCTAGAGTAGACAAGGGGGTAAACACCAAGCAGCAAAACATTCGCTTAGTTTGAGGGGCGTCGGGTACTCCCGCCTTGCGATAGGCTCTTATGCTGATCATCTAATCAACCCCGATCTTGCTAGGTTTGGGTCCTTCTAAGGATTGGAGCTAGGAGCCTCGGCAATCTTGTGACGAGCTGCTATTTAAGCCGCAAGCCGGGACGGGCATTATGCACCTATGGCTTTGGGTGAGTGTGCGGGACCGAACAAGCTCTGGTCATATCACGATCCTAATATAGATGTATGACATAATAAAGTGCATAACCTACCCTCCATGTAAGCTTCCAGTTTATAAGATAGGTTGTATGTAGATAGGCTGTCTTGGCAAACTTGGAGGCTTTAGACTCAACTAAGATCGAACTGCTGGTTGACGTCATCCATATATAGGTATGTTCCATGTTTAAGTCAAATTCTGCCGGTAGAGAACAGATTCTCAAATAAGCATGGACGACGATAGAGTCATAAGTCATACTAAAAAGGAAATACATCATTAACGACTAGAAATACCTTAGTGATAACAGATAATTGATAGGTCAGAATGGGAAAGGTGTATGGATTCTTTGACTTTCCGTACTATTTCCTCCGCTGATTACAATGAATATCTATATAAAAGGGTAATAGCGTAGAGGCAATTAATTACGTGGCTTATACTTTACATAGCACGCAATAAGATAAGTCAGAAGTGTGTTGTACATGAGGCTTATGCAAAGCTTTCTGGCCCGAATGATGTAGCTTAACTCCAATCATGAAGCAAGATGAGAAAGGGAGGGCGAAGGGGCTCTAAGTGTAGAGAGACTAGCAGGGGAGTTAATCGAGATCAGCCGTAGTACCGAAATCGTAATTACCCATGGCTTTCCCATCTCCATCTAACCCGGTTTGCTTATCATGTAAGAGACCAGATTACGACAGTATTTACTGTAATTCGGGGCGACGTTCTAGACTTTGGCCACTCCACAAAATAACGCTCCGAAAAGTCATGCTGTCATTGCGGAGACCTTTTGTTTAAAGTGACCAATAGAATGCTTCATATAATATTTCCCCTGCAGCGATCTAAGTTTCTAAAGCGGAAGCTCCCCAGTAGAATGAAATCTGATTGGTCAACTGTTCCCGAAAAGGAATAAGACATCATGCATGTCAACTATTCGCCTCTTCCATCGTCACTATCCACGGTTCATCCACGGTAACTTGTAAGTACAGACCAAGTCGAAAGAAAGAGTATTCTAACCGTTGATCATGATGAAATACTTAAAAGTACAAACTATTGAGTCAGATACATGGGAATAACCTAGGCATAAATGACAATTCGCATGTGTGATCCCGTTCAAAACGTGCATCTTCCAGGAGGGCTTTGGGTTTTCATCTATTTGGCGTAAGTGGTGACGTCAGGTCATCAGGGGAATTCCTCAGTCCAATAGCTAAATAGCTTAATGCGGCTTTCTGACCGGCGGGAGAACTAGGGGCGGCAAGAAAATATAGCTGGAATGCGGGCTAAGACAGGCAGGCTACATACCCGGACATGGGACAATGATCGAACTGTAGATGATGACGTATTTTACTCGTTCATATGATACACACTCTAGCTTACCAAGGTCGATCCTTGGGGATAGATTGCCGGTAAGGTAAGGGAAACTAGATCAGCGAGCCGTCGAATGATCTGCTCCAACTTTCTATATAAGGTGCTTCCAATTCCCCCTCAGTCCCAACTCCTTTCCATCATCATTCATCATCTTCATTCATCATCTTCAATCTCCAACAACAATCAACAACGCAACCACTACAAACTACAAACCACCAAACCTTCAAAATGGACAAGATTCAGAACGCCGCCAACTACGTCTCTGACACCGTCAAGGGTGCTACCAGCACTGCTTCCAAGGAGGCCAACAAGGATGTCGCCAAGGACAGCAACGCAGACTTCACCACTCGGTAAGGTTCATCCACATCAACGATCAATCGCAAAGATCGCCTGCTAACATACTCCCAGCGCATCCGCCGCCAAAGACGCAGTCGGTGACAAGGTCGATGAGAAGAAGCACAACACTTCTGCCGACGTCAACAAGGAGGCTGCCAAGCACTAAACTGCTATATCCTCCTGGTTAACTCCACCTCTATACGATTTGTACGATGGGATAAATGGAGTAATGTGATTATTAGGCGTCTTTGGAACAGACATGGCTGTTTCCTTTGTCAACATTGGCATGGAGAGATGGATTTGATTCACTTGAAAGATTCAAAGATCTTCGGCTGGCTTTTTAATACCCCTATGATAGCTTATAATTAAAGCCTCTATTCATCGCCAACTATTTTTCCACATTGACCGCGTGATATGGACATTGCGTGATATGGACATTGTGTATTTTCACGTATTAGAAATTTGGTAATTCGCAGATAACATGATCGCTAAATCAGTCAAATGTCCTTCTGAAATATGAAAGTCTCACGGCACAATTGATCTTGCAAATATCTTGAACTTACAATAATATAGAAATCATTTAGACGTAAGTTACGTAAATATCATATACGCTTAAGGGCAAAGCAGCTTCTGCAACCTTCAGAATCGTACATGAAAGGTTTTCCTTTTCCCTCGAAAAGAAAGAACACTAATACGCTAGCGTGGACATACAAGTAAATTGTTCTCTAATAGAACTCACTTGGAGGAATACTCAATCCGTTGATATCAGAACCACCCGTTTTCGACACACAAACTTTCTCAAGCACGTTCACCCTACTGTGTAGAACCGCGCTGATACTATCAGTGGTGAAACAAACCAGGGAAATCCGCATTGACTCTTGGGCGCGAAGAATGTCAACCAGTGCCTCCAGATGAGGAATCGTATCTTGATTTTCTGCCAGATGGAATCCGTCCAAGACCCAGACCAAAGACGGCGGCGCGTGTTTCAGCAAAGCCTGTATTATCTGTAAGGCAAGCGGTACGCTTCCGAAGCTCCCATCTAGCTTCCGGAACTTCGCTTCATCGAGCTCGTCTTCGTCCTCGAACTCGACTGGTAGGAGATAGATTAGTTGCGCGATGGTGGAGTACAGGAGGGCTATGACGGCGGCTTGGTGTTGCGGGACCGACGGCGCGAAGTTGTCTCCTGGCTTGACGAAGAACGATATGCAGGGGATATCTTCGTCTTGCAACATCGAGGCGATCTGAAGTGCTGCTAGCGAGAGGTCGGAGCCGTACGATTTGGTTGGTAGGCCTTGGATCCAAATCATCCGTGAATTCACTTCGCCGAGCCAGTTCTGCAATTCTGTAATAACCTCATCTGGCAGCAGGACTTTGGAATTGTCTTTATTGGATAACTCGTTACTCCCGTAGTCGAAGTATGGGGTTAAATCCTTGGCATATGCCATGAATTCGTACCGATTGCAAAGTAACAGTCCTTCTAAAATTATTATCAGTATATTTATTGCTAAGAGGATGTGTTAGTTGAAGTAGAAACACTTACCGGACTCGTAATCGAACTCATATTCCAAGGTCGAATCGTCGTCAGTTTCTGTCTCCCAGCTACTTCCCTCGGAGTGATATTCCTCTTTAGATGGCTCCCCATCATTGCCAGGGCTGTCATTCTCAGCCATTTTGAGGTCTGAGAGTAGGTAACGGACCTGGTCGACTTTATCCTTAATACCACGAATTCGATCTTCCGCGACGTGCGCGACCTCTCGCTGAATTTCCGTATTGTTACCCGAATCTCGTCTTCTAATGGGTTGAAATTCTTCTCATGGGAGTTTCTGTTCAAGGCGGAGATAATTCTCTTTGGATGTCTCCGGAAGGAGGACATGGCATGGGAGAGGAATTTAAATACTTGAACGTGAGTTCCTTCACTAAACCCTACATATCAGGTCCTTATTCATTATTCATCTTCCTCTGAGCTGTTCTGAGGTCACGGTCCATGTCATAAAGAGTCAGGGAAAAAGCATCTACGACTCGGCTGTGATTCACTGTAATTTTAACGACAGATGAAATGACACCTGTGGGAAGACGGAAGTGCTTTCCATAGGCGGGGATTGGCTCATACATATGTGTGTGGCCGTCCAAAGCTTCCAAAAACATAATGAATGGACTTTTCGTCTTAATTTTGCTATAATAGATGCTCTGTGTGTCTTGAACTGCGCTATATAGAGTCGTACCTACCTAATGGATGGAGGGCCCATCGAGGGCTCATTCCAGCCTGGAAAGAGATGGCGGAATTGCTGCCACGTCTTTATTGCCACTTTTTGGTGATATTTTAATGCTCCAAGTGATTGGGATGAGTCTCGTGAAACCAGACCTAGTCACTCACTTAGGGGAATTAGCATTCTCAAGTCACCTTTTCTAATCTGAAAGTTGCTTTGCGGGGTTTGCCTCTTCTTCATCCCGACTCGTCACGGTAACGTCTGAGGAGGCTCTGGAGAGTGTACTGTTCGGGATTTTCTACTTAGTATAGTGGCAATATTACCTAGTGCCAGGCTGTGCAACGGTTTCATCCACAGTCACTCCTAAAAATTCTTACTGCGTAACACACGGTACCTCTGTCACATTTAGGAATATCTACGTGTATATTATGAGATTTACCCCTGTTATGGGTGAAACTATACTAAGGGCTATGTATAGTTTATGATAGTAGGCTGTGGGAAGTGAAAGAAATATACTCCAGAATTAGAATGCGCAATACGAACCTGGGCTGGGCCATATAGCCGGTCGTAGTTATTGCTTGTAATTTGGGGTAGGCAAAGTAGAACTAGGAGAGGCTTATTGACTAAAGTTGATGTAAGACTATGAAAGAGACTTTGTTAAAGTATAAATGGAGTTAAACATATTGTTATATCTTCTATAGATTATAGTAGCTTAAAAAGTCAACAGTCTGTTTCATGCTCTAGAGTAAACGTTTCTCACTCACCACCTCAGGAGGTATTCTAGAAATTACATCAGCACCGAGTTAGACGCTCGGTCAAACCTCGGGCTATTCAACTTCAATCCCCTTCTTTTCCATTTCCCGTCATCCGATATTCGTTTCTTCTTGACAATAACACCTTGTAAGAAAGTAAACTAAATGCCTGCCCCAACTCCTTCTTACTACCCCGCAGGCTGGGACCGTGAGCGGATGCTCAACGTCACTGTTAATGAGATCAACGACCTAACCGAAGAACAGAGGGGAGTATTTCGCGAAGGTCTGCGGGCCGACCTGGGGCAGCAGGGGTTCGATGAATTCTTCGATGAGATGTTTAGGCGGGAGCAAGAGGCGTCAGGTAGGGCGATACATATTGCGCACATAGAATGCCTATCATGTAGCTCATGTTCTAATGGTGGAGTTATCAGGGAATTCTACTAAGACTATTAAGGAGCCTCCTTTCATGGAAGTTATGCGCCTGGGCGAAGACCGCGGTGTCCGCCGGGATCAGTGGGGATTCGTCGTTTTTAAAAGTCCAGAGATCGTTGATGCGGAACAATGGATGGCCTGCAAGAAACGGGTTTCAGAAATTATAGACCATTCTATTGATCCCTATCGCGGATATGCCGGACTTGACGATTGTATCCGAAAAATGAAGTTTCAATGGGTAGAAGACGTCGGAGAAGCGGATGGGAGCATGGGGTCTATATCACGGTGGGTGACCCCCTATTGTCCTTGTCTCATCTAGGCTGACCTTTTTCAGAGCATACTCGTCATCTCCTATACTGCCAGGTTTGAACCATAGTTTATGTCTGTATATTACGCCGGCTTCAATGGATTCAATCTTAAACTCTCCCTCCCCTTCGTCCTGTAAGAGAAAATATAGAAATAGAATTCCTTTCGTGATTGCTGTTTCTAGAGATGTCAGTCAACAACACTACAATACAATCAACGGGGATATTGAGGGAGCCCCGTGGCGAGGATTTTTCAATGTAGCTGTCGAAACACTACTCGACTCCCTCTTCCCTATTGTCGCGGATGACTCAATGTCCCCATTTGAAATTGGTGGGCGTGTCGCCGGCGATGACGTCTGGTGCGATTATACGAGATGGGGGGTGCACAAGGCCGGCATAGGTTACTGGGATTCAAGGACGGGCCAGGCAGACAGTGGACTGTAAACAGAATATAGGTGATAAAACATCGTATGCTTGCATATATTTCGATTAATACCATGACGTTGACTAACCTCTTAATATTAGTGAGACGTAGCAACCTTCTAGTCCTTGAAGTTTGAGGGTTGGTGAGAAAGCTAGCGGGGTAATCTTCTATTAGACAAGATGAACTTCCTCCTCCGGTCCAGAAACCAGCCATGGTAGAAACTTATAGGCACGAGTTAGCTATTATATGCTTGAAGTAAGAGCCAGCAACTGAAAGACGGACAAAAGCGTTTCGCATATGAGCCTACTCGTATTCTCATGCACGCATGCATAGGGGTATAAGAGGAAGAATAAGAATAAAGAAGACGAACCTGTTCTTTCACTAGCGCCACAAGACCGAGACGCCGGAACTTCCTATCCGACACATCCTTACGAAGCAGTAAACCGACGCGCTCGCTCTTAATAATGGGCAAAAACCAGCAGTCCCGAACCCCTGCACGATCCTCAGCTATATCGAAACAGGCAATAGCGAAACCTTCGGTAGAAGGCAACTTGAGCTCGTCCAGCGTGGCGTATTCCGTATCTGCGGGTTGTAGGAGTGCCAAGAACCCCTGTTCGGCGAGAGCAAGGCGGCGCTGCGGCCAGCCGAACTTTGGGAAAGTAGAGAGTTCAGACTGCGAGGGGACTGTGCAGTGGACGGGCTTAGGACGGCCAAAGAAGGCGAGTTCGCAGGTAGGCATGTGGAGTATGTTGGCGTCGCAGTTGGGATTTTCGAGGAAGGTCCATCTTGGAGTAGAATCCTGCGGTAATGAATGCGACGTGGTTGATGAAGATAGAGGCCGTATAAGGATATTGGTGGGATTCTGGAAGGACTCGTCTCGTCGCAGAAATTCTGGGCGAGTGTAGATTTGGCCTTGGACGGATGCCCACTGGCAGAGTTAGGGTAAGCTTATGGTTTAACAGGTATGTAGCTATATGATAGTGACATGATATAAGAAAAGGGTAGCATTTGAAATGTAGATTAGTGGTTGAGAGAATTCTGTTTACTTTTATTCCTCACTCCTCCTTTTATCCCACCAAATAGGAATAGGGGGTGGCAGAGATAACACGCCTACCAAGGTACTTGAGATGGGTGACTTACCGACCATGATGGTGCTCGAGCTACCGTCTCACCGTTTCTATTAACGGGTCTTTTGGGTTTAGGCCAGGAAACCTTTCTAAGGATCCATTTAACCAAATACGAGGTGCACCATAGTAAACCGCGAGGAATATCTGCCTCCCATATACCGGCTAGATAGCGAGACCTGATGCCTTTCTGTGTTAGCTGGACAATACTGCTGCAGGCAGCAAATATGTCATCTGGATTGGACAATTGGCGGAGCGTATAATCTGGAAGAATTTCTTTGTACCACAGGTGTAGCATCTGGGTGCGTAGCTGTTTCTGCTCACTTGTATTAGACTTCATATTAGCATCTTCCACAGGGTTTGGGAATGACCCAATTCGTAGCTGTGATGAATCTTGCATGTTTAGAGTGCCATCTTCCCAGAGCTGCGACCGCTGGCACGAGAAGTATACTTGCTCCATTGCGTAGACGAGTGTCCTTCTGCTCAGTACTTTTTCCTGAAAGCACCATCCCCGGGTACTAACAGGCCCTTCTCTCTTGTTCCGGGGGAGCCATAAATAGATGCTGCCCAAATCCTCGCCAAATGGTATTGGACAGGGCGGCACTACTTCCTCCATGTTGTTTACCCTGAAGCCGGTACGACTATCTGCGGCTCGTCCGGCAATGACAGTCAACACCGCATTGCCGTATACCTCAGCCATTCTTCCAGACTCGTAAAGCCAGTCTTCAAGGTTTCCTTGGATGATACAAAGAGAATCGATCCAGACATAGCGGATACCTAAGTGGCGAGCAATAGCGATGCACTCTTGGTGTGTCGTTGTTAAATTATTTTCGTCAATAAGTTCTAGGAAAGATGTGAAGTTTCCATCGTTTAATTCTGTTGCGTGTCGGACGCCTTGTCCCCAGCAGTAAGATAGAGCTAGATACGGCTCACGTAGCCCCAAGTGTTGTGTTTGGACTAGCCTTGTCCATCCTGGCGAGATACCAATATCTAGAACGCGAGTAGGCATCTTCGGTGGCACATTATCATCTGTCGCTCTGCATTCTGGGTGTCTCTTCTGGCATCCATCCAGGAGTGTATGGGCAAAGCTAATTTCCCCAGCGTTATTTCTGAATGCTGTATAAAGGCGTTCGTCGAAGCAAGTTGCAGCAGGTGTGCCTATATCGGTTAGTAGGAATAATAGGATATAAACGAACTCGAAATATATATACCTGGATCCGCAAATATGCCGAGCTCACTATGTAAAATTTCCTTTCCGAAGCTCTCCTCCGCATTCTCTTTGTTCCCGCACTCCACCCATACCCTACTGCCAGCTTGAGCACGATGCTGGTCTACAACGGTAGTGTTGACGGTACCAGCTGCTATCCTCTGTTTCGAGTTGCGGAACAGATCCAAGAACATCCCCGTTAACCAGACCCGCTCGTCGCCCAGTGGCTGCCCTGCGTTCTCATAGCTGGTAGGGAATACACCGTCTAGTACGGAATTGATTTCACCGGCTGTGTATTTACGCTGGATGGAAATCCAACATAGCAGACACAGATCGCAACCCGCCGTCGCAGAGTCCCGGAGTGACCGTAAGTTAGGATGGAAAAAGGTCATATGGTTTCTTAGTTCCTTCACAGTTAAGGCAGCACAAGTTTTACATCGCGCCATCCCCCCAGCGTTTATTGAAAACCGTCCTAATTATTCGCCTTAACGATCATTAAACCTAGGCAAAACATTTAGCACCAATGTATAGATCCAAATAACGAAAAGTATAGAGAACTCGAAGAAAACCCAACGTTTTATATTAGCTGGCGAAGTCAGTCTCAGATATGCTGGACTGTTACATTGACTAAGGCCAAAAAAAGATGTGAACCACGTTTCATGATTGCCCGGTCAGCCCATTATTGCTTGGTCCTTGGCACGAATGCAGGCGGTACGGCCATGGTCACAACCGGTTATAGAAGGCGTGGAAGCAGATCCGGAGGGAAGTAAACAGGGAGTCTGCGATACTCCCGTAGATCGGTGCAGATGGATATTCTACGGATCCGTTTAGGAAAACTAAAGCCGAAAGTTTAGAGACAAGACGGGGCCGGAACTAATAAAGCTCAAAGAAGCAGACCCGGTCGACGCACAGCCACAACGAGTCAGCAGGCAGAGCCTCGTGGTGTACATTCAAATTATTATACCTCATTAGGTAGAGTACATAAAAATATACTATCCCCCTGCATATATTTAAGAAAAGGAAGTGGTAAGTCTTTTCTATGGCGGTTGAAATGTACCTAAGATATAAAATAAATAACTTGTCTCTATAAAGCGAAAAGCAAAGTGTAAGTGAGACTTTCTAAGACCTACTGCTATGTGTAACGCTCACTTTACTAACCCCCTCTATGAAAAAGAAGAGAGGGATAACATGAATTGTAGCAGTGACAAAACATCCTATTTCCATCCGTCCATTTTTATCTTAGCGAGACAGATCAGAAAATTGCCCTTCTAGATGACGGGCGACTTACATTTATTTCTATTGTCATGGAACTAGATAAAGACTTTCCTAGGCCACAATGGCACGCATTGCTGTCACTACTTGACGCCACTGTCCCACCTATTCTAGTATCTGACTCAACCACTCATGATGACTACCTTTATATCTCTCAAGAAGAGTTCGATAGGCACTATTATGATATCCGGCGGAGATTGAAGCACCCGCCGAGTAAGACGGCGTACCAGGAGTATCTGGCAGCACGGCCCTCTGATAATCCGACGTTCGTTAAGTGCATCAGAAAAACTATAGGTGCACTTTCTCCGGGCCCAAGGATGCAGCTGTACCGTGCTTTGAGTCTGATGATGTAAGTGGGCACATTGAGCTATATTTCTGCTGGATCTTTTTAAGCAATATTTTATAGGACTCGGCTTGGAAGCTTGATTAGCACGGGCTATTTCACCCCTTTCAACCGCCAATCAGTTACCGTGCGGGAAGCAATTCTACGCTCATGGCGAAGTTCCTGGTTATTCATCTGGACTATGCTTGGGAGAACATTTGTCCAACTGGGAACAATGACTTGGAGTCAAACAGATCCGTTATTCCACGGACTGAGCGACTACGTGGCCGATCCGCATTCAGAACCCGGGCCTACTATCGACTTCAACTTTATGAATTTCGATGCTACCCCCGAGCCGATACATACAGAAACCGATATTGTGATTGTTGGTTCGGGATGTGGAGGTGGAGTATGTGCGAAAGTCCTAGCTGAAGCTGGACACAGGGTTCTTGTAGTCGACAAAGGGTACTATATGCCTCCAAACCAGCTTCCCGTCGGAGCCGATTCTACGGAATTATTATTTGAAGGGGAAAGCGGCGGTCTATCAACCGTAGATGGCTCGTTCGTAATCGCGGCAGGGAGCTGCTGGGGAGGCGGTGGCACCGTAAACTGGGCCGTGAGTCTGCCGCCACCGGACTGGTTGCGCAAACAGTGGGCGGAAGAGAAGGGTTTGAAATTCTTCTCTACGTCGGACTTCCAGAATTCAATTGATCGCGTTTGCGACTTCGTTGGAGTGGATGAGACTCGGGTAATGCAACATACCCATGCTAATAGAGTCTTGATTGAAGGCTCTAAAAAGCTTGGATGGAGTGCCAAAACTTGCTTGGCAAACGCGGCCCCAGGGCATAACTGCGGGAGTAGATGCGGAGGGGGGTGTAGACAATCAAAGAAACAAGGTCCGGCTGTTAGTTGGCTACCGGCGGCGGTAAAAGCTGGTGCTCGGTGTATTGAAGGATTCGAAGTGTCTAAAGTGCTCTTTGAAGACAACGGCGGATCAAAGAAGGCTGTCGGAATTATAGGTAAATGGACTTCGCGGGACAAAAACGGCAACTTCAAAAGCGTACCTAAGTCCGAGGTTCGGCAGCGACAGGTTCATGTCAGAGCGAAGAAGGTGATCATAGCGGGCGGTACACTAAACACTCCATTGATATTGCTAAGAAGCAACTTGAAGGTAAAACCGCTACCGATGATACTCAGTCTCTCAGGACATGGTGCTAACACGTTGGTAGAATCCTAACATAGGTAAAAACTTGCATCTCCATCCCGCTAACAGCATAAGCGCTGTGTTTGATGAAGATATCCGCGGATGGGAAGGTAGGTTAAGCGACGTGCTCAGGTCATAGGTGGAAATATAGATAAGTGTATTGACATGGGATCTGTAGGTGATATTATAAGCTCCGTCGTGACGGAATTCGAAGATCTTGACGGGAAAGGCCACGGGCCTAGAATCGAAACGACCTCTATGCTCGTGAGTGGAAGCCTTGTCTGTCCTATCGACTAACTAACACCCTTGATAGCCTCCCGCGGCCATATTCCAAATTCCATGGCACGGCGGGTTGCAGTTCAAATTAGATGCGCTCAAGTACCGACATATGAATTGTTTCATGGCCCTCATCAGGGATCGGGATAGTGGCAGAGTCACTCCAAATCCAGACGATGGAAGTCCTGTCATAGCCTACACGACGTCATCGTTTGATCGTGCAAATCTGATGGTGGGACTGGTAGCCATCGCTAAAATTTGTTATATGCAAGGCGCCGTAGAGCTGCTGCCAATGGTATCTGGTTTGCCCTGCTACCGGAGCGAGTTGCCCGTCCACGAACGAACCCTTGACGATGCGGACTTTGCAGAGTGGTTAAATCGCCTGGAAGCGGCAGACCTGAGCTCTTCGTCTGACACTTTCGGCTCGGCTCACCAAATGGGGACGTGCTGCATGAGTACGAGCCCGACTACTGGTGTCGTAAATGAAGACGGTAAAGTGTGGGATACCGAAAACTTATATGTTGCAGACGCGAGCGTGTTCCCCTCGGGTTCTGGTGTGAATCCTATGATTACCGTCATGGCTATTGCGGATCATATTGCCAGGGGTATTTCGAAACAGATGTGAAAACGTTGTTGCCATTGCTCAGGATCGTAGTGGGTTCAAAGGGGTGAGATACAGACGATAAGCAGTTATCGTTTTTATATGAGTTAGTTCATTTATGTTAACTTATACGAATGACATGTATGAATGACAGTTGAATTAAAAATATAATATAAAATGAAATTATATAAACTTTACTCCCTATAGTCATAATAAATTTTACCTTTTTAATTTTAAACTTACATCCTCACTACGTTGAAATAGTTACTGTTTACTTCAGTCCTCTGTTTACCTCTTATGTGGCAGTAAATTTTCAAGCTGTCAGCAACGCACGAGCCCCTTTATCAAATGTCCCCACGCGACACACGAACTTTTCGGAACACCGCAGTTTAAACATCAAATGGTTAGTTTTTAGATACATACATCCCCCTCATTGTTTTTAACAACGCTCGTTTTCCAGTTTTTCCGCATTGGCAATAAGCTACCTATACAATTAAGTCACAATGGCTTCTTTCAAGAACTCCCTACCACCAGATCTCTTCGACCGGACCACGCTCGTGTCCCTCGCCTCGACCCTCGCCATCCTAGCAGTCGCCTACCTTATATCTCTACAAGCGCTCGACCAGAAGACGCCCGGAAGCCATCGCTTCTTGTTTATATGGCACGCGTTCGACGCCCTGGTACACTTCATCCTCGAGGGGAGCTTCCTCTACCATTGCTTCTTCTCGTGGATACCCCTTTCCAAAGTCGCTAATCCACACTGGTTGGCGCCCACCGCCCATAATTTCCTCGGTCACTCTGATCGCGCGTACGGCTCGCAGGCCGGCGGCAGTAACCCGTTTGCTCAGCTTTGGATGGTGTATGCGAAGGCGGATCGGAGATGGGCTGGCGCGGATCTGGTAAGGACAATCTCGTTGCTTTACACCGACTCCTTCTTTAGCCTTTTGTCGCTAACATTAACCCTTTCCCCTAGACCGTTATTAGTCTCGAGCTCCTGACCGTCTTCATCGCCGGCCCCCTCGCTTGTCTCATCTGCTACGGCATCGCCAAGAAAGACCCGCGTACCAACATCCTGCTGATCATAATCGCGACCATGGAGCTGTACGGAGGATTTATCACCTTCTGCCCCGAGTGGTTAACCTCGAACTACAACCTCGACACGAGCAACTTCATGTATAAGTGGGTATATCTGGTCTTCTTCAATATGCTGTGGGTCTTCATCCCAGTATATGCGATCTGGGTTGCTGTGAAGGATATCGATCACGCTTTTGCCATAAGGGGCAAAGTTGCGAACAAGGTTGCGAGCAAGACTACGTCGTCGTCAAAGAAAAAGTGATTTAGTTTACAGAACCTGGTGACTTGGGGGGCAGTTTCTAGGAGTATATTAGTCCTCAAACTTCGGCGTGCAGCCGACGTCTGTAGATGTTGGCATTGATGCTATAGTATGATACCCATCTTAGCTATTACTTGCTACTGACAGTTGAGATAGGTAGTATTAAGAGTTCACAGTTTATAACATGTTTGAAATCGGCAGTTGTGACATCTATCTTGACCCGAAATTAAAGGCTAATCAGATACCTCTACTAATGACAAAATAGTTATCGCCGAAGCTGATATGATTGCTCTATTGCAACTTAATGTGTAAGCCAGACACAAGAGTTCGTCTGGTTGGTTAGGTACCTGTTGGCCGTACTGCCCCCATCTGAGTTGGCATCTCAGCCTGCATATCCACGGCGAATTGCATGGTAGACTTTTTACATTCAACCCGCTACACCTTATCTTCAAAGCCTTATATTCTCTTGTTTTATTGGATATAAAGTTGAATATATGAGGCTATGCTTTAGAAGCAGGCTGAGCACCGGTATCACCATAGGGAAACTCGGAAAGGGGGGTCGACCAAATTGACAGCCATAAAGCGCATACGTTCCCTGCTTAGCATCTCAGCCAATATTCTTAGATGTCCCGCCTTTCCTATCCCCAATGTCTTTTACTACATCTAGTGTGGCTCTAGCCACTATCGTATGCACATATGTTTTTACTTTCCTTGCCTTAGTGTCTTTCGCTATACACGTATTCCTGTGTATTAAGAAGAGCAGACTTTCATGGGATGATATCTCGACCTTCATCGCATTTGCTATGACATTAGGCCTGGTGTGTCAAACTACCTGGGCAGTCATCGACGAAGGCCAAGGCCAACACGTCTCGGATGTGACGCGAAGCCAGTTTGAATTGACGGCCAAGGTATGTTATTGAGTACCTATATTTGAAAATATGGCGAATAAGGCTGTATTAGGTTGAACATTTGCTAATATAATCTCATGTGCAACCGTGCAGTCTCTACTTGTCAATGAAGCTCTATGGGCAGTTATAAACATGTTTATTCGGCTTTCTGCCCTAAGCTTGATTTATACACTATTTAAAATAAATCGGATTATGATGATGTGGACATGGGCTTTCATAGGTATCTCGATTGTGCATGGAATTGCTGCTATATTGACCGGTGTCCTCATATGCCATCCCATCCAGGCATCATGGGATACACGGGTTCAAGGCACGTGCGGGAACCAAACTACAGCATATGTTGCGCTGGAGGTCGGCGGTCTCGTCATTGATATAGCTATTCTAGTCATGCCGATTATTATTGTTCTCAAGCTCACACTCAACATAAGACGCAAGTTCGGTATTATCTTGATATTTTCAGCGGGTTCCTTGTAAGTTAGCACTACTACTCACCGACATCAAAACAGCAAAAAGGCTTGCCAGTTACTAATATAATAAACCGTAGGGTTACTATCATCACGAGCTTCCGCATCGCCGCGTTGCATCGAGTCACTAGTACTGATTTCAGCTATGATCAAGGTTACTTAGGACTACTGTCTACCCTAGGAGCGCTTCTTGGTATCATCAGTTGCTGTTCAACTTCTCTTCCTTCATTCATCCACTATCTTAGTCCAGGAGAGACTCGTCGACATCTACCTCTGAACAGTCCTAGATCCAAGCGAACGACTCACCAGACAGACATTCGAGAGGCTGGACCCCTAAGTAATCACTGCGAAGAAGAGGAATGTGGTGAAGAGCAAAGCGTTAAAGAGAAGAGTATTGTTTAGGCTTTGGAAATCCGTATATCAATAAATCTATAGCGGCAACGGAAATACTTTAAACAGGTGGACTTATATTAGACAGAACATCCAGCAGCCCCTAATAGAGCTCTGCATAATGACCCCTTTCTTTTACTATTCTTTTATGAATTTTAACTAAATAGATAACCAAAAACATAATAAACCGCAACGGCATTCTATGATAAAAACACGATCCGCCCTCGCACCAAAAGCCTAATCAGCTACAGCTTACATATACAGCTCGTCCATTTGAAGCACTGCCTTTGCATAACACAATCACATGTGCTTTATCGTGCAACCTGGGCCTGTGTGGCCATCTACAAACTAGGCTCTTACCTAGGATTAGGCTCGTTTTCGACAAGGAGAAACTCTTTTCCCCCTAATCCGCTACTACCTAGGTAGGTATCGAGTACCCCATAAAACGAGTACTTTTCTTAACTATCGGGGTCATGTTTCTACCGTCATTCGAGTCAACCGAACTGCCCGCGTTTCTGCGTCTCCCAAACGCGCTTAGGCCAGGAGGGGATGGACCGGACCCGGCCGCTGGGCCAACTGGTGCGTTGGCCGGGGCAGTGGGAGGAGTGACAGAGGGAGTGACAGAAGGAGTAACAGAAGGAGTGATGGAAGGAGTGACGGGAGCTTGCGGTCCATTTTGCTGAGAAGGATTACCACCCAGAATTTTACTAAGCTCGGAATTGGGATTTGACTGTTTCAAGTAGTCAACGAAGCTCCCGACAAATTGTTTTGTTTCGTTATTCTGGCTCGCCATGGCATTCAGAAAGTCCAGTATCTCGCCCCCGAGCTTAGAGAGACGTCCCTCGAGGACTTGTATCGCGCTGAAGTCAGTCATCATTATGTCGTTATTCGTCCCCGTTGCGGTTTGCGTTGGGAGGGGTGAGGCGCCGTCGGGATTGTGATAGTAGTGATTGTGGTGGTGGTAATGATGGATCCCCTCTTCTTGGGGCTGCTGTCCTGATTGCTGCTGTTCCTTGTGATGAGTGTGTGAGGAAGATTGTTGAAAAGGATTTGTTTGGGCAAGCTGCTTTTGGAAGGGGTGTGCTTTTTTAGGCGCAGGCGGGTATCGCGAATTAGGATAATACTTAGTGTTATAGCTACCATATTTTGATGGGATAGGGGTCGTATAGCTATCGTCGAAATCCTGCCTATCCCCGCTGGACTCATCGTATTCTAAAGGCCCAGGAGGAGGACGTGGTTGGCGGTTGCCATTATATCGACCTCGTCTGTAGCCTCCTCGTCCCATTTTCGGCAGCTTGAATCGCTTTTATTTTTTAATATTGGGATGTGGATATTTGTCAAAAATGAATTGAATCAACTCATTTAAATCGATAGGAAAGATGAAGAGTCTCCTTATGCCCAATAAAATCTTTATCTCTGTGTCCAAAAGGTGTGTCAGTGTTTTGTTGTTGGACAACAATCGTTTTGTAATTGCGCTTGACCGCTATTTTCTTTGTTTTTGGAAGTAACAATGTTTCATTCACTATTATACAAGTAGCCATACACTCGCGAAGTTGTCGCACGGTTACGTGGATTTTTTCGACTCACTGTTCAAGTCCGAAATTATCTCCAATATCAGCTTTCAAGGTAGTAGAGCCTGTCACCTGGTTTGGGAGAGAATCTCTACTTGTGTGGTAGGTCGAGTTCTGTATATATGGTAGATCTTATATAACACTGTATTTAAAGGAAATCGCTACTATCCTTATGGGCTCAATCACTTATCATATAAAGGAGAAACTTTGTCGGGTATATTTAACGCTTTTAGTATCGAGACAGTCTCTAAGCTTGTAACTCGTTGATTCTTGTCTTGCGTAGTGATTAGTTTATTGTAATGCCATTGAATCAATGATCTATCAATCCATTGTTATAGTTCAAAGGATCATAGTTCTCTTCATTGTTATGGCAAAGAGATCTATGCATTAACTTCTTGGGCTAATGTTATAGAAACTAACCAGCCTGAAATGCTACCTTTACACACACTTGCAACAGCCATCCCACCAAGAACGACTCCAAATTCAAAGATCAATTTCACTTTTACTCTTGGCATCTTATAACTAATTCCAAGAATTGGGTATCTCATCTATATTCATGCAGTTGAATAAAGGATGAGGATCGGCAGTAGAATGCGAATCTATCACTTTACTACAGGCCTTAAGAATAATACCGAGCCCTCGGTAGGAAGTGGGACTTTACTCTCGGGTTCTCTCACCTTATGCAGGCTATACGGCGCTCTGCTCAGACTATCCATATTGAATGGAGCGGTAAGAGAGGGTAATGTTTGGGTAAAGCAATATCTGATCACCAGCGAAAGGGTACCCCCACTCGTATATACCGTGGCATTAATGCCATCACACGGGGATATTATTCAGTTCGCCAGCTAAATTGATTGGTCGGGTCAGAATGCCTATCTGACACCAGTAATAAGTCAAATCGCAATTTAACCGGTAACCGGCATGTGAACGAGTGACAGATGAAGACTACACCAGTGGTGACGGGCCGATAAGATACCCCTATTGCTATAAAAGTAGATTGAATAACGGCCGTGACAGATGGACTGTTTGGATATTTCTCATTCTCATACTTAATAGCGCAACAGACAAGTCCGTAGTTAAAAAAGCAACGACGATGGTGAAACCCGACGCGGTGATGAAGGCCATCACCGGCACTTGGCTCTACCTAAATGTAACGTCGTAAGTTTGAGCCGCCTATCATAAGACGTTCTTTACTTACAATTAGCGAAGCTACTTCGACAATGGCACGATCTCGCACGACTCGGACCCCGCGTTGGGACAGTTTCCTGTCGGCATGTTGACTTACAATACTGCTGGCTGGATGTCCGCCAATTTCATGTCTTCTAGGCCGGAGGACCGTCCCGGGGATATAAATACGTGGGCCCCGGACGTTGGCACAGATGCTGAGTGGGCACTCATTGGCAAACACACGCTGGCATATTCTGGGCCTTGGTACGTCAGCGAGACGACGGACGACGTCGAAGTGGGACAGATTACACATGGGCCGACAAAGATCGCCTGGTTACCTACGTGGGTTGGGATAGAGCTAAAGAAGAACTATACGTTGTTAGAAGACAAGACGATGATGCGCTTTAGGTCAAGGACTCAGGATGGCAAGAACGGAGACATGTTCTTCAGGAGGCTGGCTTAAAGCAATTCCTAGGTACCTTAGGTACCTAATATACGAGGGGCTGTACGATGTGATAAGATCTAAGCAAAATTTCAAAGGTTTAATTAGATTAGTATATTCCTGACATATCTAATTACTCGTACTTTGTAGAGTGGTAGCCAACCTTGGGCATCTTAAATCCCCCACGACTCTCTACATTATTAATAACAAAAAAAGATCCTCAAACATGGGCCTGTCCAGGCCGTTGCAGCTCAATATCCTCAGGGCCGTGCAAGGATCCCCTTGGCGAGGCAGAGTAATTATCACTATGTATAGGAACAATGGATTGTGATGTCGACCCGTCGATAACCTTTTTCGAAATGCCTGGATGGTTTAGGTTGTGATAGTTGCGACTCGACGATGACTTTCCGCTGTCGAGAAAACGGCGGGGAGAGAATAGGGGTTTTAGCGCTGGGGCGCTTGCGCACCAGATCGCTACGTTGATTTCGACCATTGACCAAACATTAACCTACGATGGGGTTAGATGAAGACTCTTAGGGGAGTATGTGAGTACGTACAAGAATACTATCCCGGAAGGGGTCAGCAGCTAGTGTGTAAGTGTGTATAGAGTAGAGTCGAGCACAAGAGAAGGCCGTTGCGAGGCCACCCGCACCAAAGAGACCGTATAGAACATGCCTGCTGCGCTTCGATATCTGCAGATGCTTTAATGTGGGTAGAGGTATCATGAGGATCCAAATGTCTAAAATGATTCCGAAAATAGATGTGACTAGAAAACAGTGAGTTAGTTCCCCGAGTAGCTCTATCAATAAATACTTAGTACTAACAGTAAAAGAAGGCTGTGGTGTCTATGCAACTTCCTGGTATATATCGTGAGAGGTCCCAGGCCTTCTGAAGAGGTGTACACTGTCCAACTACTACCCCAACGCATATAATGAAAAATATAGCTAAGAGGCTATTTGTGCCCTTACACAAATTTTTAAAGGTGTTTAATATAGCTGCAACCCAAGATTAACGCTGTGTAATAATATTAACGATGTAACGCGAAGCACATACCGAATCTATCGTACATGAACACGATTGAAGATTTGACGCAGGCTAAAACCAAGTAGTATAAAAGTTCGATGGCGAAAGCTATCTTTCAGTTATTAGCGCTATGTCACAACATATACAGTTACAGGAGGCATATAAAACTTACCTGGAGGAGCGCCTCCTTATTCTCCGTAGATATAGTCCCCATAGGAGAACCCATCCCCTTGGTCTTTCCAGTGTAAAGAACCGCGAGGTAGCCAATGGTAAAGGTCTGCCGGTTGTCAGTATAAAGGTACCTAACTAGTGTTACGGCAAAATGTGAAGCATATTACCAGAGCGCCAATAGACATCCAATCATCCATACCCGCTTTCTTCATGACCCAAAACCGAATCCATGATCGAGTGACTACTACAACGGCTATTCCTCGCCATGTTAGTCGGACGTAACATATTTAGATAGCGAAATAAACGAAGGTATCGATGTAATCCTTACCCGAAATACCCGTTAACACTGTCGATACCGTAAGGAGAATCGTTATTTGAGTGTGATCGATCGGCTCAGTGGCTTCCATCGTACAACACGTGGAGCTCTGTTTAATAGAGCAGTACCTAAAAGTGTCGTTATTCGATTACAATGACGATGAGGATAATATTCGGGCTTATCAGCCTTATGAGGGCTCGATTTGTTGTAAGAGACTATATTATAGTGTGCTGTTATTCTATTAGAGCGATAAGAAACCACAATCAAATAACGACGTCAAGAAGCCATTGCGCAGATTCTCTTTAATATCTGGTCTACTTTTAATTCCCGCTACGACCTGATCTGCACATCGATGAGTGCGAAATACGGGGTACGTCACAGTTGATCGAAGATGGCGTCGAACTAGGGGTTACTAAATGGACCAAGCGTTCGGTGCTTCTTCTTCGCTTCGAGGCCGTCGATAGTCCTTTGTTAGTAGCCTGCATTAACATCGCTTGTACCTGATCGCCCGGAAATCGTACCGATCTAGAAAAGCCCGTAGTAAGGAACCCATGTGGCCGTGAATGTCCCCTGTTACCGTACCAAGATCCAGACGAGTCAGACCATTCAGCTCAGCCCTGTCCTGATCAATGTCAGTGCGTACATTTCCTCAGCTTGCCATGTCACTAGTCTGGGCTAGGTCAAACTACAAAAGGTCCTCGGTAAAAAAGATCAGGAACGGTTCAACTATATCAAGGTTGGCTCAGGAAGAAAGCAGTCTATCGCCATGTATGAGCTAAGAATGAAAAACTCGAAGACGCAGGGATGGGCTCGGCACTTTAACATCTACGTCCAACTACTGTTAGATAGCGTGCGAGTTGCTAAATAGTCTAGAAAATTTTGAGTTGAAGTGTGGCATCTATGTGCCTCTATTTCGTCGGCTTGCTAAATATGGCAAGTTCTGTGGGTATTCACCTTTAAATATTTCGCTAGTCTATGTGAGGCCAATAATAAGTTGATAATAGTTGTAGATCTTTTGATTAGTGAATTCCCAATGGAATATTATATACCAGCTCCCGATTCTAGCGAAGTCGTAACTGCAAATTAAATTCAGCGATGCGCGATGAGGACACGATCGCTTTCGATCATACAGTCTGTAGTAACCATATACACTTCACTCAGTCGGTACAATTCCGGCGCCTAAAAAAATATTTAGCTCTCGAGGAAGACATTTCCGAAGGTGCTTTTCCCATGTCGGGATAGTTCTTACAAACAAGCAAAGTATTAAGCTATAGTTGTGTTCAATAGTAAGGATTGCGGCTGACGCATAGTCTGAACCCCCTTGTCGCAGAATAAGTCCCGCAAACTCGGTTGCATTAACTCAGGGGAAATACTTCAAAGGAGCGTAAAACGGCGCTGTCTCTCTTTCGCTTAAGGGACTTGGGTACCCATCAAATTTATACCTACCTTAGGTAGGTCCAATAAGTCCTTTGACATCTGACATGTGATATCTTGAGAGAGACGAATTACCATTCGATGATAATCTCATTCACAATGAACAGTATTTTCGTAATCATTTGGTACCTAACGAATTCTTCGTTTTGAATTAGCGTTCCATACATGATTCTTAGGAAGTCGATACAAGAAACGCGATAAACCCCATCAAGCAAACAAGAAGCCCTGAGTATCCAGTACCTCTGACCGAGGCTGTGCTAATTCTTTTACAAGTAAAATAACAACTGTATCTGTGTATAAAAGACTATTTACTATCGTTTGGTAACGTCTATTTGACTCCCATAAATGTGCCCTCCCAAAGGAGTAGCGTGGCTATTCGTATCACCTCCTAACGCGGACTCGGGTATCACGAAGCTCTCGGAGCGGAGGGGGTCATAGATCTTCTCATCATCGCCGACGCTAGGTAGTCTCACGCACAAAAGCTTTTATGGCAATTATAATAATATAATTAAGAGCGTGTGTATCAAGCCATGTATAACGTCGATATTAGTTACCCAACAGATGAGGATTTGTAGTAATAAGCTTATAATCCCGATGCGTACCTATTTGATAAAAGAATAATCCACCATATATCTGTTAGATGCCGCTATCTGTTCCGAGAATAAAGATTAACATTCCGATGCTATGCTTCTTTAATACCTCCAGAATGTTTCCTATTCTGTGTTTGGTCATCCAGTTAGCTTATTATCCATCAACTTTGAAGGCTTAAAAAGGAAAAGGAAATGTCACTTCAATGGTTATGTGACTAGGATTGGACCCATCTACACATGTGTAGATAGATATTCCTCAATTCTCGTAGACTTTCCCTTAGCTCGATCATCGATCAACACCACCTACTTCGTACATCATCACCAATCGCGATATTATGTACTCTGTACAGAACCCTTGTCATTCCAACAAATGTACACTCCAACATTCTTGCTCGTAGTCTATGCCAATCAGCTTGCAAGGGCTTCATGCAGTCAGTAACCAGTATGCCCCTTTATCAAAGCATAAAACCCCGATTTTATCTCTGTGCCGCATCATAGCAGCGATGGCATGACTAAAAACAGGGCTACCAATGCCTTGACCTCGTCTTACCGCTTGAAGTTACCCCCCACCAGTGGGATTTTTTGATCTACGAACCCGCTTCGGATGACGTGGAGAAGCTCCGTGGAAATATCCCGTGCAAAAGACCCTTAAATGATATGCTTGATTCCGAAAGGGGCTTTTGCTTCTAACAATGCTGCAAAGGGTATTGATCTAAGATCTGACGACCGATGGTCCGATGCATCTCATTGACGAATCATAACGTCCCTCTGACGGTATTTGCCAATCCCAGTATGGTGGCATTTTAACCCCGTGGTACAAAAAGAAGGCCATGGAGGTTTATGATGGCGAGGCTTTTCATCCACAATCGAATATATAAGGAACCCATACCTCTGCAGCAATATTTACTGGAGTTCGATAAAGACAAACATCCTGTACAACTACACAGCCAACACTAAACTCTATCATAAGAGAATTTCTATTTAAGATGGCTGTTTCCTACGAAGTTGCGCAAAAAATCATCAACAAAAAGCACCTATACTGCCGACTTGTCGATACCGACCAATTCCAAAAGCTCCAAGAAGAGGTTACCCTACCCGACGCAACCTTCACCTTTTACTCAGATGGCAAAATTATAAATGACAAAGGAGTCGAGTTTAACTGGTCGTCGGCTGCAGAATGGGCGAAGTACTTCGAAAACAGACTTAAGAACTCACAAGTAATCCACCATATCGCACCGCCGCATCTGGAGCAGATCAGCCCCGACGAGGTTAAAGCAGTATTCGGCGTTCAATATGCCTCCGGTCCAAAGGATTCGCTCACTGAAGGACACGACAATGGTGGAGGCTATTACCACGAACGCTATGTGCGGAAAGGTGACGACTGGTTTCTCAAGGAGATGAAGATGCACAACACGTATGCCAGAGTAGGGTAATTCTAAATGTATAATATGGAAATATTCTACTGGGCGATAAGCTTTGTCAAAAAGCAGGCCAACCTTCTGGGATGGTTGATAGATGAAATCATAATATTAACCCTAACCCTGGTGTTATCGACATTAGGTACCTAGATGATTGGCTGTCAGTAAGGGATATAAGGGATATAACACCAGGAATTAGATGACAAAGTAAATAGAAGTTCCCAGCTACTTTACCAGATTTAGGTATAGAGGTGCAAGCATGGAAATGTTGACAAGACTCAAGATACCGGTGATGTATACAGCTGAAACTAGACCCCTTTATTCTGCTTACTATCTTTAGCTATATTTAACATACAGTGTTACATTTTGAGGCTTGTTATCCATAGATTTGATTGGATAGGTACCTGGGCTGACGGGGCCGGGGCCGCAGCCACAATGTCTTGTTATCCCATTGAGTCCCAGACATGGGTCCTAAAATATATCCACACCTTTCCCAAATATTTCATTGAAAATCGAACATGGGTCCTAAAATACTCCACGTTTTTGACAAATAAAAAAAGAGAAATGAAGTCTATTTGCGATCTTATCTTGGTTGTTGTGGATTAAATTGTAGGTATTTTTATGGTAGGAGCTTAATTCTTTAAAGTTATTGGACAAAGTAATAGATGAAGTGTGGATATATTTTAGGACCCATGTCTGGGACTCAATGGGATAACTACCACGACTAGTTCCCTAATGAGCACATATGACTTAAAGCTTGATAATCACTTTGACTTGGAAGATATTTCTGCAAAAGTCTTACCTTCTAGATTTGTTGGTCGTAAGAGTTAATGTCACTAGACCAATAATATCTTTGAGCACCAGCGCGGCCTTTGAAATACCGCAACAATGCGTCTTCTTAATGTGCATACGATGCAATTGGAGGAAATTCTCGACGTGGAAGACGCCTCTGGTTACGCTATACTCTCGCATACGTGGGGTGAGGATGAAGTATCATTTCAGAATTTGCACGACGAAGAGACCAAGTTTACATCTGGCTATCGAAAGATTGAATGTTTCTGTCGTCAAGCTATCAAAGACGGTTTCAATCATGCTTGGATCGATACTTGCTGCATTGATAAAAAGGACCCAACAGAGCTTTCAGAGGCAATCAATTTAATGTTCCGGTGGTACCAAGAATCATCTGTTTGTTACGTCTATCTAGCTGACGTCGAAGCCGACGAAAGGGGATACGTCGGGAGTTCCGTGCTAGGAAACAGTCGCTGGTGGACTAGAGGCTGGACGCTTCAAGAGTTACTTGCCCCCAAGCGCGTCATTTTCTTTGATCGAAATTGGAATGCCTTTGGAACATTCAGATGCTATGATATGGCATTGCATCTACCTGACATTATTGAAATGCTGCCTTCCATAACGCACATAAACAAGGAGATCCTATATTATAGAGATCAGATGAAAGATACTACTGCAGCTGAGAAGCTATCATGGGCATCCCGCCGCCAGACCACAAGAAAGGAAGACATGGCATACTGCTTATTAGTACGTATCGTTGTGTAGCCAAGCCTTTTTAACCTACTAATCTCCGACAAGGGTATACTTGATGTCAATATGCCACTCCTATATGGAGAGGGCAACAGGGCATTTATTCGGCTCCAAGAAGAATATATCAAACAGCACAATGATCCCAGCTTGCTAATATGGGGTTTTGGAATACCATGCACCGATGCATTTCAGGCCCGTATGGCCGAGTTCCCGCTGGCACCGTCTCCCTCGCTCTTCGCTGGCTTCAATTCTCTCACCAGAAGATTTGAGAAGAACAAGGTACCCTTTCCTTTTACACGCACAAACAACGGGATTGAAGTCGAGCTTCTTCTATTAACCCTCGAAGACAACGTACAGCTTGCTCTTTTTGGATTGGATCATGATTTCTACAGCTGTTATCGGAAAACTCCCAAGCTCTCGCTACTGAGACGTCTTTCTACGTGGCAACCTGCGAATGACGCAAGGAGTCGCGTACGGAAACCTATAATCGCAGTACCATTGAAATACTGTCAGGCAGAATCTCGGGTCGGATTTGACGTGTATGAGCGTATTTTATTATGGCCGCCTTTCCTCATACCGGAAGATTCATGCATGAAAGCTGAATGGAAGAGAGCGTGTCTTAAAGCCGCGAGCTCTCAGATGAGATCGAGTGCATCCGAAATACGATTCAATTTGTTATTTCCAATCGACATACAAGTATTGCTTGATAATGGCTTCGGACTGAAAAGCGTCTACCCGCCGCGAGATACTACTGTCGGGAATGATCTGATATTATATGTACTGCATGGCACGCAATACAAAAAACGTCTGTTCATCTTTGAAGGGCCTAATAACCTACCCTTGGGGTTTCTTATTAATGACCGATCCCAGTACAAGCTAGCAGCAGGTGCGCTAATTGGAGAAATAAGCATATCTGACATGAAATATCATCTATTACCTCAAGGTAGCATTCTATTTAAGCGTACAAGTATAGCAGGATGGTTGGCTGCAGTACGAAGTAGGCTATACGGGGTGTCGAGTATTGAGATATCCGGCGAGCAACTAGGGAGGCCTGGCATACGCCATCTAAAGATAGCACTGCGCACAAGGGGTCAAAAGTCTGGACGAAGTCTTACTGTACAATTCGACGTAATACCAGTAAACCCTTATAGCAAAGAACAAACTCAGCATATTTCGTTATGATTCTAGAAGAGACATCTGGAACAAAGGATACCTTCAGTACCTACCTACCTATGTATACAGGGATCGGATCAGTTCAATCTATCCGCAAGAAGGCCCTGTTCCGTTGAAATTCCTAGACTCTCTCGATTGGCTATCCTGAGCTTGATCCAGGGGGAATACCTCGGGAGGTCTTATTACGGTCGCGGTGAGAGTAGCGGAGGATAATCGTTCTCTCTTAGAATTCAATGAAAATGAACCGTGAAGGAAACCTCTTAGCTTAGATATCTTTAAAAGTCTGTCGTACACGTATATCTATGTGACGGTAGATTAAGCCCCGCGATTGATATATGAAGCGGAAGTAAGATATTGATGTATACAACCTTGGCTAACTGTAGGTTTGTTGATTATTCACTCTTTGCACTCATATGAATTCCAATCATTTGAATCGCCACCTTGAAAATGAGCAATCTGAGGCCAAGGACAGAGCTTACTCGTCTTCCCCTTCAAGTTCTCATCCTGAGGGTCGGTCCCCAACATTTCAGATGGCGGCTTTCCTGTCTCAACCCATTCCACGATAGCTTCAAGTGCATGCCAAGTCCCTGGGACCTGTGGATAATTTGGAGCCGAAGTACAATGTCCGCCACCGGGTACCATGAACACCCGAAACCAATCGCTCACATCACCGCCAAAGAAGTCTTCGATCTGGTGGAGATGCTGAATCGGCCACATGGCTGCATTGAGCGGATCAGTCCAACCCTGATACACAATCATCTTAGAGCCGACTGCCTTAAATTTCGATAGATCCGGGCTAATCTCGTCGATAAATGTACCTACTCTTTCGTCTACCGCATCTACGTCCGCCGCCCAGTTGAAAGCTGAGGCGTCATATGATAAGTCGCCGAAAACCATATTCTGTAAAATCGGGATTGAGAATGCCTCTGCAAGGATCCCTTCCTGCCCCACCCATTCTATTTCGCTTCCAAATGAGAATCCTGGATACAAAGAGGTGTTGGTTCGAGAGTCAATAGGGCCTGTGTAGATCTTCTGCACTGCTGATATCTGTGCCGGGGTCAAACAGGCAGTCGAGTTTGTTTCTGAGGATTTGCATTCCAGTGTCGAGACGTCGAAGTCACACACCAGGGGATTTTCAAGGACTCCGTTCTCGACGCCGTCAAGGGCATCGCATTTCGCTATAACAGCCCGCGTTACGAGATCAAGGGCAGTTTGCGGCAATGATTTCGAGCCCTATGACGATTAGCTTCGTGGTACTTCTTCTGAAAACTGCATTTGCGGCTTACCTGAGTCGCCTGGGCATTCCATAGGAAAGACAAGGCCAGGTGGGAATACCAATTCCCTGGACATCCCGCTACAATACCGTCAAACAAGTCCGGGTGGAATTGTGCCAGAGCAAAACCTTGAGCACCACCAGTAGAGCAGCCTTCGTAATAGCTATACTTCGGAGCTTTGCGGTAGAACGCAGTCGTTATAGTTCTCGCAGCCGGGGTAAACTGTGCAATCGAGTTGTGTATCCATGCTCGGACCTGCCCCTTGTCGTGCAAATATGGCAGATACACACCAGGTGCTCCATTCCCGCCGTTATTTTCGGAAGCCAAGTGACCTGAATTGCCGCCTGCAACTGCGTATCCTTCGTTAAGGTTGCCTATCATATCGCTCTCGGCGATGACACCCGCCATGCCACCATTTCCTACGACTAGGAATCTACCGTTATACTTCTCGGCAGCGGGCAGCCAGAGTTCGAAGATAACCGAGTTGTTTTTAGGGTATGGTGCTTTGCCAAAAAGATGGCTGGCGGTTCCTCATTCACACCTGATGCATCAGGTGCTCCTAGGACATCGTCTATAGATTCTGCTATATCTGCAATTTCCTCGATACCCCACTCCCATCAAGGTTCTCAGGATGCTCAGTCTGGAACTGCAGATATATCTAATTTGGTTCGGGCAGCAGGCAGTCCCGAGGCTGTCATACAGTATTTGTTGAAGGAGAAGCAGTCACAATCGCAACAGAACGCACAGTTGTGGAGGCTTGTGGATAAACAGAGAGCTATGATCTTGGGCCTTAACAAAGATCTCGAGCGTGCCTTGAAAGATAAGGAGAAATATAGAAAGAAGCTAAAGGATGTCATGGCTGTCCATGATGAGCGTTTGAGGCCTGATCTTGTGCAGTCGAGAGCGCCTAACATTCCTCAGCTTAACGTCAACGTGCCCAGGGAACAGGAAGCTGACATGCCAGGGTCGCCGTCAAACCTCGATTCCGATAGCGTCAAACATTCACCTATCGATGTATCTCTAGCACCCTATCCGATTACACCTCCAGCTGACCACATTTCCAATGGGCTGCCGTCAGCAGTTGGGGAACTCTTAGACCCGTCGCATGCGATGCCAAAGGCCTCTGAGCATGCGCTAGACCATTTCGATCTTGAAGAGGAAGATCGTGCTGCCGAAGAAGCTAAGAAATCATCAGAACCAATTAAAGAAATCCCGATTAACCTCTCAATCCCTCCATCCCGAAGCCTTCCAAGCATTCCGCCTCGAGTACCGCCTCCCAAACGCCCAACAGCAGACACTCCTGCAGTTTCGGTTATCGAGGCGACACCGCTCGTTGACCAGGGCATCTCTCAATTTCCGCCTCCATCTGCCCCTCCACCACGGAAACCTCCGCCTGCTCCATTGCAACTGAAGAAAGAGTCAAAAGTGCCTGCCTCGATCTCTCCAGAGGACAATTTTGATTCTGATTCCGATTACGATTCATTGTTGGAAGTAGATGAGCTCCCGATCATCGAGAAACGTGGCCGGAGAAAGACGAGAGAGGAAGATGATAGAGAAAGAGAAATCCTCGCACAGAAAGAGGCTGAAGTTCGAAGTCTGTCTAAGAAGAGCAAAAACGGTAGTCAGAATGGCATGCCTCTTGCCAAGGATACGGAGTCTTCTCAATATAGCGTTCCCGCAAACCCCCGGGCAGTTAGCGCTCAGGACTCGCTATCGCCCGATAATGTTCCTGTATCACTCGCTGGTCTCTTAAACGATAACGATATCCGAGAAACCATAGTTCCTGCTTTCTTGAAAAGCCCTGGGCTTCCTGCGAGTCCAAGGCCGATGATGCACTCAACTCCATCGTCTCCCCGCGGCATAGGAATAGCAATGGCAATCCCCCTTTCACCACGAGCTCCTAGACAACCGATTCCGCTCCCCTCTAATGCGCAGCAGATATCCAGTCCCTTGAGCCAGGGCTCTATAAAGCAACCTGGCAGCACTAAACAGATAACCGAAGGCTCACAGCCAAGCCCCCATACAAATCGCGAAAGCCCTGTCGAAAGATCAAAGATCTATAGAGGATTCGCCACGGAAGAATATCCCGACTTGTTGCTGCCGCCAAATGCTCTCCCGTCTATCGATGTCAGGGTTGCGTCGTCTCGCATGAAGCCATCCAGGGCTAGCCTCCTGTCGCTAACACAACTGGAGGAGGACCCCGTTTTCACATTAGCTATTCGTTTGCGGTCTGAAAGTACCGAATTATGGAGGGTAGAAAAGGACACCGCATCTCTTGTCAAGCTTGACCAAAAAATGAAGCAATGCGCATCTTTTACGGCCAAGACGCCAGATAGGTCTCTGTTTAGCGGTCACTCACCCGCCAAGCTCGATGCTCGCCGTACCGTTCTGGACCATTATCTCGACGAGCTCCTGAACACTCCTCTTGATACACCGACTGCCCTAGAACTCTGTAAATACTTGTCAACCAACACTGTTCGGCCTAATGCAGACGAACCTTCCCCCTCTAATGAACCCAGCAATGAAGGAATTCCCCAGAAGACAGGCCCTGGAGGTAGGCCATTTAAGAATGGCTATTTAACAAAGCGAGGCAAGAACTTCGGCGGGTGGAAAGCACGATTCTTCGTCCTAGATGGGCCTCACCTAAGATACTACGAGACACCCGGTGGTGCGCATTTAGGGACTATCAAACTTCAGAATGCGCAAATCGGGAAGCAATCTCAGCATACTAATGATGGGTCTCCAGCAAGTGGTCCGAATGGCGAGGAGTTAGATAACCAATACCGCCATGCGTTCTTAGTTCTCGAACCGAAAAAGAAGGATTCTAGCAGTCATGTGAAGCACGTGTTATGTGCTGAAAGTGACATCGAGCGTGATCAATGGGTAGAGGCTCTGCTCCGCTGGATCGACTATCGGGATGACAACGATGAAGAGGCACATTTAGCTGCTAGCCATGGCCGGAATCAAACTGTGAGCAACAATTCTCACCCCGGCAATGCGAATGTGAATGCGAAGAAAAAGGGGCATGTGAAACATCAAGGGCAGCAGAGTGGTAACCAAGAAGGATTGATCGGGATGAGCTACGACACAGCTAGGCAAGGTAATATTCCGGATGGTGCTCCCTCCAGAAATCAAAAGACTGGCACACCAGAATCACAAGATAGAGTAAACGGTTCAGCTTACACCATTTCAGCCCCGAAAGATCCACAGCTAATCCCGGATGGAGCCTCATGGGGCGGCAAGATGGGTCTAGCCCCGCCTGGTCCTACGATCGAAGAAAAGAAGCAGAGGAAGCGTAGTTTCTTCGGATTTGGCCCTAAAACCCGGTCGTCGGTGGATGACCAAGATGCGTCTTATGGTTCCAATGCCGGCAATGCTCCTCAAAATCAAGTCGAGCAACGAGGACCGATACGACAAGCCTTTGGTGCGCCTCTCGCCGAAGCGGTGAGATTTAGTGGCCCCTTTGATGCCAACGTCCCTCTTCCAGCAGTAGTATACCGGTGCATCCAGTATCTCGATGCGAAGGGCGCGATTCGAGAAGAGGGTATTTTCCGACTGAGCGGTTCTAACGTAGTAATCAAACAACTACGCGAGCGTTTCAATACTGAAGGCGACGTTAACCTCCTCACCGACGATACATATTACGACATTCATGCTGTGGCTTCCTTGCTAAAGCTTTACCTTCGTGAACTACCCACGACCATTCTCACCAGGGATCTCCATATGAAATTTGTCGAGGTAACCGAGATGTCTAATCAGCGAGAAAAGATTGCGTCATTGGCAGAGCTCGTACAGCAACTTCCATTGGCGAACGGGACACTATTGAGATACCTCATTGCTTTCCTGATTAAGATCATCAATCACTCAGATACGAACAAGATGACTGTACGTAACGTTGGTATTGTTTTCTCTCCGACGTTAAATATCCCAGCTCCGGTATTTGCACTACTCCTGCAGAACTATGAGGGTATCTTTGGTATAGATCCAGAGGAGTACGAACTCCCGTCTCCGATTGATACGGACTCGGGCACAATAGAGACACAGCCACCTCGGCCGCCCACAGCGACGGATTCGCCTCAAAGGCGGCTAATCGAACAGACACAGCAGCGATCAACACCTACTCCGCCGCCCGGTGTATTCGGTGGAGGGCTTCGTCCGGCTGCGACACCTCCTCCTCGCCAGACCTCATATGAGCCACATTACTTAGCTCAACCGGGATCACAATCCTCGCTTCGCCCAGCTTATGAAAACAGCTTTGTTGTACCGCCAGGTTATGATCCAAACTCGAGGCAGCCCAGTTATGACCGCCCACATTATGCATCATCTTACGAACAGAACCACAGCGACAATTCGTTATCGGCATACGATCAATCTTACAATAAGAACAAAAGGAGAGAGAGCACAATGTTTATGGGGAACATGATGCTTAATCAGCAAGGCCTTAATCAACAAGGTTCCAAGAGCCATCTAAGGGAGGAAACCAGGATGTAATCACATCTAGCATCACATCTAGCGTCGGAACCCGCGGCCGTCTTTATGACATAGCAATTTTTGATGATTCCACATATATAAGTCACGATTTATTACTGTTTTACATGGCTAGCGCCGATTCTAGCGTCTCGTTAAAAATTCCTATTCGGTTCCTTCGTCTTGAGACGATTTTGATATTTTCCGCATGTTCCAGCAAGCGGCAGAGGACCATAATCTACTCTATAACCTCATCGCACTTCAATGTCTTGAACCAAGCACTGTTCCATTGGTACAATAGCTACGGACTGGAGCCCTAGCAAACATAATACTCTAATGATACTATTTCAGATAGTCTCAAGATGTGAGGCTAGAGCAGAATAAAGGTTTAAAACGCGAAGGAGGTTGCCATTTGGTTACCCCAAATCTTAGAGCCGGTTTTAGCAAAATCATACAACCAAGCTGCAGCTGCGTGCGGGAGGCAGTTCGCGTCTTATTGGCTTCTACAGGTGAAATATCTTGGATAACGGAATGGGGAAGAGATATCGTGGCGTTGATGGCTCTCGTGAGGGCATGAACCCCAAATTTAGCATTTAGCGAATGAAGCACGAAAATTCGATTTTGTTAGAAGCTGTCTTTGACACTTTGGAGTCAAGTCTTTGCGGTGAGAAATTTCTGACCGTAGACGATAGACAATACGAGTCTTGCATAAAACAGTCATGTGAACCGACTCTGCAGCTGCCCAGTGCGACAAAAATCTTGCATGCGTATATGTATAGGTGCTTACCATTGGCCCCAGGGTGTTTTCCTGTGTTCCATCCATGTACATTTGTGAGATGGTGATACTAATTTGTGCCACGATTAACTTACCATTAGAACATTGGCCTACTTAGAGCCTCATCTTCCGGCTCGGTAGGATTTCGTAGTAAAAATGCAACTGAATAGATGTTTTTAGTTTTTCAATAAACAGAATTCGAGGAGCACATATTGTGATTATCCAGCCTTCATTCTCGGCATGTTCCGCTGCTTTATATGCCTATTAGAGATAGAGAGCCACTCAACACCATCGCCATCTTTTTTGGCTAACGCCTCGACGAAATTGTAGCTTTCTCTCCGCCATAGACCTGACAACCCATAGGACGCCAACCGCGCTTATGTAGACCCTTGGAAGTGACTTCAAATCCGAATGGACTAAGACATGAAATAAACCTCGTATTAGCTGCTACCCCTTTTATTTAGTCATACCATCATAGGATGATGGTTCACCAACAGGCATTTTACATTAATAACCCACCCACCTAGCTCTTCTCTTACTTGTAGTATACTCAGTCCGATCGATCGGCTGCCGATGCAAGCAAGCACCCGCAGATCCGCCTATGACAGTTGGTTCTTCTACATTTGTATAGTTGTATATTTATATATTTAGTATATTTAGCAACCCAAGGTCACTGGTACGGGGTTCAAGTGTTGCCCCGGGCCGCATGTGATTACCGGCTCGCAACCGTGTCAACGCAGGTTGTTTGGTCGAGTTTCTGCTTTGAGAAGGATGCATCCTAGTGCGCGCCTTAGGTCAGGCCTAGACTCTACCGTAGAACCCCCCGCGGATTCCTGCTTTTCGATCCGATATATGATATTACTACCCTAAGCTGCAGCAAGGGACGTTCGGATCCGATGCTCGGTATCCTGGGGACACATCTCCCGGGGGTAAGGACCTACCTACCTACTTCCCTCTCCGTTGCCATGGACATATTGATCGTCGCGAATAAGCAGGGCTAAAGCAATGAAACGACGGCATACGCCACGACCCAAGGGAGAAAGGCCAGCACACCTACCAATAGCATCCACAAACAAGACACAATACTATGTGCTGACAGCAAGCCACCATAGGTATCTAGATACTCCTATTCCATCCCAGGCATTAACGGGGCTATATTCTCGCACGGTATCAATATATCCATTACGCCATCCTCGGCTTGAACGTGAGAGCACAAGAGTACGATCAGGATCGGGCTACACGAGTATACATCTGCCGAAAATTAACTTCGACGGATACCTCATAGATCTTCGATCCTCGATCCCCGCGATACGTATTGCGACTAGGCCATTTCAGTGCGAGGTAAAAATATGGTAAGAGTCATTCGAAAAGCTTCATATGTTCTGGTCGAGTAATATAAACTGACCGTAGCCCGTAGCTCCAGACGGTCGAATTATCGGTGAACAATTATGCCTGTCAACCATGATCTGCCTATTCGTTTTGCGCGGTCCATGTCCACGAATTAAGTTGCCAAGTCATAAGGCAGGGTAATAGGAGTAGGAAAAGACGTCTTGTGCGTGTTCCTTCGAATACCACAATTTAGCCCCATACGTTAGATTGAAAGTTAGAATTCAACCCCCCAAACCCTGAACCCTGAGATCTAGATCTCGTACATTCCTGGTGTCTATGTTGAGGAGTCGAATTAACTAGCAAATTAAGTAGCAGACGCGGGGCACAATTCATGGTATTCAATAGGAGAATTTGGATCAAAGACCTCCTTAAGCCGGGCCGAGAGAAATGAGACTTGTCTTTTTTTTTGTTGGGATGATTTCTGTCGTATTCTTCATCAGCTGGGCGTTGTATTGATGTCTATGGGACGATTTATAATAGATGATCGACCGCGGCTGCAGATAGAAGATTTCCAAGAGGTATTCGATCGTCAAGGAGCGTCGGAGTTTGTTAGTATTGTGCCTATTATCTGGACCGGAGGCTCTCCGTGACTTAGCGCCCTTCCTCCAGAATGTTTTTCTTTTTTTTTTCTTTCTCTACATACGTATGTTGCCCTGCCTGCAAGGTGCACGGGGTAAGAGGTGATCTCTCGGAGTCGGCGCCGAGCCAATCAAGAGGGCGGGCTTTTATCGGAGGCAATAGTTTTTTCAGGGGGAACTGTCGAAGAGCAGATAGACCTGTCAAGTCTCATAAAACTCTAACTGCATTTGGGTCAATGCGGTCATTCAGATAGCCAGATACCTAACATGCCTAGGGTACTTTGTGGGCTTGGGTAGGTTAGCAAGGTATTGGTGATATACGCGAGCTTAACTACCTCCTACCTAGCTAGCTGCCGAGGACTTCTCGTTTATATGAACATGAACCTTAGAGTGGCGACTAATTTTAGCTAATTGGAGAATGATAGCTGTCAATATGTCTCCATGAGTCAGCCGAGCTGTGTTCGTCCACGAATGTGGGGGTAAATGATCCTTAGGAGGTATACGGAATACCTAGGAGGTAGCTTAAGAGCACTGAGCACTGGAGCGGCATCGTTGATTACCAGGCTTAGATTCTTTTTTATCCCTGTTATATAGATTTAAATTTCTACAGGCCTATTTTTATACAGCGGAGAGAAATAATATGCTAATGATTTTTTAAAAATTACAACTGACCTAATATAATGGTAATAAGTCTTTAAAAAAAAAAAACCTTGCTTTTTAAATATCTTCACTTTTCTCCCCCCACACTTCATTTGCCACATCGCCTCGCGTGCCTCGCGTGCCTCCTGTTACTAATAAGTACAATGCGAAATCATAGGCTAGTCCTAGCAACGTTTGATGTACTCATGCATCCAGCTCTTATTGCACAAGCCACCGTCCGAGGTGTATTACAAGCTCGCTTGATAACGGCCTCAAGGTGTACTGCTGCATAAAGACTGGCCACTCACCACTCGCGGAATCTAGTCCGACAGTAACGTGCATATAAAAACTACAAGCGATATAAAACTTGCATTTTAATAACATAGCCCTTGACAAGTACTGTACACAGGCCCTAGACTGCCCATAGCCCATAGCCCAGAGCCCAGAGCCCAGAACCCAGAACCCAGAACCCAGAGCATCTTGAATTGACGTGATAGCTTAATCCGAACTCTCGTCTCTTATACATAGTAGACCGGTCCTGGTCCTTCAAAGTAACCCCAAACCTTATCACGATCATGTATAATATACCTGTATGGTCTGTATGGTCTGTATGTCTAGTGCAAACACACTTTAATACCGAGCAAATCCCATTCTTCCATCTAAAAGCCTTCTTCCGCCCAACTCAGTATCCCGTTATGACGTCCCATGATCCCAGCATTCAGGGACCAGACCCAGTCTAATACAATTGCTCCGTCGAAGTTTACCAGCACGACCGGTCGAAGTTTGCCTCAATAGGAAGACAAAAAGAATCTAGATAGTTCGCGCGATCTTTCACACACACACACATACGCTTTCTCTCTTTCTCTCTCAGGAATCGTTTTACATCATAAATTATTACATTTTCCATAAATTATTACTTTTTCGAAACTCCTTGATCAATTTCGAGAAACGTAGAATATATCGACGACTTGACGTTGCCATATTTGTACCCCAACAATAACAAATCAACTCGAAGGACTCTGTGTACTCGGTGAAACTAAGCTACTAAGCTGTCACCCATCACAAGAACTATCAGAAACCTACAAAAGCTCGCTGCAAGCATGAACGCAGCCGTGGACACTGCGCGGAAATTTGACAATTGGTCAGAGGAGATTCCAACTTCATGGACTCCAACAATGTTCACATCACCTTTCGGTGAGAGCATCACAGCTCACGATTCTCAACTTTGGGCTAGCCCGGGTAACAATCTAGACGACTATTATAGGCCAAATCACCAATCCGCGCGGGAGGAATTAGTACATGATATAGATACAAGCGACAACGTAAGCAAATATTTATTTTCTTCAAATATTATAATTATAGGTACCTTGCATAGTTGCCCATTTTCGTGCTGGACTGTTTCTTCTTCTTTTCTAAACGTCACCAAGTTACTAACTAACTGGCGGGTTCAGTTTGATGCTGGTTATACAATTGACAACGCCGCCGTGGCAGCAGGCACGTTTCTTTACGACCAATATACAGGCACAAATGTATCTGGACAATCTACTCACCATGATTTAGATGACCCTTTTGCTGAGCACACAAGACGATCGGAAAATACCCAACCAAATGCCGGTGATGGAGCAATATTCGACGATAGCACCATACCGGCAACTATAATATCACCATCAACAAACCGCAATCGATTTTCTTCGAATAGTTCCGAGACGAATAAACTTTCGCCTCAATCAGCATTGGGAATATCCCCGGCGTCCGCCTCTTCGATGAACTGGATGGCGGACGGAGGTGACCCACCCTCTCCTCCGTCTCCAGCATGTAGCATCAATGCTGGCATCGACCACATGCCCCCGATCAAGAACAGGCGTAACCGCGAACGGAATCGCGTTGCGGCACACAAATGTCGGCAGAAGGCGAAGCAGAGCATGTCGGAACTGCAGACACGGGAACGGGAGCTAAGCCAGCAGAATCGGATACTTCTGGAGCATGCGGGTAGCTTACGGGACGAGATTCTGGATCTCAAGAATGAGATCCTCAAGCACAGTAATTGCGATAGCGATATTATCCAGAATTACATCTCGCGGGCGGCTCGCGAGGTACACTAATGTATATTGGAACTCGACTTCGCGGCGACTCACGACTGGGTGGTGGGCGAGGTTCTTCTCATCGTCTTGATATTTTGAGGGGGGGTTCTTGTTTGAGCGAGGATATCAATGAGTTTACTAAAAGAACGGACGTAAATGGTAAGATTACGACTAGGGCCATTTTTTCCCAAAGGGAATTTTTTCCAAGTATCTCACCTAGACCATTAGGTCTAATAATGACGGCGGTTTCGTCTGGGGCGTCAATTGGGCCTGCTGGACCCTAGTTCGCCAAGTACTTCCAAGTGGCTCTTGAAGGCTGGCATGACATGGGGTTTATCTGGCGCTTCGTCTTTCTTTTCTCACAAGGGGCCCTGGAGAGGAAGTTTTGTCCTTATGGGAGGTGGACGTATGGAGTCATGTCATAGTAGTTGACTGCGATATAGCACTGAATCGGTGGCCGGCGACACGTTTGTTCAACTCAAACAACAAGGCGACATGCCATAATCAATATGTTGAATCTTCAAAATTTGGGGAATTATAAAATGTAGTACCAAGACGGCTTGATAAAACTCGATGAGGAGTCATGGTCGATATTTCCAGACTCGTGTCGTAGGATTAAGTAGATACAGTTTAGTTGATACGGAAATACCAACAAATATGCAAGAATGAGAGTCCATAGTCAACTATGTTGAGGAATTCTCCGAGGGGATAAGAGCTTTATATATGCGAGCGCTGCTAGGAAGTGACTATGTATGTATGATAGATTGGAAGCATGCATAATATATACAGATCTCACCTGTCAACATATCGTCAGGGTACCCACCCGGCCCCCCAGTCCTAGCAGGGGATGTCAGTATCAGACGTATAGGAAAGCTTCGCGAAAAACAACCACTCCCAAATACTCAGCTCCCATGGAATCGCGACTAAGCAGCCGGGGGAGCTAGCGAACACGACCTCGCATCTTACTACAGTATGCGTCCCCCCCGTTTCCATTACGCCGTCAGCTGTACATTCGCCCCCGATCACTTGCCGATTACTTCCCTTTTCTTTCGACAATCCACAGAAACGGTTGACAGGGTACACGATGAGGTAATGTAAAGGGGGTGGACTGACTAAAGACTCTAGATTGTTCCCCTTACTTCTGACTAGTCATAATAACGTTATAAAAAAGGTGCCCTTTCTTAATCTCTTAATAAGTGACACTATATGCTATAGTATACATAACTTTACTGTCCTTTTATAAATTCCTTGATATCTTTTATAATTAAATTCTATTTTTATTTTATTTCTCTACTGTTGTAATCGTTAATAAATATGCTTATGAAAAGGAGTATTTAAATAAGACTTGACTTAGAATCGGTAGTTATTGAAGCCATTTTGCTAGTTTCCGTCTACTAGATGAAAACTATTGAGAATTATCACGATTGTTTACCCTAGTTAAGCTCTTCCGCCCCTTATGGTACAGCTATTTATAGGTAGAATGAGCATTATATACGTCACAATTGCCTCTTCTGGAACCGTGTCGAGCACCCGCGAGTCTTTCAGTTCAAGAAAAAGAAATTTAAAATCAATTCTATACTGTCACGAAATAGTTCTAAGGGATCCTACGTAGCCACTTGAACATAACTCAATCATAATTAACCATCAATGTAATATCAATTTGCATAGAGTATAGGTCAGGTGTTCTATAAGTAGTTCCCGTCTAATACATATCGTTACCTCACGAACGGATCCGGTTGCTTAACTTGGCAAGCTTACACCGGGTCAACAAGCCCATGCATCGTGAAGTCCTACTGTAATCGCTGCGACAGACAGCTTCCAATCTCGATTCTCGAGGTCTAGACCGATACGCTATCATGTTCGCGAGGGTAAGTTATCTATATGTATGAGAGCTGCTGCCCGGTCGAGATGTCTTATTTGACAATGATTGGCTCTGTACACTATGTAGACAGGAAGCAGTCTATAGTGTGGATCCGCTTGGATAGGTATATTAGCTGGGTATCAGAATATGTCATCACGACGCGGACGCGACACCCATGACATTTTCATAGGTAAACCGCACGACATAGACTAAAATCATACGATATTGTCTCATACATCCGTATGGCTAATGTAAGAGAGTAACATTACGAAAAAAACAATAGGAATAACAGCAGCCATTTCAATTCTACTCGTGCTGTTTTTTCCCCAGCGCTCTCAACCTCTCCCCCCAAACCCACAAAAGTAACGGCATGGGGAGACCTAGGGCTACGAAAATGAATGCCAGGAGACTGTTTCCCCAGCCGTAACCCAAGCTATCGTACAGTTGAGGGGCAAATATTGGAAAGACGAATCCTAGTATGTTGGATAGAAATCTCGTGGCAGCATTCGCCGAGGCACCCAGCTCGCCAAACATGTCAAGAGTGTATGCTAGCAGAGCTTGAGCTATAATTGAGCTCCCGCACGTGAATATGATAGCACCGATGTCAACCATGACCCAATAAATGCGGTATTCTGCTGCCCATCCGTACCAAAAGAGCCCCACAGGAATAAAGAGAACTCCAGGAAGCATATACGGAACGCGAAACTCAGGCCGATCCTCACCCTTATTCTTTGGTCGATCTCGTAACCGCCTATATATAATGTCCACTGCAGTAGCCAAAGTCAGAAATTGCCCCTAATAGAGAGCTTTCGCGGAATAACCCAACATACTAATTCTTGCCCCTATCTGCGCCGTCATACAAAAACCAATCGAGAAAGATAGGTAGTGTAAACTACCAATGAGGGCGGACTGCCCATACCAATCGATCCAGAGCGTTGCGAAAGTTGAGAGCATTAATGTATAGATACCAAAGTTCAAAGCAAGGACGAGAGATATAACCTGAATGATTGGACGCCGGATAAGGAGCCGAAGCGGTCGTCGAAGATAGATCGCTAGCCGGGAGAAAAGGTCTTTCCAGAACGCCCATTGCTGTGGAGATAAAACTGGCACGACCGACTCGGATCTCGCGACCGCCTTTCGACGTAGCAGAACCGGAGTGTACGACTCTTTGATGATAAAGACCCCCAATATAGTTATAAATGCGTCGAAGATGCTCACGATCCAGAAAAGCCACGGCCAGTAGACAAGCTGCACAACGACCCCGCCAACGATAGGACCCAGAGCCGGACCCAGATACGGAAGAAAAGAGGCGATGGCAAGTGACTTACCACGATCCTTCGCGTGGTACATATCCGCCATAACGGGGCCCGTAAGCTAATAAACCAAGAGAATAAGACTTCAAACGTATTTTCGAAGCTAACGAGCAACAATCATATTCATACGTACTATAATGCCGGCTCCCGCGCCCGTCGCAGCGAGAAACCTACCGGTAATCATCAAACCTGTGGATTTTCCCACCGGGCAAAGCGCATTCCATAGGATATACCAGGCGTTGCTGACGATCCAGATGTTCTTCCGACCATTCATCTCCGCGAGAGCAGCTATAAAGAATGGGCCAATCCCCAAACCGAGGAAGTAGATGGAGAGGGTGATCTGCGAAGTCGACGCGTCGATGTTTAGATCGTGAGATATGCTACCGAGGGCTGCTGCCATTATGCTGGCTGACATTAAAGTCACGAGCTGGCCGACAGAGAAGATAATACCGATTGAGACCTTCCGCCACTCGGGCCAGTTGTATGGATCGTTAGGGTCGTCGGGCCCGTCCCACGTTGCTCCGTATAGCTCGTGTAACCGTGCGAGACGCTTTTCAGCTTCGGCATCTCGGTTCGCAACTTGCGCTTCTAGCTGCCCCGGCAAGCTCTCGATTAGAGGCTCCGGGTTGGTCATCAGACCGGCTTCTTTCTTTTCGCCGGAGGACATGCTAACTACAGCCGTAGGTAGACAGGATCTGGCCAACAAGATAGGCAATATAGTTTAGGATGCTGGACAACTCGGTTCATGCGTTCGTAAGCTCTTATATATTCCTAAATAGGTACCTATATCGATATTCCTACACGAATCCGAGGAGGAAATCGCACCATCATCTACAAAACGATGCAATGACTCCAATACTGTACCCTGCTTTCCGGGTGACTCTTACTCTCGACAAGGGCCTAGCTTAATAGCATATGAAATATCCACAGATATAGCCGCTCCCGAAGAACCGTACGGCATACCATCTCACCTCCGTGACCGGGGATTGTTTCTATAGGAGAAATTATTAAGCCATCCCAGGATAAGCAGCCCGACACATTATGCTTCTCTATAGTAGCTGCCTAAAAGTGATAATAGTGTCCCGAGGTCGCTAGTTTTATCATACCTTGCTCGGTTCTACTATATATGGGGAAAATAAGGGGAAATCAAGAGACTTCGGAATTCCTTCCCGAAGGCTTAACGATGGTACGCTAGACAGGGGCCAGCCAGCCCCAGGCCATCCATCCAATAGAACTACATCAGAGGATCTGATAAATTCCCTTGGCATCAGCCAGTAACACCGGCGGTCTATTAGCGCCATCTGATAAGCCTTTTTGACCGGGATTCATTGTGGAACTTTGGTCGGAAACCCCAGAGCTAATGCACATGAGACCCGAAGAAGGCAGGTACATAGCATAGTTATCGTTATGTAGGTAGGGCTCGGAATCCGCGGTCTCCATCTGCTCATGGAGATTCTCACTGGACGAAAAGGGCGTAGCGTGCAAGACTGGAGATAGCGAGACGGGCTTAAGAAAGCTTGTTCGTTATAACAACCTGCTCACCCACCATGTAACTTGGAAGCATCCCCAAACCAAATTAGTAGAAAATAATAAAGTGGGCTAGTATAAAATATAAAATCCGTTAGTTAATACCCAATGAAATATGTTAAAGAGGCTTTAGAACACAGTAAAAATATTAAACGAAAGACTTTAGAAAGAGATAAACCCCTAGTTAAACTCGTATAGCAGATGCTCTGCTTCCTGTCTCCATATCCGAATAGCATCAGGGCTTTGACGCAAATGATAACTTCAATCTCTTTATAACTATTCTACAACGAAGTTGTGCATATTCTGTTTGATTGTATAGGTAGTATATACTACGCAGGGCTATTCGCAGTGTCAGATTGGTAATCATACTGAGAAATCAATGGCGTTTCTTTCTTCCCGTCTCTGTTTTCCCGCGTCTGGGGAAAATTATGACATCGCGTATTCGCCGACCATAGTGTAGTACAGGGTCTAAGTTTTTGCATCTCCCATAGGAATAATTAGCCGAGTATGTCTCACCAACTTAACATGTTTCGGTCCCGTCTTTGCTTCAAAGTTTGTGTAGTAAGTGGCTTCTTAAGTGGTCACGTTTGGCAGATCACCTCGCATATGCAGAATTCCGTGTCTATAGTAAGCCACAAGTCTCGTATATACAACATTAGGGAGTCATTACATGGGAGGTTTAAGTTTGACCGTTATATAGTTTACAATTCCTTGAGAGGCAACGAAGTTTTTTTCGTGCCTTCTAGTTCCACCTCGTGATATTAATTACGCTTATCTTTAGTTAAACTTCGAGATAGTCAGTATAAAGTCCATTGAAGGCTCGTATCATCCTATTCTATGCGGTAAAATTGTATTTGTGGCTTGCTAATTTGATGCCGCTAAAAAGATCTTATACTTTTAGGTAGGTTCTACCGCATGATTTACTACTCTCTTCAGCCAATACTAGGGCAGAATACGAAAGGGTGATGAATTGAAAGTTTTGATGCTGATTCTAGCTTGACCGTTACTGATTTCACCAGTTGGTGTGACTTTGCCTCAGCAAGGAGGCTGCTTATTACGTCAGTCTACATGAATTTAAATGTTGATCGAAGATAATTATACACGACAAAATGGGTACCTAGGTAATGCCGCTTATGTACTCAGATCGAAGTAGATAGCTGTATCCTAGGTAGTTATAATTATAGGATTTATCATGTATAACTATACCTCTTTACCTCCCAGTCTATGTGTGACTGTCAAGTTTTAGTGAATGGACTATCCAAGTTAAATAGGTACCTCCTAATTTATATTGTGAGTAACCTCCTAATCCTACGTTTTCTTAAACCACAGACTTACATACACATTTTCAGCAGATATTAATCATACCGGGCCTCGCCGGCGTCATCGGGTATATCTAGTGCTTATTTAGTGGAGCTCCGTCCCCAATGCTACCGAAAATCGACCGGCTTTTTGCAGTATGTGACTGGGCAAAGCTTTGGCAGCTAGGCGCAAAATTCTGTTCTACTCACAACCTCGCACAGGCTGCGATAAGCCGACAAGTTTGCGGCTCCGCGGAAAAAGAAGGGAGCGTGATTGTGACGGGCCTGGTGCTTGTCCAGAACGAATATAAATACAACAGGTCGCGGGGTTTGTCCCGTTCGTCCGTCGGATCTAATCCCATTGGATATTAAAATTCTCGCTGCCCCTCTGTCTATGTGTAAATACAGACCCAGCAAACATCATAAACGCAATGGGGATCACGTCTATCCCATCCGATCTGCTCGGAACACGAGCGGGAATCTTCCGAAGTGTGCTGTTGACAGCTACCGTAGCTACCGCGACATACTTAGCAGCCGGACTCGTTCTGCAGCCTAAAGGGGTCAAGAAACAGCTCATTACGCCGTCTCCGCGGACAAGAACTCTCCCGACACTCTCAGAAGAGGAGACCTTAACCCTCCCATATCCGCCCGACGCCCTTCCCGGGGGGAGAGATGTAGAGACTCCGTACGGTTCAATACGGGTCTATGAGTGGGGTCCCGAAGATGGGGAAAGGGTCCTTTTTGTTCACGGCATTAGTACGCCTACAGTATCGTTAGGTGATCTTGGACATGAATTTGTTGGTAAAGGGTGCCGTGTTATGCTCTTCGGTAAGTTATAGCCTCTCCCTCTTCTTGACCGTCGTATTGTGGATATATTACCTAGGTCAAGGAAGAAAACTGTTTTCTTACTATTTTCCCTATCAGATCTTTTTGGCCGCGGGTACTCGGACGCGCCTAGTGACCTCGTTTACGATGAGCGACTTTACGTAGCGCAGTTTCTGTTGGTCCTAGCATCATCCAAGTTATCATGGACAACGTTCAACCTTGTAGGATACTCTCTCGGCGGAGGCCTTTGTGTCTTATTCACGAGATATTTCCCGCATTTAGTTAGCTCGCTCACACTGGTAGCCAGCTGTGGCTTGATCCGGCCATACCATGTTGGCTGGAAGAGCCGGTTGCTCTATAACTCAGGATTACTCCCGGAGTTCCTAGTGAAAATACTAGTTCGAAGGAGGATACGGCCGAAGGCTGAGCAGCCGGCTGGTGTTGCAGGTAGCGCCGATATCGCGTCTGTCGAAACTAAGAAGCACTTACCAAATGGAGATAGCGATGCTAATGGCGGCGCCGGATTTGACAGTACATCCATCTCTAAATTTCGGCCGAAAGTCACTGTGTCCTCAATTGTGGGATGGCAGGTTGATCATCACGACGGGTTCGTCATGGCGTTCCTCAGCACAATTCGGAACGCCCCTATTTATGCCCCCCAGCAAGACTGGGTGGCTTTACATAAGATTCTTGAGTCTAGGAGACGATCCGAGCATGACAAAGAAGCCGGCCCGATTTCGGGACTCCGTGCCGGGAAAATTCTGATGATACTCGGGGAGGACGACCCTGTTGTCGTCAAGGATGAGACGATAGAAGATGCCCAGAATATACTCGGATATGACGGAGTGGAAATTGCTGTTTTACCTGGAGGGCATGAGATACCTATCTCGGCGAGTTCTCGTATTGCGAGTACGGTAGAAGCCTTTTGGCGTAAACATTTGGCTTGAGCAGGCTCTGTCGCTCGTAAAGCATTGGATATTTAGGAGTAGCCTTGAATAGATTATCTTTCTTGGAGGTACCTAGAATAGTTAGTTATAGATAATAAGCCCCTCTTAGTTGTTTGGCCCCAGTGATACGTTAATTAACCCTGAAAGGAGTTTTAGCTTAGGTCGCCAAGTCTAGAAATGAGTTCCCCCAAAGGACTGAGAAAGGCACAAGAAGTTATTCGTTTATAACCATCAATTCCTTCTCTTTAAAGAAAGAACCATAAAGGTAGATATATGGGGAAGAATATGTCATACATATGATATGATGGACATGGTTGTAGCATGACTAGTAAGTAAATAACCTGAGGGGGTTAGCTTTACAGTCACGCTTCGTTCATGGTTTTCGAAGACTCCAGCCCTCCACATGTATCGAATTATGGTCTTTCTGCTGTATCTGTAACGAAGCACTGTACTCTATAGTTGACTATTGTACTATATGCAACTCCAGCGGGCGAGTTGTTACCACCATACAATAGCGTGCTAAGCAGTAGATATACCCTTCATGTGGTCAATTTTACATATAACACTGACCTCACTCGACCTAACGACATGTCTATATACTTCGAAGCTCTATACGCTGACCGGTTCGCAAAACAGAACGCCATTTAGGAACATGGCAATAACAACTGTCCTTACATACATACCTCTATATGTGTGTCGGCCCACTCCTACAGGACCTCCAAGCGAGGTAAGACACTTCCGGAAAACAATAGTTTTAACTCAGCCTTTGTTCGTTTTATATAGTATGATATGCTGCATGGGTAATTCGCTAGCCGTTTCTGGGGCCACACGCCAAGTTCATTGGCGTCGGCTTTGAAAAGTCATTACCAATCGTATCAACCCCTAGATAGTTGGTGGTGTGGACAGGGTATGTTAACATGCATGCTACCACGTAGTGGTGCGTAGCCGTCCTGTCCGAAAGCAATCTGGGGATTGCTTACTGATTGCTTGCTGCCCACATGGCCTATCATATATATAGTTAAGCATCGACCCCAAGGGGGCGCTGACTTGGCGCCGACATGACCACGACTGACTGCTCAAACGGGCTACATAGTATGTAAGGATTATGTTAGATCAACGTCCAATGCCCCGAGTTGCTCAGAAAAGCATAGACCAAGAGCAGAAGGAGTGAATAGAACTTTCTTCTAATATCCACAGATAATATGCATGACACGTTGCTATGTCCACCTCCTGTCCATCTTCAACGTATATGGTTTGGAACGCTGGGGCCGAGGTCGAGCTAGGAGAATGCTGGATACCATTACAGGCATTTAGATAAATCGAACGTTTGTACATCGGACGATGAATGTAAGTTGAATATATAATATAGTATCTGCAAATGTGATTGGCAGATTTGCTAAGACTGCAATGAAACGCGGTATCACAACCGGACTTACAAACACTTGTAGTATACCATGGTCCATATATCGTGCGTAAGTCTAAAGAGGACGTGATGATCCTAACCTGTAAGGTAAGTTAACGATTTACCTATCAGAGATCAAATCACCGGGAACCTTTTGAGTTCATCCCGACAGAGGTGCGATGTAGATGGAAAGTAAAAGTATGCTTAGGGATCTTATGATGTAAGTTAATTCTTCAGTATAAGGAAATTACATCAAAGGTGTGTTGATCGAGGCTATTAAATGCTAGAAGCCGGTAGGGATGCGCCCCTTTACCCCGCAATTCCTTTTAAGTTCTGGATTGCAGGTGACGTAAGTACCTACCTAAGCAAATCAGAAGTGGAACATACCTATGAATCTGTTAGCGTTATCAGTCGTTTCATACCTGCTGCCCTCGCGAAACTCTAATCTCGCCTTAGCAGCTGTCCCTTTTTGCATTTGTAGCTTAATGTTCTCTACATGTACGAAGTAGTGGGGTACCTATCATTAGCAATATGCGCCAGTCTTTCTAGGCGCGCTAGCGTAGAGTTGTTTTAGCTAGCTGGCCAGTAGGCTTCCACCCCCTTCAAGCTAGTGTCGTTGATCTTTGGGTCTATTCGTAGCATGTTCCAGGAATCTGTATTAACTGAGCTACCCCATGCTACAATTGCTACAATTGCTGCAATTGCTGCAATTGTCTACAATTATCTGCAATATCCATCCATCGCGACTGCCTAGCTCTATATCGATCCTACCATATCTGAGATTCTAACAAACGTTAGCTTTCATTTAATTCGCCTTCTTCACACCTCTTTATATTTCCATATCCACTTCGATAAACCACCTTTTTGCCCAGCTCCAAAGTCCTGACCAAGCTGGCACCCTATCCGGCGTTGCATTTCCGTTAGTTATCCTACTTTCGGAAAGAATAACAACTGTTGAAAATCGACGCCATCTAGAAGCCCAGAAGCTTTGGTTAGGTACCCCGCTTAGAGCATCTTCAAAGAGGATCGAGTCAGTCGATGCTACACGGGTGAGCATCGTCACGTCAATCAGCAAGACACTTTCTTTGATAGTGCGCATTGGCGTCTTATTGCGTCAAAGAGGAAAAGAAACGGTTGATCGTATTGTCATCGCCACACCCATCAACCTATCAACCTATCAACCTATCAACCTAATCAACCTATCAACCTAATCAACCTATCAACTTCCTTATTTGACCTCTGCCGTACTATGCTTGTCACTTTCTAACCATCCATATTATTCGTGATATTGCCTACCACAAAGGAACATATTACTACCACATCTTGTTTCATTTCTTTGACTATTCTGCTGCCTTCTGTCTCTTTCCCACCTCGATTCTGTGTACCAATCGCCAAGTCGATCATCCCACACACAGCAAACTCAAGGTTTCACTTCTGCTACTTCTATAACGCCACATCATACCACCGCTCCAGTTGAAACACGCATTGTCCAATCTACATCGTGCGATTAAACCAACTAGGTACTAGTCAACTACATAAACCCGAGAATTCTCAACGCTCTTCAGCTAGTCATCCTCGTCATCCTCGTCATCACAACCTAAGCAATTAGAACTAGATCATTTACAAGTATCAACATGTCGAACGATAACACCAGTGGCCCCTCTAACGACCGCCGCGGCTCTATTACTTCCGCTACGTTCTCTAGTCTCTTCCAGCGAAGCAATTCGACCTCTGCTGGCAATGGCAATAGCCGCGAATCGGTCACATTCGCGGCGGCTAGAGACCAACGTCGACGGCTATCCGTTACTACGGTAGGGCTGTCTGGCACGTCACCCAACTCTGGAAATGCCACGTTTGGAATGCGCAGAGGCAGTATTTCCACCAACAACTCGGAATTGATCGATGAGAGCGCCATCGATGATGAGGAATCCTCCAAGACAGGAGCTACCTCTCCTTTCGCTCGTCGCATCAGCTTCGGCGCCCAGGCTATGCGTAATCTGCGCACTGGACCCGGAAGCCCTGGATCAACTGGTAGGACTCCCCAGCAGCCGAGACGTATTTCTAATGCAAATACACGTGCTCCACCCTCCAGTGCCTCGTCCGCCTCAGCTGCTGCGAGACGGGCAAGCACCCCTCAGGCAAGCAATGCATTACCTAACAGAGCCCCTTCTGACATGTTTTCTGTTCGGGCAGATAATGGATACAACTGGCCCGAGCAGCTTAGATCCCGTGCCGAAAGCAGTGTACAAGGTCATCGACCGAGTTTTGGACCTCATAGATACGGCTCGCCACCTCACGGCAACGGTCAACATGATCGCTCAAAATCCATTTCCGAAATGCCAGCTCCTCCTCAACAAGCTGCTACCGTAAAGCCGAAGCAGCCAGAAAGACCTAAGCCAGATTATATGCAAGAGCGCATTCTCAAGGGCGACTTCTATATGGATTGATTATGATTGTGTGTTGTATAGGGGAATTCCCACATTCATTGATTTGATGTGTTTTGGGAGCCAATCTTCCCAAGCTAACCCTTACAGGTTCGTGGTCACTGACAGGACCACGGGCCATGCGCTCTATCTGCTGTATTTCCATTGCACGCCGTCTCGTCAACCTACGTCGTTCGTTTCGACGATTTGTTTCTATGGCGTTGAGATGGGGAAATGCGGGGGATAACCGGGTAAATTGTCTTCTCAACGCGTACCTAAGCTCAGCCGAAGGAAGGCAGTATCGCTTGTGGGGATGACGTGACATTGGGAGAACCGACGGCGTTTTTCCAAATGATTTTGTTTGCCCTTTGCGGCCTATGATCAGCATTGTTCGGACTTCAAATGGCTTGTGTGAACAGTTACCAGAGCTCTACAGCCCAGTTGCATTTGTATGATATGGCGATGGATTAAAACAGTCTAAGTTATATCATTACAGGCATCAGAGAGGGTTAGGCATGCCTTAGGTATGTACGTAGATATTAGCAATAGGATCATTTGACGGGGAGATTTTTGGAAGCCAGTTCCTACACATTGTCTCTGCGCGGGTTTTACAAAGCAAGATAAGCTGCATTATTCAGACTGAAAATAAATCAAACAAATTCAAATTGGAGCTGATTGGCAATGACTGCTCGATAGATTAACAATAGTGGCAATTCGATTTTTCTACTGATGAGTGAGTATTTTACGCTACCTCTTAAAACATACCATAAGAACACGCAATCATTTGGACTCGTTCAAACGTCCCCATACGCCCGACCCAAACACCTCCTGCCCGCGACGTGCCAGGACCTAAGCCGATAGAAAAGAGAAAAGCATTACGCCAGTTCACCGTAAGCAATCCCGTCACGCGAGTATATATCCGGCTCCCGAAAGCAAATCCTAGCTCCGACGCCCTAGCAAGCAAGCTGTGTATCTGTCAGTGTATGTAGCGCGTAGATATGTAGGCACAATGCGTGCAGCACTGAAGTAGCGATCGATGAAATAACCCATAGAGGCGGAGTAGCGACAGTGAAGTGGAGAGTCGCCCAAACATGCATTTTTCCCTTTTCGTTCTTTTCTCGACATATCTCTTTTCCATCTTTTTCTTATATTCATCTTCTTCTTCTTCTTCTCTTCTCAACGCATATTTAGAGAGCGGGTAGGTATAATATCGTAGTAGTAGTGGTAGTAGTACAAGTAATTCGGTCCCTCTTCGTAGGAATGGGTTCTCATCAATGTGGTTTCAGAACTGGAAGAAATTCCCATTAGGTCCGTTTGGGGGCGGGGGGCCTGTGGCAAAGCCCTCGGATACTGGAGGGGGCCCGAGCATGTCGTTCTGCATCATATAGCGCATAGTGTCCTCGTACGAGACCGGGTCGCCGGGGCTGCCACCGCCAAATCCGGTTAGTGTGAGCCCGAGAGCCTGCTCAAACCCGTCTCCGAGACTACCGTAATCGAAATCGTTGGGCCCGAATGGTGAGGCCATCCAGGGCATTAACGATTGTTCAGGTCCCGGTCCCATTTGTAAATTCCCCCTTGGTGTCGGACCACCCGTCGGGTCGTACATAAAGGGCTGGTGAGGCTGCGGTGCTGTGCGCAGCCACGCTTGAAACGCCTGTGTGTTATTACTATCCACACCGGGCGGAGGCGGATTTGAGCCGCTGGTACGTGGTGGGCCGTTTCCGGTTGCTATTTCTGAAAGTAGTTGGAGTGGGGTGTTTGTTGGTTCGGGATTTGACTGAGGTTGATGTTGTTGCTGTTGTTGTTGCTGTTGTTGTTGCTGTTGTTGTTGCTGTTGTTGTTGCTGTTGCTGTTGCTGTTGCTGTTGTAAATGTGCGCCTACGTTGCTATTATCGTCACTTGGGGATACCGATCTCTTAGCGTGATGGGCTGCCACAAGCTCTGACTCTTCATCGCTTTGACCTGCCTTGCCTTGAGCCTGGCCCTGCCTATAAAACCAATTACGCAACATGGCCAAAACGAGGAGGAATTTGCTGGCAGGCCGCGACTTATCCGATGCGGCAACCTCTCGAAATTTCTCCAGCAGTTTCTCAAGATACTCGGCAACCTTCATATTGTCCTTGTTAATGACTTTACCTAATTCGGAATCCGAGTTGCTGGCGCTGAAATACATTTTTATCAACACGACCACGGCATAAGCAACCCGAACGAAACTAAAGATCGGGATGCAACGGATACTATGGACGTCCATAGACAGAAAGGTCTCGAAGATGCCATCAATGGCGGTAAGACATGACGACAGAGCGCTGATATGCGACGGGGTCAGAGAGTCATCTAAACCTGGAATGGGATCCCGAAGAGAGTCAGCATTACACGGAGGTCGATATTCCTCTGCACTCTTATCAACGTGTAATGCAATTTCGTGCATATACAAATTCAGTACATGGAAGCCAAGTACAAGGGATGCTGCTGAAGGTTAGCTAACACGATAACCCAGTTGGAATTGATACTAACGTACGCCTTTTATCTGATTTGGGGATAGATTCGCTATACTTGGAAAGGTCACGTTCGAACCCGCGAAGGGCATACTGTACTTTTTGCTCGGAGACATTGATGAAAACACTGGGATCGTCCATGGAGAACTGGATGCCTACGTCCTCAGCGAGTCGGTGCGTCCAGACAAGGTGGCAAAGGTACCTATCCGTGGGTGCCGCATCTGGAGAAGATTCTAGGATATCCATACACTCGGTCATAAATGACTGCCATCTAATTAGGTTCGGACGGTGCAAAGCCATGGATACATTCGAAGAAAGGAAGTAAACTGCGAGCCACGTCCGTCGTGCTTCGATCGAGGTAGGGTCTGGGAGAGGTTGTTTCCTGAAAGGATGGTCACGCCAAGTATACGGTACGAGTCGCGACTTTGGATTATACTTCCTCCGACCCAAGCCAATATCGATTGACATGACAGCCGCCAAATGTACAAACTGGTAAAACTTCAACTCCTCAAAATGCTCAGGTGGATAGTACCAGATGACGCTAACGAGGATCGACTGAACCAATTCCAAGGATTTCTTGCCTGAGATGATGATGTGATCGGCGAATATCTGCATGATCTCCTTAACTAACTGGCGTTGAAGCTTCGGCGTCTCAGATGAGGCAGCCGCGATAACAGCGAGAAATAGGATCGGCTTCGTCTTACGGACTTCGGTGGCAGTCGTACCTTCGGGAAAGACGACCGCCGGTAGATGAGGTACCATATCCTCCACATACCGAGTGAAGAGGGCGGTAGCTTCGCTCATGGTTATTAACCCACGATCGATTATATCTGGCGGCTGCTGCTCTAATCCAACGCTAGACTTAGGTGGTGCTGGCGAAGCGCTGGTCACACCAGGGGAGCCGGATATCGGTTCGGTGAACTTTCGTTTCTGACCCGCCATAGTTGTCGGTGGTGCTAATGGACGCTTCTCGGGCGAGGCAACAGGATGAGATTGAGGTTGAGGCTGAGGTTGAGGTTGGTGTTGGTGTTGATGTTGATGTTGATGTTGAGTTTGAGTGTCTCGAGGCGGAGCGCCCCAATCTCTTGCGGGTGCAGTATGATTGTATCCGAAGGTATGGTCCTCCGATGGGGGCGGATGGACGACATTGTTAGGTGTTCCTCTACTCGCCTGGAGGCTTGCAGTCAAAGCATCTATTTTCTTCTCCAGTTCCGCAACACGGCTATCCGTCTTTTTCTGCCTCTTACGTGTGGGCTGCGTCACGATGCAGTTCCTCCCTGCCTTCGCGCATCGCTTGCATGGTCCGTCCGGGTTCGCGGGATCGGGTTCACACTTCACCTTTAACCCACGACAAGCTTCGCAGGCTCGCGGCCGCTTAGGATCGTTCGGATCATGCGCCGCATTGGGGGTATCGCTGTTAGCCGAATGCGAATGACCGTTCGGGGTTTGGGGGGTGAAGCCGGTCGTGGAAGCTGGCGGTGATGGACCAGCTGCTTGAGCTTGAAGCTGCTGTTGAAGTGGTGAATCGGGGAGTTCTGGTTGTGTTGATGCTTGGACTGGTGCAGGTCCTGATGATATTGATAATGATAATGACGATGATGTTGAAGTTGAAGTTGAAGTTAATGTTGAAGCGGGGATTCCTACGGCGGCCACTTGAGATGATAGCGTATTCTTTGGACCGTTGACGATAATTGAGTCCTCACCGGCATCACGAAGACGTGGGTCAAGTGAAGCTGGATCCATCTCGAACTTTTTTCTTTTTCTCCGCCCCCCGAAAAAAAAAAGATCGAGATGCCCGCTTACCGGCTTGGTGCTAGAGGCTCACACGTACAATTGCGTACAATGTCGCAGTAGTAGATGACCGACTCGGCGGTTGTAACGGTCAACATAACACCCGGCGGCCGACGGTATGAGATGTACATGGGAGGGAAATCAACGGGTAGGAATTTCGTCGACGAGTGGCTGGACTTTGGGGCCTTGGGTCTTTACTTGGTGTTACAAAGAACTGGGGCAACCCGTTCCGGTTCCACTCTTTTAACTACCTTTGAGGTAGGAGGTACCTAACCTATGACGGACTTTACCTGGGCAGTTTCTGCTTTTCCACTACTTCCGAAACTGCTTTACCCCTTTCTCTTATTCTCTTATTGATACATAAGAAGTAGGTATATTGTCGAACTTGAATTTTGTGAGAAGTTCTCAAGTATAAGAAAGTGTTTAAGCCTCAATTATTCATATTTCATGATGCATTTAGGATTTAATTCTGGCTAGTAGCTGCCGTCATCAGATCGACGGGTTTGAATGTGGACCAATCCCGACAATCCCGACAAACAAGCATCATAGGTCGTCATCTTTCGTGCGTAACTCAAACAACCCCACATCATCATATAATTCATTCAAAGATTAGTCCGTATAAGATAACTTCCGACTTGAAAGTACGCTGTCACGAAAGTTTCCAGGCAAATATTTCATAGTTCATACCTAAAAGATACTCATATGCCATCTCTTACCTTTAACTCAATTTTAGAAATAGCATACAACATATATCACGTTAATATGCGTTCGCCTGAAAGCAACAACTAGCCTACAGTAGACTTTAACCACGTGATGCACACACTATAATTATTTCTATAACAACAAGACAAGCGCTCATCTACTTTAATAATTTATGCTAAGTATAAATAAATGTAGCAGAAATCTCTCTCGACCAATGCCTATTTCTTTACTATGAGTTAAACTAGCTATTGGTAATACTCTTAGATTATCTTACAGGATGTAGTAGCCCGACAAAGTTCACCTTGATAGGAGTGCTGAGTATGTCTTATTAAAGGGAGCTCGTTTTAGAGTTGAGACATAAGCTATGTTAAAGTATTTGAATAGTTTCGTGTTCCTTAAGATAAAGGATAAGATAATATATAAATCTTACCAAGCTAACATTAGAAAGTGGTTCTATTTGTGACTACCTTCGTTTCATCAAGATTCCAAAATACCACCTTGATCTGATATGGATAACTTTCAATAAATGACCGCTAATGATGCAATATCATTGAACTATCAAATATATTCCCATGCAACTATTAAATGCTTAACGAAAGTTCCTACTAGGTAGCATGTTACTTACGGGTGGCCAGCACAGCCAGAATAAATAGAACAGATTAGTAGCAGATTAATCATCTCTCTTAAAAGAAATGGTCGCCGATGTCAGCTCGGTGTTACGGGATTACACCGAGGACTATTATGTAAGGAATCAAACTAAAACTAAAAGCAATGCGAAGCAGATGTGTGTATAGGATCGGGTCGGTCTTATGAGAAATTCGTCTGAGACCATGGCGGCTATGAAGATTTTAGGGGCGTTGTATTGTGCGGTGATACGAAAGAAGCAAGTTAGAAGAGGCGGTTACAATGTGCTTCTTTCAGTAAAGTTGTCATTGTTCTACAGTGAGCGTACTACCTTCTTGAGTCGTCAAGAAACACGTAATCAGGTGCTGTGGCGTAATCAATTGAGTACTTGACGAAAGAGTGACGCTGCAGAGAAGATCATCATACCAACCTAATTTATCTGTCCATCGTTAGAAGCATCCGGCTGCATGAGACATGTCCAGATTGGGAGTAGATACTCGTCATATCGTGGGACTACGCTACCAAAAGTACCTCATATGTGCCTGTTCGTGGTTCTTAAAGCTTATAGGTAACTACCTGTTATTGGTTTAAACTAACATATAACCAACAAGTCGGAAGTACCGTATCATGAAAGATACGTCTGCCAAGCCCATTCCATGATGCCTTTAGAGCTAGCCCTTGGAGAATGTAGGTTTTCTCTCTTAGCGAACTCAGATGTCTCGATCTCACATTCATGGTTGCTAACACGAAATAGATCCACGACTTGTTGATAACATTCAAAACTATTAACGTTGACTATCTTAGAAGAACTTTGGTATTAACTACCCGTATTCAAATATAGTCTCTACCAAGATTACAAGGTGTAAGCCCCAGTGCAGATAGCCGTGCGCAGGTCACAAGGACTCGGGAGAAACGCTCACGAAACGGATGAAGGTCTGTTTCGTGCGTAGGTCTCAGATCTGCTTGCTCGTTGCCCTTGCGTAGGAAATTCGGCAACAGTTCAATCATACCATATATGCACGTAAATAGGGTAACGCTATGACATTTCACCTTTTCGGTAATACCAAATTTGCCTAGTCGATCTTAGCCGCATTCAAAATTAAATCCCCCCGGGTTGTCCGATGGGTATAAAGCTGGTGCACGTGGATATGGGCTGACATGTCATATTAGACCCCTGGCTCACTTCCCTGGAGATGAGTAGGTACCGCTCTTTTGAGTACATACGGGGTGAAGATAACGAATGGTACCCGGGTATTACCGTAAACGGGTAGCGAAACAAAATTCGTCGTCGAGTAGGTACCAGTTCATGCCGGGTTCATGCTCGGAGGGAGATAGCAAGGATCTCGATAGGAACAAAAACCAATATTTCCAAAATGAGGAACCCATGAACCCCCCAGCTTAAGTACGTACATGGCACGGTGACGACAGTTGAGACATTCTTGAGTTAAGACAAGGCCATTATCGCTTCGGTTCGCCCTTATCCTTATCCCTATATCTAGCATATTATATACCATAGTAGGTATCCTCAGCTGCAGATTTAATTATTAAAGTCAGGGATGTTCATAACCCCAAGTGTCAACCCCTGCTACTGCATAACAAACAAAATGGGCCTTGGGCCCTTGCGCTACCCTCTTGTTTTCTTAGCTGGGAACGAATTTCGAGAAGAATTCTCGCTTAAGTCTTCCGCACCCGTTCACCGTCGATTGGTGACTGCGTAAGTCCAGTATAAGCTTCAATTCCAACTTCGGATTCGGAGCCGGTATATGTATTCCCTCGCCGGCAAGCGAAGAGGGCTTCTCACCTCAGCGACAAGCCAACCGGTATTGCTTCGGGGGTGAAGGCTTAAGACTCCGGTCCCGATATGTCTATCGTCCATGCCCGGCTCTCGATCATAGGAAGCAGTGATGACCTCGCGACACCAGTAGCCGATCGTATCCAGACCGACCTCGTACCGCTCACCAGCGAAGGATCTAAGATCATTGCCTCGGGTGTGATTCTGTTTCTCCTCACCGCGTTATGGACCGCCCTACGATTTTGGAGCCTTCGACGAAGTGGTCGAGCATTCATGGTGGATGATGGATTGAACCTAGGAGCGGTGGTCCTGTTCTATGGCCTCATAGCGATGGATTTCTCTATGGTGCTAGCAGGCGGTATGGGCCATCATGTCGGAGAGCTACAGGATTGGCACGTGGTGCGACTTATGAAGGTTCGTCAGTCTATCAATTAAATGCCACAAGGCGACTCCACGACGACCTTCTAGTTCCTAGCCCCTTGCTATGGGGAACAAAATGCAAGCACTAACAAGTATAATCACTACAGACTATTTATGCTGGCCAATTCCTATATGCGGCTTCGCTCGGCCTGATAAAAATCAGTGCTATCCTGATGCTGATACGTATCTTCTTCGACCACCGGTTCAAGCTTGCTGCTATAGCTACCTTAGTTTTCACCGTCATTTGGATGGTTGTGAGTATGCTCATCGAGTTTCTAATATGCCAGCCAATTGAAATGAACTGGCACATTCGAATGGCCGGTACCTGCGGAGATCAGAAAGCGGCTTTCGCAGCAATGAGCGTCATCAATATCATAAATCAACTCATGATCTTAGCCCTACCTCTACCTATGATCTTGAAACTTCAGATGGAATGGCGGTACAAAGTTGTCACCATTTGCATATTTAGTATTGGTATACTGTGAGAAAGACTCGTCTCCCGAACAGCCAGCATCTAAGCTAATACATTCTTCACCACATAGTACATTAATATTTGGCGGCATTCACCTTTCTACGATTATATGGGTCGACTTTACCGATGTACCATACACAATAGTACACACAACCCTTTATGGAACATGTGAGGCCGGCATCGCTATCATAGTGTCCAGCTGCCCCCTCCTTCGACCTGTATTCGACACAGTGCTCTCAATGCGTTCATCCAGAGACACAACATGGAGAGGCAAAGGCACGATTCTCACACTATCCAGGACGCGTAAAAGCACAAAATCAAGCGGATTCACTCGGATGGGTACTGAGTCGCGAGAGGAGCTCGAGCTAGGTAATATGGGAGCGCATCGAGCCAAGCGAGATACGTTCATTACAGTAGGCAAACGGCCTACATTCCGCGATGACGACGATAACAGCTCTTTACAAAAGATTGTGGTGACGAGCGAGACTATCGTCAGTAGAATCAAAGGAGAGCTCTAATTTTAATCCAACTTCTTCGCTTTTTCGATTGGGTTATCTAGGGTCTAGAAAAAATCAAACCGAGCCGCGAGGCTCACTTGCAACGGACGTTATAATTGTATTTGGGACGGAGTTGCCATAATCGAATTCAACACGCGTTTATAACACTGCTGCTTAAACCTGAACGGCGATTCAGGTGGTAGTTGTATGTTTCGGTTTGGAGCTATAGCTCCTTTCATCTCCTCGATGTATCACTATCACCGTACGACATGGGCATTGTTTCCAAAGGCATGTGTTTACGCCGGTGGACACCATTTTCCTTATTGTATACTCATATAGGCCATAATTAATTTACGGCAGGGCATGAGCTTAGCTAGACGACGTCTAGTCAGTGTTGGATAATAATCGGGACAATGATTACCGAGGCGCTAAATGGATATCTGGTCTATGCGATATGGGAGGATTGAATTTGGACGAGAAGCACGAGGACACACTGGCTCATAATTGTTATAGGAGATTGAAGATAAAGAAACTAATGTCAGATTGGATTGACAATTTTCATATAGAAAATAAACCAGACTAAGACATCGTTATATCAGCCGTATACAACTTCGAGCGCTTACTATTCCCTTCCATCTCCGTGACGTCTTCGAGCAGTCGTTTTCCCTGAGTTCCCGAGTCTTCTCTATTATCTCGGTTCTCAGTGATCATATCAAGCATCGGTCTATGTAATGACTCAGGGAAGGCATTCCTCACAATCCAAGGCAACCTTCCTACAGGCCATCGAGTATTGATTGCCTGTTTGATCATCCTCATGGTAATCTTTGAGGTGAAATTGAGCTCTCTCTCGGTCTCAGACCCAGTGAGGCCTTCTAAAGCCTCGCAGAATGTATCCCAGCCGGTGACCATGCGGAGGGGTAGATGGCTTGAGACATCGCCGGGTCGTAGAGTCAAGCCGAATGTACAAGCGCCTAGGTCCGCTCCGTATTTAAAGAAATCATCCAACGTGTTGAGATACGCATCGACAGCTGTGGTTTTTCATGGATTTCTGACGGCGAGACGAACAAAGTCGGTCCAAACCGTCGCCAAAGGAGTAAGGTGCGCATTAGGATCGGCACCGTGTTGAAGTAATAGTGAATAGACACCACACTTCAATGCATTATTGAAGGATTGGACCCTGTCATCCACCTGCATATCATATTCGGGACTCTTGCAATACCAATGGATCGCACTCTCTACCCTCCGCCTTGGCTCGAAAAAATCGCATATGCCAATAGAAATAAAGAGATTAGCCCAACATGACATCGAGACTGATCGGTCTCGAACATAAGACAAACCCCCACGTTTCCGCTTCAAACTATCTATACTATACTCATCTCCCATCCAAACACACGGATTATGAATACGTAAGAGTACACGAGGCGGTAACAATATAGCATCGTTTGGATCATACCTATTCCGGAGCAGCAGGTGCAAGACTCTTACCGCACTTGGGGAAAAAGAAAATCTGATACCCAAGTTTACCAGGTTCAACGAAGCATCTGGATATTTCGTTCGAAAATAATCCACATCGCTGGAAAGCTTCTTGCTGATATATTTGACTGCATACTCGCCCAGGCCCGGGAAGGTTATAGTAAGGAGAAAGACCGATAGCCTTGAGGAGTTAGGTAGATATCCAACAGGTATTTTCCATAGCTCAGTGTGACTGATGATCTCGTTTCCATTCTTAGGATATACTATCGACGTAGATAATCTCTCAAGGCAGTCGACAAGTGTATAAACTACCGCTTCATCTACCCCCTCTTTCTTCGCACTTTCTGCATATACTAGTGGTATAAGAGAATTGAGCTGGGAAACGCTGACATGCTCGCGAGTTGAACTACCCCTATCGAGCGTCTTCCATACACCCATCTTAAGACAAGCCACGCATGCTCTTAGTATGGATAGGCTTGTGTTAAACCCTTTGCCACTTCTGATATGGATGTACTCGACCATTTCAGGAGTCTTGAGATAGTCTAAAGCAATCCGATGGATGAACTGTAGTACCTTTCCTTTAATCTCAAGTATACCATGGCACTTTGCATTAAATCTGCGGGTTGCTTGCTTGCTCGTGACGGGATTTGAGATCGGTACAAATAAGCGCCTCTTTTTGCATAGTAATTGCATAATCTGGATTGTCGTGCTCGCACTCATGTAACAGGGTTACTACCCAAGGCATCAACCATGAAGTTGAATCAGATAGAATGTTATACTTCTGCACTTGCACTTGCATTTGCAACAAGCGAGCCGACTTGCGATGGTATATTGGATCCACGGAGTCCAGCATTTGCCTGTAAAACGCTTCAAGACTTTTAGGTAGAGTGTCGAGCCTAGCGTTTAAATCTTCCATCGTATCGTAGTTTGTTAGGCCATTCCGAAGCGATTGGGTAACCAAAGTAACCTATAGGAATACACCTCTAGCAGTATCGGCAATCTTTTGAGGAACGACTGGGCTGTTTGTACATCTAGACCCAGGGCTGACCATCGAGGATGAGTCACCAAGCGACTTTGAGCATAGCTCACAATATCATCTCTAGTCAACTCATGTATGGAAAGAACAGAATATTTTGTAGTGCCGAACTGATCTAGGAATTCATTTAAGGGTCGACTAGCGACACAGAGCCTAATCCTCGATGAATTTGCGATTTCTGTAAGAGTTTGGGAGATCTCGGTGTAATCCCCATCGAATTCGTCCAGTCCATCAACAAAGAAGCAAAACCGAACAGTTGATGTATTGTTCGCATTGATTGCCTGTAGGCATTCAACAAATTCCTTAAACTTCCAATCCTGTCCAGCCGCGTCGGGTAAGTAAGCAACTTCCCATCGAGATGGGCAAACTTCAGCAATCAGCTCCGGACACTGTCTGAAAATATCGTAGAGAAGAGACTGGAATAGGCCTTTGGCCGATTTCTGCATAGAGATGCCCGCAGACCAAAAGAAGTGGCTAGCAACGATAACTTTTTCAGGGGCTGCCCAAAGCTTTGCAGCCTCTTTTGTCTTTGCATGATCTACCAGAAACTTCATCAGTGTCGACTTTCCACTGCCCGGCTTGCCTGATATCCAAAAGACACCATCGGAACTGCGGAGCCATGTAAAAAACTTTTGGCCATCTGTTGCCTCTTGGTCAGATGTTTCGAATATCCAACTGAAAGTACGTTTATGAGCTTCGGTGATGTTCTCGTGTCTTGCTGATCTGGACCAATAATCTAGGCTACTTAGAATCATCTGCTCCTTCACAAAATTACGCTCCACCATGGATATGTGAGATACTTTGGCCGTTAAGTCATCAATTTCGGCAGCCGAGAATATGTAGTCGGATTTAGGAAGCTTTGAATTATGAAGTAGAAGTTTTATCTCTCGAAGATGAGATGAGACATCTTCTGGTCTGTCTGAATTTTGGAGCTGAAGATGTTTGCTTTGTTCTTCGAGGTTTTGTAATTTCTGGTTTATGCTTTGGAGCCATTTGGCTGGCTGAACCCCGAGTACTTACGCCATCGGCGCGCAGACGACAACTCAAATCAGAGAGCTGTTTACATATTCCCTCTAAGGTTGGGTTGGAATTCGAAGTACCCGTGGTAGACTTATAAACCTCGGCACTGGTAGAAAGTAATTTACTTGTAAACTCAATGAACTGAAGAACATTTCCTGCAAGCGCTATAGCAGATAAAGGCTCCATATCGTTGATCTAGAACTCTTAATCTTATAGTTATTTCCGATATAACGAGAACTCATGTCAGATTGTATCATTGTTCTGTGTGCTTAGGTCCATCTTAAGAGGTAGATATCTTTTTATAAGGCTGGGTCAGGCAGAAAGAGAGGCATATTTGGGGGCAGATTTGAGCTGCAACGATGCATATACATATACCTACATATAGACCTGATTCGTACATGATGTGAATATTTTTAACATATAATTCATATTAGAAACGAGTTAAAGAAACCGAGTAAAAATCTATGAGAGCCAAAGAAATTCTAGTCGGAGTTACCTTCCAAGTCTCAAAATGTAGGTATTTCGGTACCGATGTATTCCGTACCTAGCTAGCAGCCAAGCAGGAAGGCGGTATGATTTTTTAGCTCCATCCGGCGGCAGAAAAGCCCCACTCCCGAAAAAATAATTTGGACCTGTCCCGAATCTCAATTCGAGCTTGTCTTGCGATACAAGAAAATTTCCGCCTTGAAGCGCAAAACTTCGTAATCGGCGCAAATGGTCTCAACAAAACCAAGCTTGAAGCGCAAGGCTTCCGTGGTCGAGGCAGATCACCCAAATCAGCCTCAATCCGATGATGAGTTCGGAGATGGTCTTCTAGAGGGTGTGCTAGAAGACGAATCCGACGATGAGGAGTCCGAAGTAGAAGATGACGACAACGACATTGAGGGGGACACGCTCGATGCCGATGATGATGAATTGGACAGTGACGATATACCAACAGATGATGAGGGGCCAGGGAAAAAACAATTATCAAACGGAGTCGAGTCTGACGAAGAAGACATTGGCCCTCACTACAAAATTGAAACAGATGCCAATGGGGGAACCAGATACGTTTACGATGAGGTTGACCCCGTATACGATTCAGACGATTCAGACGCCCAAGAACCCGTAAACACGATCGGAAACATACCTCTTTCGTTCTACGACTCATACCCTCACATAGGATATGACATCAATGGGAAGAGGATTATGCGTCCCGCTACTGGCGAGGCTTTGGACGCTTTATTAGATAGTATTGAGGTGCCGAAGGGATGGACTGGCCTCACGGATCCTGCAACCGGCAAGCCATTAAACCTGAGCCAGGACGAGTTAGAGTTATTACGACGAGTCCAGATGAACGAAATCCCCGAAGAAGGATATGATCCGTATCCGGTAAGTTTTATGATTTCCATATGTTTTTCTAGTTCTAATATAGGCTCAGGATACTGTCGAATGGTTTACAAGTTTTGAGGAGACGATGCCTTTGAGCGCCGCCCCAGAGCCAAAGCGACGCTTCTTGCCTTCAAAACATGAAGCGAAACGAATAATGAAGCTAGTCAAGGCAATTCGAGAAGGCCGAATACTACCGTATAAACCTCCAGAGGAAAAGCAGAGGGAAGAGGAAGAAGAGGAAGAAGTTCATTATGATTTGTGGGCCGACGAGACGCCTCGGCCCCCTAACGTAATGCACATTCCCGCCCCCAAGCCTGCTCCTCCTGGCTATGATCTCAGTTACAATCCACCTCCAGAGTATCTCCCTACTGAGGACGAAAAGAAGGCTTGGGCTGAGACCGAACCGGAAGAGCGAGAAAAGGAGTACTTGCCCCAAAAATACGACTCTTTACGGAAAACTCCTGCATACGATCAATTTGTCAAAGAACGCTTTGAAAGGTGCCTTGATCTCTACCTTGCGCCTCGAATACGGAAGAATAAGTTGAATATCGATCCTACATCATTACTCCCTAAGCTTCCGCGACCGGAGGAGTTGAGACCCTTCCCGACCATCGCGTCAATTGAATACGCTGGTCACGAGGGTAGGGTACGATCTGTTGCTATTGACCCATCCGGGCAATGGTTAGCCAGTGGTGGTGATGATGGCACTGTGAGAGTGTGGGGCCTCGCGGACGGTAAACAGCAGTGGAAAGTCAAACTTAGCAGCGAGGACCCGGTGGATGTAGTGCGATGGCGACCGGGTCAAGAAGCTTCAATCATATCGGCTGCTGTGGCCGAAGATATTTTCTTCATGATCCCATCATTTGGGAGCCCGGAGCTAGAACAGACTAGCCGGGATATATTGGATGCAGGATTTGGTTATGCTACCAACGGCAAGCAACTAACAACAGCTAACGGAGCAGCACGAAAAGATCCCCCGGCGAAGTGGTCACGACCAGGGACACGCCTAGAGGATGAGGGTGTTCTACTGAAAGCTACAGTTCGCTCACCTATCAAGTCAATCAATTGGCACCGACGAGGAGACTTCTTCTGTACGGTATCCCCTAGCGGACAAAGAAGTTCCGTGGCTATTCATACCTTATCCAAGCATCTTACTCAAATCCCCTTCCGAAAGCTTCCCGGGTTGGCACAGACGGCATCATTCCACCCTTCGCGACCTATGTTTTTCGTCGCGACCCAAAGGTCGATACGGTGTTACGATCTCCAAAAACAAGAATTAGTCAAGACCATTCAGCCTGGCGCCCGCTGGATCTCATCATTTGATGTGCATCCTGGCGGTGACAACTTGGTTGTTGGATCATACGACCGTCGTTTACTCTGGCATGATCTTGAGATGTCAAACAGGCCGTATAAGACGATGCGATTCCATCCTCAGGCAATCAGGGCTGTGAAGTTTCATCGTACCCATCCACTATTTGCGGATTGCAGCGACGACGGTACTCTACAAATATTCCATAGCAAAGTTGTGAGCGATCTGATGGAAGGACCGACTATTGTGCCTGTAAAGATGCTCAAAGGACATAAGGTGGTCAACAGACTTGGTGTGACAGATATTGATTGGCATCCCCAACATCCATGGTGTGTAAGTGCGGGCGCCGACGGAACATGTAGATTATGGACATAAGCTCGGCTTTTATGGAAGGGGACGGGTGGGTGCCTAGTAGCAGAGCACGGTTCACCAGACTTCCATTATAAAGAGTCTTGTAGCGACGGCGTTTAGAGAAATATACCTACCTTCTATACATTTAAGAACTCTTGTCTTATATATTCCTAGGATTAGCCTTACATGCTATCGCCTGGTTATATTCAAACGAGCTATAGCCTATTGGTCCTTGACTCCACTCGTTTCACCACCATGGCGCCCAATCAAAGAGGTATGTCATCTTAGTCTCCCGTCTAGTGATTCGCCGTGTCCTCTGCAAATCACATTCTAAGATCGTGAATGGCTAGCCCGGCTACATGATACACACGGTGGTGTTGGACTGGGCTAACAAGGCATTGCCCGTCCAACCATTACTGCCCAATGATCCGATCCTCATCTTCCTTTATATCTCTCTGCCTAGAATACTTATTATTATTATTATTGTCATCCTAGAGTATGTAATCATCATCATCATCATCATCATCATCATCATCTATCTACTTTGTCTACATCTGTTTATTAACGCAATATAATGCAGAGCTGACCCCTTTTTGACAAGATATGTTTCTCCCCATGCTAGCAAAGAGCAATTTTTCAGCTTCAATATTTACATCCCGACCGCCTATCATTGCTGTATATGTCATCGTTATCAGCTAAAGAGGGAAGGAGATAAATATAATAACGATGGTGCTCTATATCACCTCCTCGAACACTCAACCATCTATACAGATTTCACATTTCTCGGAGATTAATCAGGATGGTGGATCTATGGTCGATTAGCAAATTACGATACCATCTCCCTAACACAGCCAAGGACGAGTATATACGTTGGTATAAGTAATAACTCTTCTACAGGTACTGCCAAGACTAAACATAGTGATATTCCCGTACCGTAGTCTTGGTACCGGGACAACGGAAGGATGACGTTGGCGTTGCTCAGGGCCCCTCTTGTGGCAGCGTAGCAAGTCACATGCTAATTAGAACTAGTTATCTGTGTTATATTTGTACGGGGTAGTAGCGCTATTTGTACATTGGTAAGTAATCTTAACGAGATCTCACTATTTATTACCAATTTAACGACTTAAGACACAGTCTATTTACGACTTAACGATCGATACGATGTCAAGAGGGTAAATATACTTGGCCTACGGACACGGTCAGTAAAAGATAGGACATCTAGCTAAGTCACGATGAATCCACGTCCAAGTTTCCAGGCTACTCAAGGGGGCCCAGTTCTAAAGACCCACTGAGATGGGTACGACAAGAAATGTTAATACATACCTGACAGCAAGGAAACAGAAATCGACCTCCTAAGAACGGCCTAGGAATATCTGGATATCGTGAACTGTTACTCAGAATGGGTGTGGTCGGTTTGAGAGGTACTACTATCAGAAAACATCAAAGAGACTAATAGTACTTTGGTCTGAGTCGGGCGAGGCATATCCGCGGATCGATCCATCAGTCGATCGCCCGTTAAGATGGAGCTAGAGCAACCACGCCTAAATTCGAACGCGTTGGCATTCTTACGAATAGAATCTCGGCCTTCGAATAATACTCGCTACTCCACGATCTACCTCGCTGTCGAATTTTCCGCTAACGAGATCACATCAACGATTTTGTCGACAGCAATCAGCTAATGCTCTTAACTCACACTCTTTTCCTATCTAACCAAAGCTGCTGGCTGCTGGAAGCTATTCTTTCGACGTCTTTTTCTCAATAACCCCGATTCCGAAAGTCGGTTCGCCGGTCCGACTAGACATCATTCCACGCAGCCGACGTCGATTAGGGGCAAAGCAAAAATAATACATGCCTACACCTTTACATATGCTACTTGTATGTGACGAGATAATCGCTCGAACCAAGATCGTACCGGTATTCTTTCCGCAACGATCAGAGTTATAGCACTCTGCAATACCTCGTTGTATCCCGCGATCGATCTATCTAATACATCACCAACATCCATTACTCTACAGAGGCAAACACAACAATAGCTTTTCATCCAGAGTAAAAGGTTGAAGATGGAAAAATGGATTTGTCAGCCTGCGCATTATTTGGTGTCGACATGGACCTATACGATACGGATTTTACACACCTTCAAGGCGGTCCGATCAGCATAGAGTCTCGAAGAGAAGAGTGGTATGAAGATTTTTTATTCTCGCTTATTTAGTCCTATTTTGGCACTAGGTGAATAACGGCGATGCAAGGGAGGAAGAGGTCGAGTAGGGTTACCATTTATCAGTCAGTTTGCACCCCTTATTCTTCTCTAAATTCTTTTTAATGTCATCTTTATTGTTCATTCTACTTCTCCCTTTCTTTTAGTTAATATTCTAAATGTGGTCAATGAAAGCTGCATGGACATTTCAATTTGGAAATGTTCTATCACAGGTCACGAACTTTCAATTGGCATTTTCTTACTCTATGTACAGGAAGCCTTGTCCAGTCTGTATTTTCTTCTTTTTATTTTTTGGTTTATTTTATTTTTATTAGCTGCGGAGACTGCGACTACATAGCTGTACGATCAATTCCGACAGACCGACTACCACGGCTAGTAGCCATTCATTCGGGTCGAAGTCCGGAGCCAGGGGCATAGCGGTGTTAGCGATAGTGGCGGGTATTCGGCGCAGTTAGACAATGGTCCAAAAAAGGTGAAAAAGAACTTCTTTGCAGAAGACATCCCCGCATTTGACAGTCTCATATTGGGTTACGTGGATCTGAGTGAGATAAAAAGAAGAAATGTGTGGCGGTGCGGAGAATCAGAAAGGGTGAAGATGTTGTCTCGGGCCGCAATTTGGGGAACGGTAAGTGAACCTTCCTTTTCGTTTCTATATGCGGTGTGATGGAGCACGGCGACGGTGATAGTGGTTGCGCGATGCAATGTCAGATGATGTAGGCTCGCAGCCAGGGGGCTTGAGATCTAGAAGGGGCGAAGGGGCTACATGACGACAAGGCTTGTATGTGACAGCGTCACCTTGGACTACGTTCAAAGTTGAACAGAAAGATGACGGGTATTACATACCCAGAGGCAAGTTGCTAAGCGGTATACGAGCAGGCACCATAAGTATGACCGAGGATCGAGATCGAGGGCACTGTGGAAGATCAAGAAAAGATTCGGGTCACGTCGACATTATCATTCGTTATATTAATACCCAAGGCGAACTCCCCGGACGCCGCAAAGCTTGTCTAGAAAACATGAACCTCCGCCTAACCACCCCATCTACACAAGTCTTGTGTGGTCGCTTATAGATGGATGAGAACCAAACTATATGATGGTTCGATAGATATGAGGACGAAGAGATCATAACCCTATTAGTTCCAAACATTATTTACCAAAAGAAACCTTTTCTCTCGAGTTTACCCCCCCCGAACGCCGGTCCAAGTATAGTATACAACACCGCCCATGTTATTATTCATCGTCATCGTCATCAACATCATCGCCCCTAAGCTTCGGACACGTCTTCGTCTCGAATGTTCCTCGCCTTGGCGGTAACAGGGTCGGTAGGGATATCGGACCAGCGTCCGACGTCGCGAAGCATCTCGGCATCATAGTGCTCATGGGCCGAGGGGACAACGCACCACGACATGCTAGTCGCCATCGAGGTGCGGCTCTTGGGAGCTTTGGTCATCAAGTGGGTGGTGCTCCAGTAGTCGACTGGGTCGACCTGCTCAGCACGTCCGACTCGGGGAAGCCAGCCATAGACATTACCGTCAAAAGACTGGGTTTCGTTGGTGTAGTCGAGCGCGGCGATGGCTGCCGTGGTCAAGGGTTGGGCACTATCATCACCGATATAGTTGTGGTTGATGTAGTAGCCCAAGTCGGGCCGAGACACGAAAGGGTCACCATGCTTTAAGGTGGTGTCCGTGTTAGAGGATGACGATGCGTATTGCATGAAGGTGTAGTTCGCGTCGCCATCAGTCATCACGTGCTCAGTGTCGTTGTTGATACGATGCATGTTTTTAATTAGGAGGCACCGCCTAGGTTGAGTGGCAGAGCCGTTAGGTCGTGTACAAGGGAAGTTTCCGTCGTTGAGGTGAGGGGGGCGGTACTCGGTGAAGTTGTCGATATAAAAGGAGTCAGAGGCCTCTCCGCCATCGCACTCCCGGTCCGGTTCGGAGCTTCGGTCGGCGAGGACGGCATTGGTAGAGCCTGACGTTTTAGGAGACATGTTTAGTAAAAGGTAATAAGGTCGTGTAGGTTAAGTATAGGTTAAGAAGGATGGTCGTTATTAGTTAAGGCAAGGAGGAATAGCTGGGTGCTGCCTGTTATTAGTATTCGGCGACGTCTTGTTCGGGATTGACAAACTTACTTTGCGTTACAGGAGTTTCGGCTGTTAGCATATGCTTTAGGGAGAACGATGGTTACGCTTAGACGATATCTTCGACACACATCCGCTATCGAGATAGATACAATATATATGTATTATAGGGTATAGGGTATAGGGTATAGGGTATAGGTTGGTGTGGACCGAAGGATAGTACGGCAAACAACTATTTAGAGTCGCTGCCGCCTCCGTTATACCCTTTAGGTTCTCTTTAAGTATACTTATGTCGAGAGGGAAAGAGGAAAGAATATGGAGGGGATCAAAGTCGTGGGGCCCGTTGGGTTTTATATTTTGTTTAAATGTTGTAAAGATACCAAGCCCAATAGGATCTTGCTAGTCCCAAGGCTCTCTCAGTGATTCAACCCGGAATTATGAATGCGTGTACTAGTGACTGGCAAGCCGGATGTTGTATTTATCATTGAAGCTAGCATCTGAATCACGGGCTGTGTACTATGTAATAAGTACTACGAGCAACTCACGGAGCTCTCGCATGTTAGGTACATGGGTAGGTAGGTACCTGTTACAGGGTTCCCGGCAAAGACAGAGGTAGGTAGGTATTTGACATATGACATATGTACATGTCCAATATGAGAAAAGTTCTTATGCCATACTAACACTGCATCTATCTTTAACCTGGGGTCTTTAGGTACTGCACATGTATACCTATATGTACCCAACATACATACATACATACATACCTGCATATATTCCTAGAATGGGACTGCTGGGCAGCTGGGACGAGGAACCAGAAACGATGGTAAATGGCTAAGATGTGCCTAGTATACCAGAGCTCTAGTGCCAATCATCCGCCTCACTCTTTCTTAGGCTATCCTGTGGTTTGTCTACGGTATGTAGGTATCCATAGGAAGTTATTTCGTCTTCTGCATCGGTGATCAGATGAGTGAGGTTTTTTTTTCCCTTCCCTTCCATGACATGGCCAATGGCCAAGCATAGGTTTCGTTAAACCAAGTTGCCCAGCTCAAAGCTAATACCTTAAACATACAGTTCATAACTACATTATGTGTACTATGCCAACCCCAGGCCGAGTCAGGTTAAGTCCTGGGTCTGATGTGGGCTGGGATGGCCCCCCTTGCCTTAATGTACATATGTGCATGGGGTCTTCTGATCGAAACGGACGCTAAAAGTACGAGGGGTATCCTGCGAAGCGTCAAGCTTTTAATTAGTAAATAAAAAAACGATGCCGGTGAATTACAAAGGAAGATTCCGAAGAGTGGGACGTGGGGGAAGATGTGATGTATGTATGTATTCAGTTCTATATCCAACCGATGGATTGGTTCCAGGTCTGCGTGCATCTGCATGAAAATTTCCTATGACTGAATCATCTGGTACTGCTTTGCATTGAATGTATGTATATCTGCATCAAGTATGCAGTATGCAGTATGCGGTATGCTGTATGCTGTACGGATTGCCATCACACAAGTGTGGTATATTCAATTAAGGTACCGTCAGAAAATGTACAATAGTAAGACAAGTTTGTAAAGATGCGATAGAATTAATGATTAATGTCAGGAACAACTAGGGCCCCTCCCACATTAGAATAGAGTAGTGGTGTACATAGTAGGAGGGTGTGAACAGTGTATGCAATGCAGCCTAGGCTACCAAGCATAGGCGGAGATGTGGTGAGAATCGCACATCTCGTCCGAGAATCTTCAAATAGGTACGCCAACACTATGATACACGACCTTAGTCACACACGAGGGCGTTGTGTTCCTACGAAAAGTAGGTACGTTTCAGGAACATAAGGAAATAGAACTCGACTAGGACCTACATACATGTACACTCCTCCTCATATGGTCCGATAGAGCAAAAGGTTCATGTTAGTATGTGTGGTATACCACATAGGAGGTATGTATGTAGGTATGAGGTATGTATGTATGTCTCACTTGCTGGCATAAGGAGAAACACGTCCCGGCATCACACCCAAGACATCCAAGACCTTCTCATTCGCCCTGCTTCTCGGGATCAGAACATTCTAGGAGAACTATTGTTCTCTCTCGACCCCGTCAGGTTTTAGCCGACAGCTTGTTAATGAAAATCGCGAAATACCTAGGCAGGGCAACCAACAATAGTGTATACCCTACCGTTTGTTAGCCAACCATAGCAGCTCGACGCTGGTCAAGGGTGATTCTTCAGGGTGATCATGGATCCTGGGATCCTAGTCCCGGACAAGGGGTCCTAGGAAACCATTGGAGCCGGGATGACAAGGATTAGCACACTAGGTATCCCCAGAGTCCTGGTCCCCGACCCATCGTATCGGCGCCTTAATATTAATATTATTTCCCTCTTTTAATACTTTTGCTAAGCGGTACGTTTACAATACCTTCTACTTGGGAATCTAGACTTAAAATTTAGCATATGCATCGTAGTTTAATCTAGCCATTGCCTTACAAGCTGACGTATTGTTTCACTACTTGACCGTAAAAGTTCCGAGTGGTCATGACGATGGAGGAGGAAAGACATTGCTAAACTGCTCACCGACGAATCTATATCCGTACAACCTTAGACACGTTTCTTTGTTCGTCGCTTGCTAGCTTGTTGGAGCTGGGGTACTACAATCCCGTGACGCGACATTGCAGAATAAACGGCGACGGCAAAAATAATAATAGTAGCAGCAGTACGACAATACGAGCCAAGTTTCAGAAACACATAGTTACCGTGCCTAGTTAATCACTTTGCAAACTCTTCGTCGATGGCCGCCGAGGCTGCTTAGGCCCGAATTTTTTTTTCAATCTATTTGCGATACCGAGGTGACAAATTCGAACTTGGATGGCAGGGTGCCATAAAGAATTGGCCATACATAGAGCATACGGGAAGACTATGTCAGGTATGCAATCATGTTGTATTCGTGGAGAGCACACCGCTTCCAAAACTCAGTAATCAACATATACGTACTATTGCTACTACTGCTACTACTAGAATACCATTATTCTAAGGCAAACTCTTTGCCTACGGTCTCGGGGAGATGGTCTCGACACAACTAGGATACGCTGCCCCAGAATAGCTACACTAGGTACTCCGATAGAATGCTTACCACCACCCCCCATGCGCTTATCCTTGCCTCACATCGGCTCGAGTATCAACAAGGCCTAACATACCTACCAACATACATCCGCACCATCCTAATCCTTCCCCCCCGCGCTGTGTTACTCTATAAGCGCGCGCCTTTCCTGACGCTATCTGATTACTGAGATTTGCAATCCTTATTCTCGGCTAGCTATCTACTTTTAAATCTTGGACCGGTCGGCGGTGGTTGATCTTATCCTATATCTGAAATCCAGCGCTGTTTGCGTGGCGTTTTCTCAGCTAGGTATTCAATTGTCGCGGAGACAAGTGAAGACCATTTCGTGCTTACGTCTCCTGACACCCATCTGCTTTTAATAAGTGCCAGCCTTCAGCACAAATAATATTTAGAACAGGGACAATATGAAATAAGTAAGACAGTTCCAAATCGACTACAGTACCAAGTTACGCAATCAAGGACGAGGATCAGGGATTAAAATGGTGGAAGAGTAAACTAACACGGGAAGTGGGGGACTCGTTCATGACGGATCCAGATTCCAGGGACGTGGGCATCATACATGAAAACAATCATCCGAATCTTTGAATGGCTTAATGGCTTAATGGCTTTACGCGGGCGATTCTTCGCACAGCCATACTGCCCAAAAGTGGGAGGCTACACTGCACTACATGCTTTAGGGGTAGATACCTATGTAAGTCGCCAAAAACAGCATAATTGGGAAAGCCCGAGATATTAAACATCCAAGCCTGTAGCTAAGAATACGCCTAGAAGCAAGGTACACGAAACATCCAGCTGAGGTAGTATTGTGGCATTCGATTGCCGTTTCTGTAATGGTCAACTGGCGCCTCTGGTAGACAGACAGACCTGCATATAGGTACTTGCATACGTAGGACTTTTCATCTTATTTTTTTTTTTCTAGGGGAGCAGGGACATGACGGTAGTATGCGAACATCTCTAACCTAGTATGCAGGTAGACCTTTAAGGACAGGTGCCTTATCTGTACGCCGAAATCTACGTCCTACGGAACATACGTAATCTCGCTATACTAGTATAGGGATCGTCGTAGTCACGGCATGGAGGGTAAATCACAAGGAGGAACAATTAATTTAATTTCGCCATGGAGCCTGCAGACTGCAGACTGCATTTTTAACGAGCACGTTGGGCATACGAATCGGTAGTGCAGATGGTCTCCATCCGAGGCCGTCGGCCGTGTAAGTGTGTGTGGCCAGCTCGGCACACTTCCGCCTTCGCTTATCAGCCTTAAAAGAAAGACAGGTGCGTTTGTGCCTTGGCTACCTAAGCTAGGTACGGTTGCTGTAGCCCACACCGTCATTTCCTGATGTCTGATGTCTGATGTCTGATGTCCTTCTGGAACGTTTCCAGAAGATTACATAGTATTTGATCCTGCAGGGATAGATTAGACCATTTGTCGATCTCCTCCCATATGTCAGGGCTACCCTAATACCCTGACAGTGATCATTTATCGACTCTTGTCACCATTCGCCTCCTAATCTCATAGCTTTTGCTTATGATTTAGTAACTTGACCTTGAAGGCGGGTAGTATGGTCTCCCCAATTACCAGAAGAACACGATGGATTCCACTCCAGAATACAGGCGGTATGGTTGGTTTAGAAAATCCCCGAAATCCCACAATATAATCTAGGCTGTTCTAATTGGACTTGCCATTTTTAAGAGTAATGTATTCATTGTGTCCATCTGGCACTTAAGGACATACTTCATATTTAACAGCAACCCGAAGGAAACGAATTCCTTTAAACTACCCAACCTAAGGAAACATCCATTTCGGCTCGCTGATCAGAGGCTAATGGCTTGTTAAAGTGCTACGACATATACTTACGTATCTATATAACTACCTATGTATATCTCTTATGCTTGAGGAGATACATAATGGTCTTCTTTGCAACGTGAATAAATTTAGGGCGGGCAATCCACGTTCTCCTTCGAACCCCTTTTTCCACTTGTTGCACTTCTTCTACCCTTCAAGTATGCTACCCACACACACATACACATACATACATACATTAGTTACATACACTAGTTACGCCTAAAGATCCTTGGCTTCAAGGGACCGTCCTACACTACCAGCCATCAAGGCGTCCATTGCAACGGCGGCTAGATTACCCCCTGCGTAGACTCTTGTAAACATCCCCACACACCCGCTTGACGTTATGTATAGTGTAGACGAATGCGTACATGGTGTACATAGACGCACCTTAAGACGTGCAGCTGATCGATTCCGAGAATCCACAGTCCTGCAGAAGAGGGTCTGGTCTGCAAGGCCCGTCTTATTAGGAGACCCTGATCGAAAAATTAATTGCGCATCTGCGATGCACGTACCTAAAACCTGCCGAAGAATAACCTCGCGGG